TGTTATTTTTTACGTTGGTGAAGTTTACAATGTTTATAATCAACGATTTGGAAGAAAATATATTTTTCTGTATAAATTTTTATATATTTTTGTATAAAAAAATGTTTTTTATAATTTTTTGACCCATAATTTGAAAGAGAAAAATTTGAAAACAAATAATTTTATTGCATTTGTCAAGAAAAATTTTCTTTTCTTTCTATAGTTGATCATAAACGTTGTGAATTTCAGGGACTTTATTATTTATGAATATTGAATTCTTACGAAGAATTTTATTAAATTTTTTGAAAATAATAAAAACAATAATATTTAATTATGTACTTATTTTAGTAATAAAATTTATTGAATTAATTTATTAATTCAATAAAATCGTAAACAATTTTTTAATTAAATTTAAGCGAAATTAATGTAGGATTATTTAAATTAAATCGAAATTAATTTAATTATTTTATGAATAAATAAAAGATAATAATTAGACTTCACACAAATTTCTTTTTTACGTTCTCGGTGAGAGTTATCAATAAGAGTTTAAAGTTGAATAAAAATTTTATTTCTCCATGGAAAGAAAATTAAAAAAAAATAGAATTGCAGAGAAAAATAATTTCTAACTGTAGTAAAAATTCCCTAGACTAGATTATAATTGAAGGGAATCTCTTTTTATAAATTCGATAAAAATAAATAAAATTTCAACCTTGAATGCAAATTATTGTACCAGTCAGTGTTTAGAGAAATCCAAATATCGCCTCTAAAAATATACATTCCGTGTGTAATCGATAATCATATGGGAATATTTGAAACGAACATAAAAATAAATAAATTTTTAATAAAAGGTAAATTATATAAATTTCTCGCGTAAAGGTGTAAATTTGTAGGGCTTTGTTCTCTTTCTTCTACTTCTTCTACTTCTTCTTCTTCTTCTTTCTCCTTCTCTTATTCTTATGAGTACAAACTAATAGAGGAAACAGTCGGAGAGCGTAAAATAACCGGAGCAAACTCCGAATTTAATCATAGCACCCAGATGCTTGCACTGTGGGGCTGTATTTTTGAATTTTTCTTCTGCATTTTTTCTCTCAAGAGTTACTATATTATGTTTTTTTTCCTCATGTTTTTCTCTTCCCTCTTTCTCTTTGACTTTTCGCTAATTTTTTTTCCAAGAAGTTTTGACAGAAATGTTTCGATAAAAATCCCTCTTCTTTTCCGCGAGATTCTCAGTAGTCTTACATTTTATTTTATCACTTTCAATCACATTTCTGTCGTGTAAAATAATAATTATTTTATGAAAAAAAAAATTCATTACTTTTTATTCAGATGAGAAATTATTGCTCTTTAAGGAAAATAAATTATTCTTCCTTTTTGAAAAAAATGAACAATCATTTTTAAAGTATTCTGATTATTATTCTGATTATTATTATTATTATTATTATTGTTATTATTACTGTTGTTATTATTAATACCATTATAATTACTATTATTATTAATATTGTTATTGTTATTATAATTATAGTCATTATTATTTTTATTTTTATTATTATTTGTAATTATTTGTATTATTATTTTTTTGTTATTCTATTTATTTATTTATGTTTTTGATAATAATTAGTAAAGTCCGTGATTGTTTTTATTTTTATTATTATATTATTATTACATTTGTTTATTTTGTTTTTTAAAATGTGATAGGAATGAATCAAATTAAAAAATTAATATCAGCATAAATTTTAGTTTACGACAATTTTTTATTGTCAATAGCAAATTGTAAATTAATTGTATATCGGTTTTGTTAATATTACACCATAAAATTATTCAGACGTTTACATAATTCTTTTAGTGCGATTTATGTGCACATTGGTTTTTTTAAAAATGAAAAAAAAATGAATTCAATCGATAGGAATGAATCAAATTAAAAAATTAATATCAGCATAAATTTTAGTTTACGACAATTTTTTATTGTCAATAGCAAATTGTAAATTAATTGTATATCGGTTTTGTTAATATTACACCATAAAATTATTCAGACGTTTACATAATTCTTTTAGTGCGATTTATGTGCACATTGGTTTTTTTAAAAATGAAGAAAAAAAATGAATTCAATCGCATCTAATTTTAAATTTTTCAACACTTTATTCTTTTACTCTTGTTCTGCACACAAAAACATTTCACTTTGACAAACGCGAGAAACTTCAAATTTTTTTTTCTCGCAATGTTTAAAAACCTTCAAATATCAAACAAATGTCAAGCATTAAAAAAACAAATGCAAAAATAAATTTTTTTTAAGTGTGTGATAACGAGGAAAAATTTGAAAAATATATTGTAAATTTCAATTTCTGCTCTTCGGAAAATTTTTTGATGTGGATTTTTTCAATGTAGGTAGTTTTTATGTAAATATTTAGAATTTAATTAAATTTAATTTCAAATTTTATTTTCTTGAATAATTGTTTAGTAAATATTATTTAAATAATTATTTAATAATTATTATGTGAATAATTGTTTAGTAATTATTATTTAAATAATTATAATTTATAATTATTATTTGAATAATTGTTTAGTAATTATTATTTGAATAATTATTTATTTATTAATTCTTTAATAATTACTTTCTTTGAAAACAAAAAAGTAAAACAAAATAATTCAGAGTTAATTAAAAAATAAAATAGAAATAATAGTTTTGAAAATAAAATTGAAATAAAATGTTTTTCATTTTGAATATTTCCAAAATTTAACAAAAAAAATTTACTAATTTTGTCATTATAAAGAAAAAAAAATTGTAACGTCTTCGAAGGAAGTTGAAAATTGAAAAACCAAAATTAAAAACTAAAGTCGTTAAAATATAAAAATGAAGTCGTTAAACTCGGTTCGTTGTATTATTAAAATAAAACAAAAGACATTATTAACGAGTATTTAAAAATAGAATTTTCTCCGGCTTTATGTCCGATTTCCTTTAAAAGAAAATTTATTTTTGCAATTGTTTCATTTCAAAATAATTATATTAGGATAAAAAATAAAGTTTACTTTATTATCAATATAAAAAAATTTTTTCTAATTTCTTTTTTGTATATTTTTGGAAAATAATTTTTACAATTAGTTAAATGACTCTCTGGCCACTTTCAAGTAGAGTAGAGGTTTAGTGATATCTTAAAACTTATAGCTCAATCTGAATAAGGATCCGAGATCTCAGCTATTTTCAGAGAACGGGTTAATGTGTTGAAAATTAATGGGGCACGGTCAACGCACTGAATTATCGTAATTCGCACGAATGAAATAAGTTCGTTTTAATGTGACTTCATTCTATAAAACTTTCTTTCTTACACGCTCTGTAATACATAAACTACATACATATTTAACTAATTAATAAATTAACTTTATAATTCCGTTTACGAAACTTCTATTATTCTTGAAGGAAAAAAATTTCTTCTTTTTATTCGTTATTTTTTTTTAATAAATTGATAATTATTTTATGATTGAAAGAATTTCTCAAAAAATTGAAATAAATAACAATATGAATATTGGTGATATTATTAATAATATATTAATTAATAATAGTAAAAAAATAATATTAATAATAATATTAATTTCGAAAATAAAAAACTATAAACTCTTTATTTTTTTTCTTTATAATTTGATAAAAATTGTATTTCTTCAAATTATTTTTTTTTTGAATTTTTTATTTATTTTTTCCATTGAATTATATCTTATTGTATTTTTTTAAATCTATTTATTATTACGTATGATTAGTATTAATAATTAATAATAGTATTGACTTTGGAAATAAAAAACTAAACGTTTTTATTTTTTCTTTATATTTTGATAAATATTTTTTTCTTCAATTTACTTATTTTTTTATTATTATTTACGTTTAATTAATTATTTATTATTATTTTATTTTTTTATTTAATTGCTTATTATTATTATTAATATTAATATTAATTAATAATAGTATTGACTCTGGAAATAAAAAACTATAAACTCTTTTTATTTTTAAAAAATATTTTCATTATTACTTATTATTAATTAATTATTATCATTTTTATTAGCAACATTAATTAATAATAATATCAACTTCAGAGATAAAAAAATATAAAACTTATTATTTTTTTTTATAATTTGATAAAAATATTTTTTTTAAATTATTTTTTTATTGTAATTTTTTATTTATTTTTTCCATTGAATTATTTATTATTGTATTTTTTTAATTCTATTTATTTTTGCTATTATTATTATTAGATATTATTAGTAATAATAATTAATAATAGTATTAACTTTGGAAATAAAAATCTAAAACTTTTTATTTTTTCTTTATATTTTAATAAATATTTGATTTCTTCAAATTATTTATTTTTTTATTTTTTTTCATTCAATTATTTATCATGCTATATTATTATATCATTTTATTGCATTATTCATTATTATTTTTCTTAGTTAATTATTATTGTTATTGTTTTATTTAATTATTTATTGTTAATTATTATTTTTATTGTTTTATTTAATTATTCATTGTTATTAGAATTGATAATAATAATAATATTCACTTTTTAAACAAAAAACTACTCTTTTTATTTTTTCTTTATATTGTAATAAATATTTAGTTTTTTAATTTATTTTTTTAAAATTTATTTTCTTTATTCTCTCTTTATTTATTAAATTACATTTTATAATTGTTGAGTTTAGTTGCTAAAATAACGAAAATAAAAAATTTTACCGTGAGTGCTTTGCCCCTGTTGAATGTTGTCCATTCGTACAGTGAAGTTTGATTTCGTTTCAAATTTTAAACTCCATTGCAACAACAACTATACTCGAAGACTTTATTATTGTCTTGAGTTGTTTCTTAACATTTGTCTCGTGCGTCTCGTGTGAAAGAGATCACACAGTGAGAAACGAGCGAGCTTTAGTGAGTGTTGAGCTTTTTCAAGTTTAAATATTTCAGTATTTGAATGTCGCGCTCTTAAAAAGCATCTGTCGCGCCCCTAACGGCGAATCAATTGAACTAAACACACACTAGAGAACTTGTGTGTTTGTGTGTGTGTGTGTTGAGAAAATGGTCGAGCCATCGGTGTTCGACGAAAAATTATTATTTCGCGAGTGTTCCAATTATTATCTCCATTGAGTCTTCGTATTTTATTAATCAAGAAAACTAAAGCTCTGCCTATTCCACTAATTTTAAGACGGCATTAACAACTTGAAAAAAAGTGATAAATAGTTTTTATTTCACTAGCAGACGACGTTCGTTTTTAAGTAAAAATAAATGTCATTATATATTTGGATCACTCGCTGAAAATTGCGTGGGAGATAAAAAGGGAAAGAATCTCAAAAAAATCAAATATTACCTAAAAAGATAGTTTTGTATGAGAAATTGAAAATTTTATCAAATATTGAAGAAAATTTTTTTTTTCTGAAGAGAAGGGACTTTTTTTTTGTGCGCCGGTTTAGTGGTGACTTATCGGCTGGAGGGAAAGGGGGCAAAAGTCACCCCCTTGGAATAGCTGACCCTTTGCTTGAACGCAATGATGGCTGCCTAACACGGGGCGCGTACCAAGAATTTTCTTCAATATAAACTCTTCTTTAGGTTACGAATAGTAAAAAAAAATTGTATATACATATATATATTTATTTTTGTGAGTGGGCTACTGGGCGTGTCAAGTGTGTCCTCTTGTCGCGAGATCAAACTCGCGGATTTTTGAATTAGTGCTGCACAATCGTTGTCGAGAACCATGGCAACCGCATTAAGGGGTTGGTTCCATTTTCTAGGCATCCGAATCATCCGGAAAAACTCATCTCGAGACATGTAGGCGATGAAAGCACGGATCAGAATAATAACATCACCATGACGAGTGAAAATCTTCTGCAACCCGGCCATGTGGTTAAAGAAAGATGGAAAGTGGTAAGGGACACGTTTTTTTGGAGTTTTATTTTGACACTTTTTTCCCTATTTTACTTTCTTTTTGGCTTCATTTTCCTTCTTTCTCTTTCCCCTTATTTTTCTTTTGTTTCCTTTCTTTATCACATTTTTATTTCTGCTTTTGTCGATGAACTTTAAACTCATGAATTTATAGATCACGTCGAGTATCAAATTACAATTCGACAAATTTCTCTACTAAATTTATCTTTTCTATTCTTTTCACTAAAAAATTTCATTTCATTTCTTGTAACCTTGAAAGTGTTACAAATTTTCTATATCGACTGCATTTTCCATTTTTCCTATCCCTCTAAAGAGAAACTTACTCTCTAAAAACTTTATTGATTTAAGTTTGGCTTTGAATCTAATGTGAATCTTTCATCTGATGTAAATTTCCCAAGTTGGATAACAAAATGAATTTCAGAATCTAGAACTCGCTGTGTGGTAATTTAAATGAAAGTTTTAGTAACAGCCTAGTATAATTTTGTTTGTTTCTTCTTTTTATAGTAATCAATATTTATGTATGTATATGCATTTGTATGTTTTAGAAAAAAAAGTCTATATCTTAGTTTAATTTTTCAATGTCTTCTTTTTAAGTCAAATTAAATTCTAATTGTGTTTCACTTTAGAGAGAATAAGTTAATAATTTATTAAAAATCTTGTATTGATCATGAGTTGAAAAGTAACTGCATAGGTAGTATTTTATTTTAGACAACAAAACAGCATGTTGTAAATTATTCTTATGTAAGTGTTTTGATTCTATGAATGAATCATTAAAATTTTTTTCTCCAATACAATTTTTTTTAATTAATTTATTAATTCAATAATACTTGAATGATTTATCTATAATTTTTTTATTATAATGTTGATCTATAAAGTAAAATTGTATATTATTTACTATTAGAATTTTGTTTATTTTGTTCTTGAATTTTTTTTTCTGATTTTAATAGTCTATTTTAATACTACAGTATTTTTTTTTTTATTATTTTTTTAATTGTTTATTTGTATTATTTTTTTAATTATTTATTTATTATTATTATTATTATTATTATTATTATTTTAAATAATTTTTTTTAAATAATTTTTTTAATAATTAATTTAATAATATCAACAAATTATACTTTTAGACAGACTGGTTTGATTATTTTATTTCTAATTTATTTTCACACCCTTTTTGTAGATTTGTATCAAAAATTTTCTTTGCACTTTATTATAAAATCGATTTTAATTATTCATTGTGTTTGTTTGTTTGTTATTATGAAATAGACGAAAAAAATTGGCGGTGGTGGATTTGGGGAAATCTATGAAGGCCTAGATTTAGTCTCAAAAGAAAATGTTGCACTTAAAGTGGAATCTGCTCGTCAACCAAAGCAAGTGCTTAAAATGGAAGTGGCCGTACTTAAAAAACTTCAAGGTGATAATTATTGCTACATTCCTTTTTTGTTAATTTTTTCAACAAATATTTTGTAATTCGCGCGTGTGTGTGTGAGTAAATTTTACCACAAGACTGTTTAGAGAAAGTCTTTTTTAAATTATACAATTTTAGAGAAATTTTCCACTTTTACTATACAATTATATTAATTGCCTAAACTTAGAAAAAATTATTATTTTATTTATATATTTATGTTTTAAAGAAAAATGTACTTTATTTATTGAATTGAAAAATATCGAAATTTTAATTATTAATTGTCTAAATTTAGAAAAATTTCTTTTATTTATTTATTGAATTGAAGAAAAATGAATTTTACTTATTTAGTGAATTGAAGAAAAAATTGAAAATCAAATAAAATGAATAATTGGGGAAATTTTTTTTTTTATGTTTCAGGTAAAGAAAATGTCTGTAGATTTATAGGCTGTGGAAGGAACGATAGATTCAATTATGTAGTAATGCAACTTCAAGGAAAAAATTTGGCAGAATTGCGACGTGCGCAACCGAGAGGTTCCTTTTCTCTATCCACGACATTACGACTCGGGATTCAAATTTTAAGAGCAATAGAAAATATACATCAAGTTGGCTTCCTTCACAGAGACATTAAGCCAGTAGGTTTCTCTTTAATTGATTTTTTTGCTCGTCATAATTAGCCCCCTTAAATTGGTATAGTTAAATATTCATAGGAATTATTCCCTTTAAATCATTTAAAATTTAATTATTTTAATTCTTTTCGTTTTGTTCATTTTTCAAGTAAATTACATTACCCTCGACGAATTAAAAAATTGATTCTTTTCGTTCTGTTTATTTTCGAAGTAAATTAATTTAACGGAAAAATTAAATTAATAATAAATGGATTGAATTATTAATTATTAATTATGGAAGCATGGAGTATAATTGTTTGAATTGTTTTGCAGTCGAATTTTTCAATCGGTCGCCAGTCCAACAATTGCAGATTAGTTTACATGCTGGATTTTGGATTGGCTCGTCAATTTACAACGGGTAACGGGGAGGTTCGACCTCCTCGAGCTGCAGCAGGATTCAGAGGTACCGTCCGGTATGCGTCCATCAATGCTCACAAGAACAAAGAAATGGGGCGACACGACGATTTGTGGTCTCTTTTTTATATGTTGATAGAATTCGTTAATGGGTCACTTCCTTGGCGCAAACTCAAAGACAAGGAACAAGTAAGAGTCTTTTAAATACACTGAAAAAGAAATGTTTTTAGTTGAAAACATTTTTGAATATTTAAAAGTTTTACTATTTATTAATATTAATAATTTATTAATATATTAATAATTTATTAATACATTAATATATTAATATTAATAGTGCAGAGTCTACATTTATTAATATTAATACTTTTTTGCTGTATTTTTAGTAAAATTGACTATTTTTATGTGATTATTTCAAATAACTTTTTCTCTTTCATTTATTAGGTAGGATTATTGAAAGAAAAATATGATTATCGATTGCTGCTGAAGCATCTTCCTTCGGATTTCCGTCTTTTCTTAGAGCACATTCAGGTAAATTTATCGACTTTCAATTTTTTTTTCTGTTAATTAAAATCAGCGTCGGTGGTAATTGATTTTTAATCCTTTTAAGACTTTTTTCCTTAATTTTTTTTCTTTTAGAAAATAAATGTTTGATATAACTGTTTAATAATATCTATAAGCTTTTTTGGCTTGTTGACAAAGTTTCTTTACGTATTATCGTTAGTAAATATTGCATCGTAGAGAAATATTTGGCATTCTACAAATATGCCTAATTCTATAAACGTTCGTTTCTACTTTTTCTCGTTTACTTTTTTTTCTTGTAAAAGTATTAAAACGTATTAAAAAGTATTTAAACATGTAATAGAGTATGTATTAAATTTACAAAAACGGGGTTTGATTGAAAATTTTTGAATTTATTTTTACAGATAATTTTTTTTCTCTCTGAAAAAAAACCTTGAATTTATTTTCTAGAGTTTGAGTTACGCGGATAAACCGGATTATGCAATGTTGAGTGGCTTACTCGAGAGATGTATGAGACGTCGAGGTGTGAAGATGGGCGACCCTTACGACTGGGAAAGACCTATAATTGTTAATGAAGGTTTACCAACCACCAGATCGTTACCTACAGTTCCACTTCCACCGACTCATACAACAGCCACGACTATTAATCAATTGCAAACCACACCAAATGTAGATACGAATAATCAAGAAAATGTCGAGCCCGACAACAGAAAAGAATTAGATGTTAGTCTCGAATATTCATCTTTCTTCATTTTTTCAAACTTGTTGATTTTACTTTTCAATTTTAGAAAATTTTCTTTTGGATAAATTTTAAATTATATTTTTTTAATTTTCCTTTTGATGAATCTTTTTTCTTTGAATGAATTTTAAATTCTTTTGGATTCTTTTCTTCCATTGGAAGAAATTGTAAGAAAGTGAAATTTGCAAAACAATCAAAAACATTTTCATTTAATTTTAATGAAAAATTTTCTTTTTGAAGGCTCAATTGGATTATGAAAATATATGCAGGAGAATTCGACAGTGTACAGTAGAAGGATCGACGATTCCGTTAACAGCAGCAATTAGCAATCATGGCCGGGATAAAAATTGCAATGCTACGTTACCTGTTACGGACAACACAAATCCCCAGGGAGGACAGGTCGCTGCTTCACTACCTGTGCAAGGTTCGAGAATTTTTCTACACGTTTCCTTCAATATTTTTCATAAGTTTCACGTTTTTTTAATTATTACATTTTAAATTTTCAATCAATTGTAACGAAGTGACTCGATTTGACGAATTTCATAATCGAGAGTTATATTTGAGAGTTTAATTCATTTTATAGTTTGTTAATTTGAATTTGAGTTTTTATTAATAAATAGTTGTTTTTGTTAAATGTGTGTTTCACTGTGTTTGCATTCATTGACGATCGGAGGAAAGTAGCAGTAGTTTATGAAATTATTCCAAAAAATCTTGAGTATTTTTTAATTTTACAGTTTTCGAATAAAATAGTTGATTAAATTTAAAATTTAGTATAATTTAGTGTTAAAAATACTTTATTATTAATTTAGTACCTTTAAATAATTAAAATTAAATTTTTTGCAGTTTCTCCGAAGAAGAGACGTGCAGTGTCGATGGCAGTTGAACCGCAGTGTCAAGCTCCCCAGGTGGAAAAGCAAATTGACACCGAAGCGGATGAAATGGTTGCGTCTGCACGTTCAGCATCAGAAGTACCACGTAATAAATCAAATACGAATGTTTCTGTGCCTCTTCGAAAGTCAGCGAGCGGTGCAACTTTTGCGCGTTTAAGAGTCGTTGCTGCACCAGAACAAACAACTGGTGAACCTCCAAGTCCCCGAATACAGACTGATGTTGATGCCTCGTATTGTTCGTACGATGTGACAAATGCAAAAAATGTCGGCAATCAGAGTCCGGTAAGTTTCTTTCGTTTTTTCTCTTAATTATCAAGATCTAATTAACTTTTTTCTAAACGAGAAGTCATAAAGCAGAGATAATGGGATAAAAAATTTATTTTATTCGAAATTAGTCACTTTATTTGTAAATTAAAAAGAAAATGAAATTCAACGATTTCAGGAGAGTTCAACGAAGAGAATTAACAACAGTGCTGATAGTGAATCATGTCTCTCGTGTGTAGAGTTGACGAAGAAGCAAATTTCTCTCGCTATTAAGAATTAAGAGTATTTTGAGAACAACATTTTCAATTTTTGTAAAATTGAATTCATTAATTATAAAAGTTTAATAAGGTACAAAAAACCACCAGTGTTAGTAGTACATAGTTGTTTCTAGAGAATTTTAACAATTTTGTGAATTAGTTTTTTTTGTAAACAAAACATAAAGAATAGAGTAATTTTTGAAAGAAACAAATTGGATAACATTTGGTTCGTGGAACGTTCTTTTTATAACCACAATTTAGTGGATTTTGTTGTCTTCGTCTCTCTGAATTGTTTTCTTGTGTTGATTAAAATTTTCTTTTATGTTAATTTTATGTTTGTGTATGAAACAGGTAACAGAGCAGAGGGAGCCTTTGAGGAGAGAACCGAAAAAGAGAGTTGATGGACGTCATCAGTCACGAAGTGGTCGTTCAGCATTCAGAGATTGTTCCATTACTCAATTCGCACAAATAGATGATGATAACGTCTCAGCCTTACAACAAGTCACAAAAGGAGGTGGAGGATTGACATTGGCGTCACAGTGGAAGTCGCAGTTTGACGATTCCGAGGAGACAGACAATGAATGGAAAGGAGACAATCTACAAAGTCCGGAACATAAAGGAGGTCACCCACCATCCATTGTGCCGCATGTAAGATTATTTTCAATTTCTGCATTTTTGTCAAAACTTTTTCTCTTATTCTCAATTTTTATATTTAAATTAGCAAATGATACGCGCGCCAGCGTGCGGAACGCGGACTTCCGTTTATTATTATTTTGTAAATAAAAAAATTTTATATTTTCAAGAATAAACATCAATTTTTGAAATGAAATTGAAATTTTCATAAATAGGAAAATTCTTCGCAAGATTAAAATATTTTCATAAATAATAAAATTCTTCAAAGGAACTCAATTTTTTAAAATAAAATTTTAATAAAATTTCTCGAAAGAATACAAATATTTTTAAAAATATTATTCAAATACAATTATTTTCAAGAGCTTTTATAAAAATTCAATTATTTAGAAGAGTTTTAATAAAAATTAAATTATTTTTGTAAATAATAAAATTCTTCTGGAAAATTTAATTATTTTCAATACAATTTTAATAAAATTTCTAGGAAAAAATTTAATTATATTCCAGATAATTTTAATAAAATTTCTCTAACCGGTTCAATTATTTTTAAAAATTGTAATAAAATTTTTCTAAACAATTCAATTGTTTTCAAAAGTTTTACATAAAATTTTGTAAATTTCAATTAATTTCAAAATTTTCAATTAAAATTACTTTTAAAAAATTCATTATTTTTACGAAATTTAATAAAATTCTTAAAAAAATGTAATTATTTACATAAAGTCTAATACAATTTTTTAAAAGAATTGAATTTTTTATGAATAATTTTAATGTAATTTAACAGAGAAATTATTTTTTTAAAAATCCATTATTTTTAAGAAAATAGAAATAAATTCTTCAAAACAATTAAGTTATTTAAAAAAATTTTAATAAAAATCTTTTAAAGAATTAAATTATTTTCAATACAATTTTAATTACATTTTCTCGAAAGAATGTATTGAAGAAAATGTTTATAAAATTCTTGAAATGAATTCAATTATTTGCAAATTTTTTTGATAAATATTTTGCAAGAATTCAATGATTTTCAGTACATTAATTTTAAAATTGAAAACCTTTTAAATGGAAAATTATGTCAAAAGTTAGGAAACAATAGAGTAAACAATAACAAACTGCGAACAGATTACCGGAATACAACGATTATTAATACAGATTTTTTTAATATTCAGGTATAGTTTTAATTTCCAAAATTTGAAATACTTGGAAATCCATAAACTCAGTAGGGGATTTAAAAAAATTTGGAAATTCTATTTATATTCTATTTATGTTAGATTGTGTCATACAATACGAAATGAAAGAAATGTAATTTCTAGGAATAGAAATTTATAAATACTTGATATTGCTTGTTTGAAAAGATGTTATTTTAAGAATGTAATTTTCTTTTTTATTTTAGACTACAACAACTGGTAATGAAGCGGTGGCAGCAACGACATCGACACCGGTTTCACAAGAGGGGAAGGTGCAAGTGTCCGTATTGCCGACATCTTCCCAGCAACAAAGTTTATCGGCTGTTCAAACTGCGCTCTCACGAATAAATGAGGATTCTCCACATGCTGCTGGTCGGCACAGGTGTTTGAATATTGCCGGAATTGAAAAATATCCGGAATTACAGAGAGCATTACCGAGGGCATGGAGTGTGCCGGCGCTGGCGCCGCACGTCCGGGATTATCTAGAAGCTCCTCTGGTTCGTTCGAAAATTTGTTATTAATTAGAAAATTAGTTGAAAGTTACAAATCTTTGAAATTATTATTTTAGGAATTACAGGCTTCGCAATCAATGACTAAAACCATATTTACTAATCTTTTTTACGATTTGATACTATTTGGATACTTTTCTTAGATTTGACACTAAAAGTTACTTTTTTCTTTTCTTTTATTTTTTGAGAATTTTTAGTACTTTAAATCCTCTAATAGTTGAAAAAAAAATTTCTCAAGATTTTTAATAAAATTCTGAGAATTTAAATTCTTAATTCAATAACATTTTTCGAAAGAATTGAATTATATTCAAAAATTTTAATAAAATATGTTGCGAAAATCCAATTTTTTCCACAAATAACAGAATTCTTCGGAGGAATTCAATAATTTTGAAGTTCTTCTACTTTAATGACAGTTCTCGAAATAATTCAATTATTTCAAAAAACTTTTATTGAATTCTCTGTAAGAAATCAATTATTTTTCCTTATTTTGATAATTTTATTTTTTTTAAGAATTCGATTATTTTTACTACAATTGTAATTAAATTCCTGGAAAGAATCGAATTGTTTACAAATTTTTTAATAAAAAATTCTTCTGAACAATTAAATTATTTTTTTAAAAATAGTAAAATTCTTCGATAGAATTCAGTTATTTTCAAAAATAGTTAAATTTTTTGCAAGAATTTAATTATTTTCATAAATAAGAAAATTCTTGGAAGGATTTCAATTATTTTTGTTGCAATTTTAAATGAATTAAATTTAAAACAAAAATAATTGAAATCCTTCCAAGAATTTAATTATTTTCATAAATAAGAAAATTCTTGGAAAGATTTCAATTATTCTTGTTGCAATTTTAAATGAATTCCTCGAAAAACACAATTATTCTTAAAAATTTAATTAGATTTCTTCGAGAGAAGTTAATTATTTTCAAAAAATGTTAATAAAAGTCTTTACCAGAATTCAATTTTAAAAAATAAATAAATTATTCTGTCAATTATTTATTTTTGTAATTAAATAATTGAATTCTTTTAGAATTTTCTAATAAGAATTAATTTAAAAATGGATTTCAATTAAAATTTTAGTTAATTATTTAATGTTACGAGCGTTATAGCAGGAATTTTTATAAACAATTGAATTTCAAAAGATTTTTAAATTAAAATTTAATCGTTTTCAAAATTTTTAATAAAAGATTCTTCAAAAATTCAATTATTTTCACAAATATTAAAATTTTCTCTCAGGAATTAAATTATTCAAGAAAAATCTTATAAAATTCCATTGCAAGAATTCAATTATTTTTATAAATAGATACATTTTTCGCATGATTTCAATTATTTTAGATACAATATTTAAATGAATTTCTCGAAAAATGCAAGTACTTTTAATTATTAATTTTACAATTTTTCGAATAAAATTCAATTATTTTAAAAAAATTTTGATAAAATTCTTTACAAGAATTCAATTTTAAAAAATAAATTAATTATTCTGTCAATCATTTATTTTTGTATTTAAATAATTGAATTCTTTTAGAATTTTCTTGTAAGAATTGATTAAAAAATGGTTAAAATTAAATTTTAGATAATAATTGACTGTTAGGAGCGTGGTGACAGAAATTTTTAGAAGTAATTGAATTTCAAAATATTTTTTAATTAAACTCTAATCGTTTTCAAAATTTTTAATAAAAGATTTAAAAAAAATTCAATTATTTACACAAATATTAAAATTTCTTACATGAATTCAATTATTCAAGAAAAATTTATTAAAATTTTGTTGCAACAGTTCAATTATTTTCATAAATAAGAAAATTCTTGGAGGATTTCAATTATTGTTGAGATAAGTTTAAATGAATTCCTCGAAAAATGCAATTATTCTTAAAAATTTAATTACAATTACACACAATATTTCAAAAGAATTCTATTATTACTTTAAAAAATTTTTATATTACATTAGATTCTTTATAAGAATTAAATTTGAAAAAATATTGAATTATTCTATCAATTACTTTTGGATTTAAATAATTGAAGTCGTGTAGTTGAATTCTGATAAAAACTGATTTAAAAAAGAGTTTCGGTTTGTAACGAAGTGTTTCGTTACTTACTCGGCCTAATTTACAATGTGTAGAAAAGGTATTTTCAGAGTTTAGAGAATCGTTTGTTTGTCTCTTTCTTATCAGAGGTCTGTCTCGTTTGTTGTCAAGTCTCTTGTGTATTCCTTTCGTATCAGCGTGTGAGGAGCTGTGGTTTTCGTGAAATCAGAATTTAAATGATTTTGCGCATGATTAACTGTCAGCGTACGTCACATGGTCAGCGACCCTTTCCAGGTTTCTTCTAGGTGCCGTTCCGTGGGGATAAGAAGAAGGGTTCTTCCGAAAATTGCGAAGGAAAAACAAGGAAACGATTTCGATAGCGGAAAAGCCTTTGGGGACAATCAGATGGTTCGACACTTACTTGCGGGTTTCCGAGAAGTCGTGACGTGGTTTTGACGAGTGTCAGAGTCGAGAGTTATAGTTGAAAATATGATTTATTAATTTTGTAGTTGTTAATTATTTCGAGTTTTATTAATAAATAGTTATTGTTTGTTAATTCTGTGTTTTAATGTGTTTTGCGTTCATTGTGGACCGGAGGAGTGTGCCAAAGAGTAGAGAAAATTGGTAGCGTCTCAACGGTCGAGTTTGAATAGTTCGTTGGTTGTTCGTTGTTCGTTGTTCAGTTGACCGGTTTGCATCACGGCATCGTCTTGGAAGAATTCCCCGATGAGATTTTGTGTTTTGCGGAAGCTGTGGAGTTGCGAGTAGCAGAGTGTGTTCTTGGACGGGATTCGATGCAAATGTTTCGGGTTGAATATTTAAATATATTAATTCGATTCATCAGTTAATTTCTATGTCACAAATGGCGCCCAACGTGGGGCTGCTCCAAGTTCTTCTGACAACTTCGATCTGCGGTGGCATTGTTACAATTGGGCCAAGCTAAGATTTAATCAAAAACGATCTTGGCAATGTCAGCGTTACAACGGGCCACGCCAGGATTTCCAAGCCAACGAACTTATAGTGAATGTGTGTGCTGAGCAAGAAGATAGTGTATTTTTCGTTCGTGTCGATCAGCGTCCGTATAATCAAGAATAGTGAATTTCAGCGTCCTACAAATTCTTGATTTCGAACGTGATCTATTTTGTGTATTCTTTGTTGAATTAGGAGATAGAGTATGTTTCCAACGGTTTTTTGTGGAAGCGTACTTGGACGCGGCGTCATCAGGCGGGAGGATTTTGGCGGCAAAGTGAGTCACTTGTGCAGCTGACTGCCGTCTTGATCTCGCACGTCAATTTTCCAGTGTATATAGTTTCCAAGCGAAATAATATTTCGAGAGTGAATTCTCAGGAGAAATTTACGAATTTTAATTGATTTTTAAATTGACTATTCTGACTAGTAGTGTAGGAATAGTCAAGATCATAAATTTCGAAAAGATCGTCTACAATCAATGGTTTTGCATTTTGCATACATTATTTTTTTGTTATCAGCGACTGGATAGAATTCATGACTTAAATTTGGAGAAAATTTTACTTTTGTACATGGAAGTGCGAGGATAGTGAAGCGACGCTAGTTTCCCCCCCCCCTGTGTTCGTCAACTGGAGACGCGTTATTGAAAAGCGCGGTTTAAAATTTGGTGCTTGATTAGTGAGTGATTATTAGCGACTTCGATAAATTTCATTTTTGCGATCAGCGTCCAGAGTGAAGAGTTGGGAGTTTGAAGTTTTCTATTATTCTCATCTTGCTATCAGCGTTTAGGAATGAGAATGGAGATTTGAATTTCTTTTGTCGTTAATTATCAATTTTTGATCAGCGCGGTAAGAGGGTGTGTTGCCGGATTTTCCCGCGTGACGTAATTGTTTACGCGTCCCCCCCTGGAGATTGGAGGGAAAAATTTGGCGCAGGAAATTATCCGCGTGGGTCAAGCCACTAAATATAAAGCGTCATGTGAGAGAGTTGAGTTGGGAAAATTGAGATTGAGTTTTCAGCGGATTAAGATAGTTTTTCCCTGATTAATGTGTTTCGGGAAAAATGATTAATTCAAATTTTTTGTGTTCTGGGGAAAGAGTAAATTGTGTAGATCGGATTATAATTATTTTTCCTCAGAAATGTGTGTTGCGGGAAGGGAATGATTATTCCGATAATTATTCGTGTTTTGGAAATTGTGAGTTTATTTCGGATTATAATTATTTTCCCTGATTTGTTCGTGTTCCGGGAAAAATAACTAATCCTAAGATGTGTTGAGTTGTCTTGAGTTGAGTTATTGTGTTCGTGAATTTTTGAGGCCTGACGTTGCAATGTGAAGAGTTTGTCGTTCTTTGTCATAGATTCACATTGTAAACGATTAGATCGTTTGTGGCTCGTATTAATATTTTATCGGTGGGGAGAGTTGCTCCGCAATACCGATTTGTGGTTAAAAGAGTTACATATCTGAATAGAATGGCAACGTTCCTGAGTTTGGTGAAACCCAAACAGAAATTATTTCTTTTATTTTCCTGTTTGTTACTGGTTTTTCAGTAAATGTTCCACTCAAGAGCGATCACCGGGAACAGAAGGAATATTATCTATTAGGGAAGTGTATCTTTACAAAGCAATCACGGTCAGCGTCTTGTTGAGAGAGTTCTGTCAGGGGTAGTGAAGAGTTTTGAGTAAACTGGCTCGGTCGTGGTTCACAAGAGAAAGACAGTTTTGTTGTACTGAGTGTGTTAAGGGTTATTTGGTCTTTGAGGAGAGTCTAATCTTTAATATAATTGGATTCTCATGTGTTCGAGTATGACTCTTTGGAGAAGTCATTATTGTGTTGACGATTCTATGTGGGAGATAAGAGAGTGTGTTAATATCAATTTCCATTTCTTTTGCTTAGTAGAAAATGAGGTTTTCGATCAGCGGTTCTGTGAGAACTTATAAAGAATTGGATAATTGATACCCCCCCCCTTTTTCGAAGTTCAGCGGTTGAAGTGAAATGGTTAATGTGTGTTAACTATCAGCTGTTTCAACTATGAGGGAGGGAGAATTTGTGTAGTTTGGTCTTTATGGAGTGTTCTAATCACCATGAGGAGAACTCAGTGTGGGTGATGACCAAACTATATTTGTTTTTGTTGAGGTGAATTTTCGAGAAAATTTTGAGTTGTGGGTACTCACTCGAATATCATTATGAGTATAGTGAGAAAATTCGAGTGACGTTACCAACTCTAAATTAATGTGGCGTAAATCTAAAGAGTCATTACTTGATTTTGTGAGGGAAATCAGTGTGAAGGATCCATTCCTGTCTTTCAATTTGTGTTACGATCAGCGTCCGGGTAATCAGATCCCTGGGAGAGTTATCAGCGTTTGTGGGTGTTTTTTGTGTTTGAGAGAGAGACGAGAGGGTTTAAAGGGAAGGAGAGAGGAGAGAGAGACGAGAGGGTTTAAGAGAAAGAGAGAGGAGAGAGAGACGAGAGGGTTTAAGAGAGAGAGGGAGAGAGAGGAGAGACGAGGGGGTTAAAGAGAGAAGAGAGAGAGAGGGTTAGAGAAGAGAGGAGATCGAGAAAGAGACTAAGTTGTTTTTGTAGTTTCGGAAATTGATTAAGAGAAGAGACTTAATTATTGTGTTTAGTGTTGTGAAAAGATTAGGTTTATTTCGAAGTAAAGTAAGTTGCATTGAGGCAACTGAATCTCGATTTAAAAATTGAGTATTTCGAATTGAGGGTTTAGAATTTTTGTGTTGAGATTATTTTGTATTTTGGAATGTGTATAAAATATTTTGAGTTGACAGAAATGTTGTGTAACATGTCAAGTTGTCAAACCTGTAGTGAAAACAGAATTGTGTTAATTTTGGTTAGATGATATTTTTCTTAAGTAATATTTCCGTTTTTGTTTTTTATTTTATCGGCAATATTACTGAGAGTAATATTGGCCTAGGGAGGGGTATTGTAACGAAGTGTTTCGTTACTTACTCGGCCTAATTTACAATGTGTAGAAAAGGTATTTTCAGAGTTTAGAGAATCGTTTGTTTGTCTCTTTCTTATCAGAGGTCTGTCTCGTTTGTTGTCAAGTCTCTTGTGTATTCCTTTCGTATCAGCGTGTGAGGAGCTGTGGTTTTCGTGAAATCAGAATTTAAATGATTTTGCGCATGATTAACTGTCAGCGTACGTCACATGGTCAGCGACCCTTTCCAGGTTTCTTCTAGGTGCCGTTCCGTGGGGATAAGAAGAAGGGTTCTTCCGAAAATTGCGAAGGAAAAACAAGGAAACGATTTCGATAGCGGAAAAGCCTTTGGGGACAATCAGATGGTTCGACACTTACTTGCGGGTTTCCGAGAAGTCGTGACGTGGTTTTGACGAGTGTCAGAGTCGAGAGTTATAGTTGAAAATATGATTTATTAATTTTGTAGTTGTTAATTATTTCGAGTTTTATTAATAAATAGTTATTGTTTGTTAATTCTGTGTTTTAATGTGTTTTGCGTTCATTGTGGACCGGAGGAGTGTGCCAAAGAGTAGAGAAAATTGGTAGCGTCTCAACGGTCGAGTTTGAATAGTTCGTTGGTTGTTCGTTGTTCAGTTGACCGGTTTGCATCACGGCATCGTCTTGGAAGAATTCCCCGATGAGATTTTGTGTTTTGCGGAAGCTGTGGAGTTGCGAGTAGCAGAGTGTGTTCTTGGACGGGATTCGATGCAAATGTTTCGGGTTGAATATTTAAATATATTAATTCGATTCATCAGTTAATTTCTATGTCACAGGTTTCAATTTTAGAAAACAATAACATTTTCTATCCTTATGGATGTTGTTCAGCAACAATCTAGGTTGTTAGTAGTTTATAAAAAATAATAGAATTTTTTATAGGAATTAAATTACTTTTAATACGATTTTAATAAAATTTCTCTAAAGAATTCAATATTTTCAAAAGTTTTGATTACATTCTTTATAAGAATTCAATTTTTAAAAATAAGTCAATTATTCTGTCAATTATTTATGTTTGTATTTAAATAATTGAATTCTTGTAAGACTTTCTAATAAGAATTGACTTTAAAATAGTCTTTTTCCCGTGAAATAAAATTTCGAAAATGGTCAAAAATAAATTATAGTAAGTCTTTAACGTCCGAGTGGTTTTAATAATAAGAAAGTTTTATAAATTTGGAAAAAAATATAAAATTATATTTTTATTTTCAAGGCGTTTTTTTTAAATTCATTTCATGTCCACTTAAAAGTCCTAAATGAGCCCTGCATTATGGCAGTATAAAATTTTAAATAACGGTAAATTTTTTAGGATTGGCGGAAATTAGCCCTAATTAAGAAGACGTTTACTGCATTTAGTATTTATTTCCCTTTTTTTACTCAGATTATAATAAAATTTTTAAATTTTAAATTACAGGTTCAACAGGCTGCATTTGATGATTTATTGTACGAAGTCGATGTCATGAGGAATATCGCAACACGACACGATGAACCAAGGGAAAGTCCACCACGTAGGCGTGCGAGTGTTCCTGCAGTTACGTTTTCTCCAACAAATACCGTTCCAACAACACCAGCTGGAGATGAGGAAGAAGAAGCAGTTGCTGGAAGACTTGAAATAAGAGTTGTCGATGGGACCGGAGGTGCTACTGTCGTTCAAACCAGCGCCGATAAAGAACCTTTGCAAAGTAGTGAGGAATTTTTAAATTTATATTATCTATTTTTATTTATTTAATTTGTAATACTATATCAATCTTTAACTTTCGATTTTTTCTATTTTTATTTATTTAATTTGCAATATTAAATCCACCTTTAACTTTCGTTATATTTATTTGTTCTGTATTTTTTTTGCATGTTTCCTTCTTTTCTAATTTTCTTGTTTCTTTTTTTTTTGCAGAAAAATTAACTAATGGCACTGTTGGAAGTCCAGCGAGTCCTAATGCTGGTCAGCAAGATTCTTCCGTCTATTATGACACTACTGAAAATCGTGTTTGCGCGAATAATATGCCAAATAAAAATCCAGTGACTACCACAGCGACGACCACTGTACCATCGAGTGTTCAGCTTCGGGAACACAAGGACAAGGATCGAGAGAATTCGTACAGGCCACATAGTACGTACAGTAAAATACCAGTTCCAGTGAAGAGTCCCCGATGTTCGTTGTCTGAATCGACACCCGAGACGAATACAACTACCACGAGAACAGGAACAACCACTGGAAGCGAACCTGCGGCTCAGAATTCTCAATCAAAAGACTCAGGTTAGTTTTGTTTTTCTACTTCACCATTTCGAGTTTTTATGCAATTATGCAAATTACAAAATTTTTTATTTTCAAATATAAATTTTTGAATAATTTCATAACCAAAATGAAAAAAATTCACTTATTAAGTGCATAGGTAATTAATTAATATTGTTTATATTTCCACAAATTTGAATAAAATTCTTCCTAACAATTCAATTATCTTCATAAAAAGTAAAATTCTTCGCTAGAATTCAATTATCTTCATAAAAAATAAAATTCTTTTGAAGATTTCAATTATTTTCATTAATAATAAAATTCTTTTGAAGATTTTAATTATTTTCAAAAATAAAAAACAAATTCTTATCAAGAATTCAATTTTTTTTCATAAATAATAATTGAGAATTCTTTACAGAATTTCAATTATTTTAAAAAATTTAAAACAAATTCTTGTCAAGAAATTGTTTAAAATTTTTTAAAATAATTGAAATCTTCCAAAGAATTTGATTTTTTATAAATAATAATTTTTTTTTCATAAATAATAATAGAATTCTTTACCGAATTACAATTTTTTTTTTACTAAATTTGAAACAAATTTTTGTCAAGAAATCCTTTCGAAGTAAGATTTATCGCAAAAATTAAATTATTTTTTATAAATGATAAAATTCTTCAGAGGATTACAATTATTTTCAAAAATTTTAATAAGATTCTTCCTAAAAATTCAATTATCTTCATAAAAAATAAAATTCTTTTGAAGATTTCAATTATTTTCTTAAATAATAAAATTCTTCGAAGTATTTAAATTATTTTCAAAAATTTTAACACGTAATTCTTCACAAGAATTTAATTATCTTCATAAAAAAAATTCGTTATAATATTTGATTTATTTTCATTAATTATAAAATTCTTCGAAGGATTTCAATTATTTATAAAACAATTTTTAAACTTCAAAAATCAAAGATTTCATTATAATTATTAACAGACACAATTTTAAAAAGTTAAAAAAATTCTTTGTTTAATTCAATTATTTTCAAAAATTTTCAATTAAAATTATTCAAAAAACTACATTATTTAAAAGAAAGCACAAAGAAATTCATCAAAAGGATTTAATTATTTACAAAAACTCTAATAAAATTGTTTAAAAGAGTTAAATTTTCTATATAAATAATTTTAATACAATTTTAATAGTAAAATTATTAATTACAATCATTAAGAAAATCAATTTTATTCCATAAATTAAAGAAATTTTTTGAAAGTATTCAATTTTCGTCAAAACCTTTAATAGTAGGTATCTATTCTTCGAAAGAATTTAATTTTTTTCTATTTTTTAATAAAATTTCTTGAAAGAATTAAATTTTTTTCGAAAATTCTAATAAAATTCTGAGAAGAATTTAATTATTTTTGAAACATTTTAATAAAATTTAATAATTAAATGTTTAATTTCAATTATTAAAAAATACGATCATTTTAAAAACTTGAAAGAAATTGTTTGTAAAATTCTATTACTTTCAAAATTTTCAATTAAAATTATTAAAGAAACTCCATTATTTTTCAAAAATTCAAATAAATTCTTAAAGAGAATTTAATTAGGATTTTTTTAAATTTTTCACGAAAATTAGATTATATTCATAAATAATTAAATTATTCGAAGGATTTTAATTATTCTCAAATTTTTCGATAAAATTCTTTGCAAGATTATTAATATAGATTAACAATTAATTTGTTAATCCCGATTATTAGTTAATGACCTAATATCTATTATTCATAAATTAATAAGTAGTAGAGTTAAAAAAACTAAAATAAATAACAGACTTGAAATAATTTTTTAATATTAAAATAATAGTAATAAAATAACAGCTTCTCAAAGTTCAATATATTTAATAAATTTAATAAAATTAATTTAATGCTTTCTTCATAATATAAAAATATCGCTTTTTGAAAATTTTTAAACATTTTATAAGTTTGGTATTTTCTGACACGTCTTGTTTTTTCTCTTTAACTAAGGAATAAATTTTTAATAATCTTGAAAAAAAAATTAGAAAGAGAAAGAAATTTCTTGAGAGAGTTGCTCTGCAAGCAAGATTTTGTTTGTTTATTAAGTTTGCGACTAATCGATCATTGGCTTTGTAGCAGCACAACTAACACATCATTTGTAATTTAGTCACTAAAGGCAAGCCATTGACAATTCATGCGGAAGCACCGGCGCTAAGACGTTGCGCTACATTACCCGACGCTAGGCCGAACGTAGCGCCGTTAACTTCAACAAGTTCAACTGAAGACGAGAATTTAACTGGCTGCACACCGGCTCTGCGTCGTCGCAGGCTAAGCGAAAAATACGTGACCGACGCAAGTCAGCTTAACTTGCGTTTCCAAAAACCGCAAGGTAGAACAAGACCAATATCTGAGGTAATATCTAGATGGTATCCGAGAGGTGTACCTTCTCATCTTCTAGGAGAAGCTGGCAAGAGAACCGAAGAGAGCAGTGACAATGACTCCAATAGCAGTGGAGCCGCCAATTCTCAACCTCCACCGCCGCCTTCATCTTTGCCACCTCACATCGGAGAGAACAATGCAAGGTGTGATAATTTTTTTCATCATTAACAAATTTATTATTTCCCTTTTCTCTTCTTTATCACTTTTTTTCTATCTTCTCGGCTGTCAGCGGAATCAGGAAATTTTATTAAAAGTACTGGAAAACAATTTGATTTTTAAAATTTAAAAGAAAATTTCCAATTCTGGTGTCTTTTTTCAGGGTTGTCACATGTCAGGGAAGTCAGGGAAACGTCAGGGTTTTTTATTAAAAGTACTGGAAACAATTAAATTTTCAGAATTCATAAGAAAATTCTGAATTTTTATTTCTTTTTTGTTTGCCTCATAAACTGAAATTACCACGAATTCTAAATACAAAACCTTCAATTTTATTTATTATTTAATGAATAATTTTTCTTGAAATTTCAACAATAATTGAATTTTATAAGAGTTACCTTTACAATTTTCATAAATAAATGAATTTCAATTTGGAATTTTAGAAAATTTGAATTTTCAATATTTTAACGCAATTCTGGAAAAAAATTCAATTGTCTTGAAATTTAATTAATTAATAATATTGTTTATATTTTCACAAATTGTAATAAAATTCTTCCTAACAATTCAATTATCTTTATAAAAAGTTAAATTCTTTTGAAGATTTTAATTTCAATTCTGTTGAAATTAGTTTAATTTTTTAATAAGTATATATTTCATTTTATTTAAAATATTTTAACGTAATTCTGGAAAAAATTCAATTATCTTGATAAACAACAAAATTTTTTACATAAAATAAAATAATTTTTGAAAAAATTTAATAAAATTCCTTGCAAAATTCAATTATTTTCATAAATAACATAATATTCATTACAAAAATTCTTTTATTTTCAAAAGTAATTAACTTCTTTGGAAATATTTCAATTATCTTTATAAATAATAAAATTATTCTCCGAAATTCAATTAATTTCAAAATTTTTTTATAAAATTCCTGGCAAACTTTCAATTATTTTCAAAAATTTTCCTCAATTCAATGAATTTCAATATCTACCATTTTAATAAAATTTTCCAAAAGATTTCAATAATTTAAAAAAATTTTAATAAAATTCTATGCTAACAATTAATTGTTTTCATAAATAAGGAGAATTTCACAGAAATTGAATTATTTACAAATTTCTCGAAAAATGTATTTATTCTTAAAACTTTTATTAAAATTCGTCAAAGAATTAAATTATTTTAAAAAACGACATTCAGTTATTCAATAAATTATTTATTTTTGTATATAATATATAATATATTTTATTGGATTCATATGTATGACCTTTCGGCCTTTTACATTTCCCGTACATAAATATTTTCTTCGAATCTTTAACATAAATGACTTAAATTAATTTAACACTAGATTTCAAACATTTAAATATCTTATTATTTATTTTTGTATTTAAATAATTGAATTCTTCTAGAATTTGCATATAAAAATCGATTTTAATATAAATTTCAGTCAATGATTGAATATTAAATAGCCTGAATTTTGTAGAATGAATTATTTACAAATTTCTCGAAAAATGTATTTATTCTTAAAAATTTTATTAAAAATCGTCAAAGAATTCAATTATTTTAAAAAAACGACATTCAGTTATTCAATAAATTATTTATTTTTGTATTTAAATAATTGAATTCTTCTAGAATTTGCATATAAAAATTGATTTTAATATAAATTTCAGTCAATGATTGAATATTAAATAGCCTGAATTTTGTAGAATTAATTTTTTTGAAAAAGTTATAATTTGTAGAATTTTATTTTCTAATATATATTTAATTGAAGAATTTCCGAATAATTGAAATTTCGTAAAATTGAATTAAAAACAAATGGATTTGAAAAATAATAATTGATTTAAAGAAGAATTTTAGTTGAAATTTTCGAAAGTAATAATTGAATTGAAATGATAAAAATAATTTTGAAGAAGTTACAGTCACAATATTCTTATAATATAAAATAATGATTTTATTATAGGGTCATGTTTTATAGAGAGAGAGAATTTTAGTTTTAAAATTCTCTAGAGAAGAATTTTAGTTAAAAACTACAGAAAATAATTGAATTTAGAAACTGTTTCAAATTACAATCTTTGAAAACCTGAATTTTTAATACTTTTAATTAAAAATTTTGCCAAACTAATTTTTAAAAATTTTTAAATTCAAAAATTCTTTGAAAATAATTGCATTTTTTAATATTATATTTAATATACATACATTATAATAATCGTAAGTTTCCTTTCCGTTAGCAAATTATCTGCATTCATTTGTTTGTTTTGAATATTAATTTCTGTGGGTTATTTTCATTTTTTTTAATGTCAAAAAAAAAGAAAAAAAGCTCGTTTTATTCACTTCACAAAATTGACAAAATTTCCATTCCATATTTTTTATTTTCCTGATTTTTTCCTAATTTTCATAAAAAATATTTACTTTTTTCTTATCCTGCTAATAAATTGAATTTCTGCTACGAATTTTATTATTCATGAAAGAATTCAAAATAATTTAATTCTTGCAAAGAATTTTATAAAATTTTTTAAATAATTCCTTTCTTTCGAATAATTTTATGCAAATTCTAATTTAAATAATTGAATTAATGAAAATTTTTATTATTCATGAAAAGAATTAAATTTTTACAAAACATTTTTTAAATAATTGAATTCTGTTTGGAAATTTTATGAAAATAGTATATATTGAAAATCATTGAATTGCGAAAAGTTTTTAAAGATACATAGTTAAATTTTACAAAGAATTCTATTAAAAAATTTGTCAATAATTGAATATCTGTGGGAAATTTTATTAAATTTTTTTGAAAATAATTAAATTCCTAAAAGACAGTTTATTATTTATGAAAATAATAGAATTATTGCAAACGATTTATTAGAATTTTTTAAGATAATGGAATTTCCAAGAAGAAATTTATTATTTTTAAAAATAATTGAATTATTGTGATGAATATTGTTATTTATGAAAATAATTGAATTTTGAAAAAAAATTTATTAAAATACCTCAAAGTAATTGAATTTTCTGGGGTAATTTTTTTATTTATCTTTAATAATCTTTAATAATTTTTCTTTCGAAAAATTATTCGTGTAAATAATTGAATTCTTAGAAAAATCTTATTAGAATTTAAAAAATTGAATTATTTCAAAAAAATTTAATTAAAATCGTATTTAAAACAATTAATTTCTTTCGAACAATTTTATTAAATTTTTTAAAATAATTATTCAATTCTTCCATAGAATTTAAAAAAAACATTTTTTTAAATAATTTATTTTTTCGAGGAATTGAAATTAAGTTTTTAAGAATAATTAAAATTTTTGAGCAATTCCTGTAAAATTGTATTAAAAATAATTGAAATCCTGCTATGAATTTTATTACTTATGAAAATAATTGAATGGTTTTTAATTTGAATAGAATTTTATTATTATTCTCAAAAATAATTGAATTACAGAGAAGAATTTTATTATTTTTGAAAATAATTGAATTATTGCAGAAAAGTTTATTAAAATATTTAAAAAGAATTGAATTTTTGTAAAAATTTATATTATTTTTGAAAGTAAGTAAATTCTTCATTAGAATTTTATAAACATTGTTTTAAATAATTATTTTTTTCTTTATTTGTGAAAATAACTGAATTTTTCGATTATTAATTTAAAATAGTAATGAAAATAATTGAAATTCTTCGATGAGTTTTATTATATATTTATGAAAATAATTAAATTCTTGCTTAGAATTTAATGAAAAAATTTTTTTTAAAAATTGACTTTTCATGAAAAATTTTATTATTAGTGACAGTAATTAAATTATTGTGAAAAATAAATTGCATAAAATTTTGTTAAATAATTGATTTTTACGAAATTTTTTTGAAAATTAGCAAATTTAAGGTAGTAAAAATTCTCTAAAAAAAATATTATTTATATTCTTTGTTCAGAAAGTTGAAGATTATTTTTAATTTAGGTATTAAATATCAATTTTTGAGAAATTCAATTTACCTCGTACAAGAAGTTTTCAATTTTGAAAATCTGATGTAAAATTTGAAATTAGTATCAAAATTTGTTAAATTTTTTTTATGTACTTTAAAGTTTAAAAATATAATATAATTTGAAAATTTAATTCTAATTATTAGTTTTTTAGTTATGTGTCATAATAAGTATTTCTTTAAAAATTACATAAATTAAAATGACTTGAAATTGTTTACAATAAACATTGCAATACAACATTCCCGCGCACTTGCGCGCGGATAATTTGGCTAGTACATTATAATGATCGTAAGTTTCCTTTCCGTTAGCAAATTATCTGCATTCATTTGTTTGTTTTGAAAATTAAATTTTGTGGGTTAAGTATTGGCATTTTTTATATTTTTTTAAAAATCTGAAAAAAGTTTTTTGACTAATTTAAAGATTTCTGAAGGTAAATAAGAAAAGTTTGAAGATTTGTTGTTTTAATCATCTATAGCAGCACTGTTATTGTGTTTAATTCAATTTTTAACTTTACAACCATCATTTGCTCTAAAGGTAAATACTTTTCTATGTAATTTAATGTCTATAATTTAATGTTAACATTATTTCAATATTATTGAAAAAAGTTATTTGATATAATTTACATTCATTTGAATTATATTTTTTTAAATTTCTTAATTACAGAATATTTAGTTTTTTTTAACTTTTTAATAATTTTTTAACTTGCAAAATTCTAAATAATGTAATTGTTAAAAATATAATATTTATTTTTCATAATTTTTGACAGATATAATTATTATTTGAAATAATTACTATATTATTAAAGACTACAACATAAATTTAAATTATTAAAAAATATTTTACAAAATAGTAATTTAATACAATTTTTATTTCTTATAATTTTTATTACATAAAAATATTATCTAATATGTTTATTTTATAAACTTTTAACGTGTCTTACTTTTTATGTTTTTAATTAATACGTGATTCATAGAAAATTCAACAAATCAATGAAAATCTATATTGTCAATTTTTTCAGTTAAAAATATTTGGTTGGTAGACAGTTTTCCCAATAGGTTTTTTTTCCAATGGACGTTTTTCCCATTAATAATTTTTCCCAATAATGGGTCGTTTTTCCCAATGAACATAGTTCCCAAAAAAAGTATATGGTAATAAAGAAAGTATCATACAGGTAAAAGTAGGTCATATAAATGATTTATTATTATTACAATAAAAAAATTATAAATAGTATGGAATTTAAAAATTTTTTTGGAATTTTGCCTGTTTTTAAAGATTTTTGAGAAAATTTTGTTCTAGCCATTGTTTAGGAACAGTAAAAAATTGTTGACTAACAATTGTTAGTAAACAGAAAATAAAGTTCGCTTAAAAAATAATTTTTCATCTCCTGCTGATTATCGGCTGTGGCTACATTTATTAATTGTGAATTAAATTCATTTCGATGACCCAGATATTAATTATTATTGTTCTTGTCATAGTTTAGAAACAATAAATAATTTTTTTTAATTAAAAAAATTTCTGGAATTTTGTCTATTAAAGATTTTTAAGAATATTTTAACTTAAAATTAAAAAATGTTTTTATCTCACTGCCATATAAAAATCTCTAAGGAAGAAAATTTTTTGGTCTTTTATTCTTATTAGGTTTTTGGTATTTAGAATTTTTAAAAAATTTTTAGAGCTGAAAATGTGTTATTGGGGCAGAAATTTTTTTAATTTTTTACTGGAATTTCATAAGTATTTACCTGGAAAATCCTGGAAAAAGCCTAGAATTTTATATTTATCATTTTGTGGCAACCATGTTACTACATAACAATGAAGTTAGTTTATTACATCTTATATATTTACTACGAAGAAAATATTTTGGGAAAAAATAAAATTTTGGAAAATATGACCATTGGGAAAAACGATTATGTATTGGGAAAAACGTCCATTGGGAAAAATAACTATTGGGAAATGCAGATTGGGAAAACTGTCCCCCTACCAAATATTTACATCAAATATCTGTTCTCAATGTTTAAATAATGTTAAAATTAAATTATGGGGGCTATCATACGCCTAAAATTTACCTGAAATTTTTTTTCTTTGTTTCTAAAAATGAATTTAGAATATTTTTCTTTAATGTGATGCTTCATTATTTATATTACATCTTGTAATTAAATAATTAATGCAAATTATACTTAGTATTTTTACGACAGATAATTTGTTTTCCAAAAAAATTAGAATTAAAAGTTGTTTAACTTTATCATTTTTCAATTAATTTATAATTTTTTGCAGTTTGTTAATTTCGAAAGATACGGAATTCTTTGTTTAAAAAGCTAAATGAATAATTATTTTTTTAATTTTTAGAATAATTTAAAATTTTCGTAATCAAAATTATTTTTAAAATAAAAGTATAAAATTTGGAACAATTTTTGCGAGATTCAATTTTCTTTGTAAAACAAGAAAGTTTAACAGCAGTAATAGTATTTTAACAAAATTTATAAGATTCACTTGAAATTCGTTTCTAATGCGTTAAATTTGACATTACATTTTAGAAATTTAAAATAGAGCTTCCATTTGTCTGACTTTCTTCTAACTTATCGGATTCAGTGATTTCTGGAGTGAATTTTGAGCAATTCCACGCCAAGTGATCATAAGAATTTTCGATGATTTTAGCAATATTAAAAATACTTTCAGAATTTGTTCCTTTTTATACATGGAATAAAAGTGTATAAAAGTTTTTTCAAAATTTTCAAAATTTTTTGAGTTACCTCTTACTCAAAATTTTGGTCGGTTTTTCAAAAAAGGCACATAACTTTTTTTCTTGTTAACCGATTAAGATAATTTTTTTTGGAAAATACTCATAATAAGAAGTACTTTAAAGAAAAAAATAAAAATTTAAAAAAAGAATTTTTTTTGCCCGAAAAAAATTTCAAAAAATTTTTTGAATTAAAATTTTGAAAAAAATATATCTTCGATTTGAAATTTTTTTTTTGGTAAATATTGTCAATAAAGTAAAGAATACTTCCTGTAAATTTAATTATGGGACAACAATAACTTTACGAGAAAAAAAATAAAGTGTCCAGCGCGGCGTGCTGGGACTTGTGCATGTATTCACTTATGGCGGCGCAAGTTTCGTTTCAAATCACTCTACAGGTCACAATTCTTTACCAAAACGCTTTTTCTTTTTTTCTAAATCTTCGTAATTAAATTCTCTATCGATCTCTCGAGCCTTATTTTTGAATTTTTGTTTTTAAACATTTTTTAAATAACAATAAGTATTAAAATAATCAAAAAATCGTAAAATATATTTTCCTTAGTTTTATTGATTAAAAAAACTATTTAAAAAACCTATTAAAATAATGTTTTATTGATAAAAAATAAAAAATTATTTAGTTAAAAATTGTTATACAATAAAAAGTTATTATTTTGTTATAAACGGTACTTAGGGATAAAAATTTATATTTTTTCTGAATTGTGCAATTTTTCATAAGTAAAGTATTCAAGTATAAAAGAAAAACTAAAAATTAATTATTTAACCCTTGTTTAAACAGTTTATAGTTTTCAACTTTTCAATTAATTGTTTAGAAAAAATTAGAAATTTCTAACCCAAATGAAACTTATGAAAAAATTAAAAAAATTACATAAGAAACAAATATAAATTTCTTACCCTAAGTATAAATATTTTATGTAAAAAATAGTAACAATTAATTGTTTAAACAATGTTTTAATAAATAATTGTTTTTTTATCATCAGTAGATGTATTACTCACGAAAAATTGCACAATTCAGAAAAAATATAAATTTTTAACCCTAAGTACCGTTTATAACAAAATAATAACTTTTTATTGTATAACAATTTTTAACTAAATAATTTTTTATTTTTTATCAATAAAACATTATTTTAATAGGTTTTTTAAATAGTTTTTTTAATCAATAAAACTAAGGAAAATATATTTTACGATTTTTTGATTATTTTAATACTTATTGTTATTTAAAAAATGTTTAAAAACAAAAATTCAAAAATAAGGCTCGAGAGATCGATAGAGAATTTAATTACGAAGATTTAGAAAAAAAGAAAAAGCGTTTTGGTAAAGAATTGTGACCTGTAGAGTGATTTGAAACGAAACTTGCGCCGCCATAAGTGAATACATGCACAAGTCCCAGCACGCCGCGCTGGACACTTTATTTTTTTTCTCGTAAAGTTATTGTTGTCCCATAATTAAATTTACAGGAAGTATTCTTTACTTTATTGACAATATTTACCAAAAAAAAAATTTCAAATCGAAGATATATTTTTTTCAAAATTTTAATTCAAAAAATTTTTTGAAATTTTTTTCGGGCAAAAAAAATTCTTTTTTTAAATTTTTATTTTTTTCTTTAAAGTACTTCTTATTATGAGTATTTTCCAAAAAAAATTATCTTAATCGGTTAACAAGAAAAAAAGTTATGTGCCTTTTTTGAAAAACCGACCAAAATTTTGAGTAAGAGGTAACTCAAAAAATTTTGAAAATTTTGAAAAAACTTTTATACACTTTTATTCCATGTATAAAAAGGAACAAATTCTGAAAGTATTTTTAATATTGCTAAAATCATCGAAAATTCTTATGATCACTTGGCGTGGAATTGCTCTTTTGTAAAGTTTTGAATTGATTAATTTCTACGATTTCTACTTTAAATTCGTTATTTTGACTTTAGAAAATCTGATGTTAATTTAATTATTTTTTTCGATATGCACGACAAAAAATATTTACCAGGATAAACTACAGATTTCACTTTATTATTACGCGAAATTTTTCAGTGTTTCAATTAATACTTTCGCTATTCTAGAGAAACTTATCGCTGTTTCAATTAAACCTTTTTTAGTGTATTTGAATTTAAAAAAAAAATTAGAAGTTCAAATTTGTTAAATTTTTTTTTGTAATTTTAAAGTTTCAAAATAATATAAAATGAAAATTTAAATCTCTATAATTGTTATCTTCTTCCACCTTTAATTAGTTACATATTTTTGTTAGGAAATAATAATTATTTCTTTAAAACAATTTTAAAATAAAATGGCTTCAAATTGTTTAAAATAAGCAGTTCCATACAACATGCCCGCGCGCTTGCGCGCGTATAGTGTGGCTAGTTATTAATAATAATTGATTTAGAGAAGAATTTTAGTAAATAATTCTTAAAAATAATAAATGAATTTTTTATAAGTTACAAATAATTGCCATTTTTATAAATAATTGAATTTCGAAAATGTTTCAAATTACAATGTTTGAAAATCTGAATTTTTAATACTTTTATTTAACAATTATGTAGAATTAATTTTTTGAAAAAATTTAATTCCACTGTTTTTTGAAAATTCTTTGATTCTAAAATTATCAAAGAACTTTGTTAAAAATTACGAAAAATAATTGATTTAAAAAAGAATTTTTCGTTAAAAATTCTAGAAAATAATAATAGAATTGAAGGACGAAAATAATTCTGAAGAAGATGGAGTAACAATATTCTTATTAGTTATTTTTTTTATTCAAGAGTTTAAAAAGTCGCATCTTAATTCCTATAAAAAAATAATAATGAAAAAGTCGCGTCGATTGTCGCATCTTAATACCTATAGAAAAATAATAATAATTAAATATTTATTCAAGAAAGTAGATATTGATATTTATGAATAATTTTACAATTAAAGAAATTCGCTAATATGTAAATGTATCAGAATATTTTTTTGAATATTTAATTATTTTTATAGGGAATCAAAATATTTTTTATTATCGTAATTCTCTTTGGAAATTAGGAAAATGTCAGAGAAAGACAAAATTACATTTTTCTGGCCACTCTGCTTTTTTTCTTTTTCTTTAATTAAGTTAAAATTATTTTATTTCTAATGTGAAAATTTGTAGATGTCGCAGATTTAGACCGATGCCTGAAAGTACAGTGATTGGACGTGAAACGTGAGGCTGCGACATTGAATTATGTGGGAAAAGTTTGATTCAACTCGAGTGACGAGAATTATTGAACTACAACCAACTAGGAATGTGATACCTTTTTGGATCAAATTAGTACGCAAACCTTTCTAGTTAAAACCAATGGACAGTCCTTTAAAGAATATTGAAGACTTTTTCGTGAAGGGAAAACGCGTTATTCCCTTGTACGTATGACGTTTAAAAAAAGAGCGAAAAAACTGATGGAAAAATAACTGATAAAAAGTGAAGACGTGATTCACATTAATTTTTAAGATTTCTCAAGGGATTTTTATCAATAGGTATGTACGATCCTATCCAATTGTTTTTTTTTTACATATATATATTTTATTTTGAAGAAGAAGACATTTTTTCAATTTTTAACGTATCCACATTTTTATTTACAAAATACGTTAAATCAAGATCGTACAAAATTTTTTCTCTTCAGTGTACAATCAGTGAAAAATACGACTTCCTAGTCTTCAACTTGCTTTTTTAAAGACAAGTTAATAAAAAAAAATCTTAACTAGAATTTTTAATCAATAAATGATTAAAGACCGTAAAATGAAAAATTACGGTCACATGTAATTGATCTCAGTTATTCTATAATATATATTATATTATCATACTCGTGATTCAATTAATCTAAACAATAATGTGTGCTTTTGTAAACGCGACATTGCACTTTATAAACGTGACTGCACTAATGTATCCTTTGTATTTTAGATGGAGACAATATTTGTAGTGAAATAAAAAAAAGAATCTTATTTATAAATTATTTCTTAATTCCGCTTGTGATATTTTTCTATCTAGAAAAATTGTAAGCACAATTTTTATTATTTTGAGGAGAAAAAAAGTATAATTGTGACAAAAATTATATTGCTCACGATAAAAATTTTTCAAACTGCTTGTACACTGAAATTGAAAGAAAAAGAAGAAAAAAATTAAAAAAAAGAAATGTCATTTCAAAAAAGTAATTTCAAATTATATCTTTTGTTTTTTCTGTTAAAAAAAATTTATATAATATATATAAATATATCCCCGTCTCGTTTGTGTTCTTCGAGAAAATTTATGGGAACCAACGAGCATTGCTGATCTCCAGACGCGAATATTTATTTATTATTTTCTATATTCCAAAAGAATATAAATAAGTACCGAATTTACAAAAAAAAAAAAAAAATAAATAAACGGTTACTGTACAGATAGGTGAATTTACAGGATATCTAAATTCTATTGTTGATGGAAAAATTAAATTAAAAATTAACTTAGATGATAATTTTTATGTAGTTTTGTCGAATTGGGGGCGAGTGTGCTAATCTCTGCCAAAAAAGAAAAACAATATCATCAACAGAATGCAACAATTTTCCCGTAGAGAAAATTTTAGAATAACTCAAATAAACTGTAATGAATTACAAGAGGATGATAACAAAAAATAACTATGTACGATAATTCTTGAAAAAAAGAAAAATTTGTAAAAACAACGAATTGTTACACAAAGGAGAAAATTCTCTTTAAAAAAAAATTTATGCACACTAGCAGCCCTTTAAATGACTCTGAAGATATAATCAGTGGGCAAAATGGATAATTATGTTCCGTCATATAAAAAAGAAATGCTGGTTTTCGAGTATTTATAATTATTGTATAATGTAATTCGGTAAATTCAGTGATATTTAAGACTAGTCAGCTAGATTCCCGTACATTACATAATCTTATTAATAAAGTGAAAAAGTGGAGTAGAGAGGAAAAATAAAAAAACTAGTCACTTTGCTGCAGATGCGCGGGGCATGGCCCAAAAAATTCTATTTTCTTTTAATTCTAATTTTATAATAGACACTTTTTTTTTTGTTTTCGAATTTGTTTCTTCGACTGCCGCACCGATGCGTAAAATATGTAAAAAAAAACCAGCTGACTTGCTAAAAGACTATTTAAGCATTGTAATTTTTTTCTCTCTCTAAACTTTTAGAATTCAGAGTTTCGAATACAGTTGCGAAGAAAATTTTCCTTTTTTTTGTTTTAGAAAAAGGGCTTTTTAGTATTTTTTTTGTTCATTTTGTCTTTTTGACAAATTATTTTTTTAGTACTATTTTTATTTTTTATTTTTAGAAATCTTTTTTTGAGATCTATTCAAATCTCTTTTGAAATTTGTTTTTATCTATAAAATTTCTCCCACGAAAATTGATTTTATTTTTTTTTTTTTGTTTTTCACTGTTCCTTTTTGAACTCTGATTTCCAAAAGTTTAAGTGCCATTGAAAATGCTTCACGAGTCGTCGATTAATTTATTTTGTTTGTAAACAGATTTCTCTCGCAAAAAAATTAAAATATTTGCGATTTATAATATTTTATTGTGCAATATTTTTTTTTATCAATTTTTTTTTCTATCAATATTATTTTTTGAAACAAAAAAATTTATTTTATTTATTTTTTTCACTTGATGAAAAGTATGAAAGCGATATTCTTTCATCAGTATTAGAATAGTTTTTTTTTTTTTTAAATTAGTGCAATAATTAACACAGAAATATTGTGGACAAATGGAACTATTTCTAATGTACTATATGCCAAATTATTAAATATTTATATTACAAAACAACTAATAATTAATTAGCGACTAAAGGCAGTATTGTTATGAAAAGAGTTATCACATAATTATGAATTAGCAATTCGCTTTTATGGAGACTTTTCACAAACCGTGCAATCAATACTTGCAAATTATAAATTATATAGAGAATATACTTAAAGTAATTCCACCTGTGATCTGATTTTTTTCCCTTGTAAAAAAAATTTTATGGCAGCTTCTTTATTTATAAGATTTTGAAAAAACTAAAAAAAACTAGATTATTTTAATTATTTATTCTGTTTAATATATTTAAATAAAAGCATAATAATTTAATAAATATTTAAATATTTAAAAATAAAAAATTGTTTAATATTAAATTTATAAACAAAAATTTACTATTATTTACAAAGAATAAAATTCTTCGATATATTTTTATTTAGAGTGAAATGAAATTAAATTTAAATTAAATATTAATTTCTAATTTTAATTTCCAATTACCAAAATTGAATGGTAACAATTAAATAAAAAAAATTGTCAGATTTAAATGGAATTGCTTTTCTTTATGAAAGAAAACTGATTTAATGATAAAATTCAGCGAATATAACAATTCACCGATTTATTGAAAAAAAATGTTGCATTCCGTTGAATAGAAAAAAAACCGCCCAAAAGAGAAAATAATAAGAAATAAAAAAAAATGAAAGAAGAAAGAAAAGCTCCATCATAGGTTCCTGTACATAACGTAATTAAATAAAAATGATTTACGATAATATAAATATGTATCTTCTCCGCTTACACAATGATAGAAAACGGAAGACTATCATTATATGTGAATGTAATCGAGTTTTACTACTCTAAAAAAAAATGTAACGCTTAAATGGTTAAATAATTTTATCGGAGAAGAGTACTATTAATTAACGATTGTAATTAAATTCGCAAAAAATAGTAAACAGATATTATTGTCTATGAATAATTATTGTTAGTTTATTATTAAATTATTGAAATTAATACCGATGAATGCGGGAAGGACGAAAAAATGAATTTAAAAAGGAAACAAAAATGAAAAGTGCTTGTAGCTTATCGTAATTAATTAATAAATTAATGAGAGAATTTAATATTCTCTATTTATGAAAATATCTTGGTAAAATTCTTTGTTTAATGTAGAAATTTTTCTTTTTTTTTCTTTTTCTTTAAGTATAAAAATTCTAATTTTTAAATTTTATCACTAAAATCAAATTACTCATATAATTCAGTTTCTTTTTTATTTTAAGTCGTTAAATTCAAGTATATTATTCTTTTTTACTTTTCTTCCGCAGTATTTTATTTTATTTCTTCGTATTCTTTTATTTTACTTTTTTTTAGTATTCTTCGTACTCTTTTATTTTATTTCTGTTAGTATTCTTTTATTTTAGTTATGCTTTGATATTAATTTATATTGTTTTTTTTTAGTATAAATTTAAAAAAAAGATTAATTAAAAAATTAATCTTATTAATTAAATTAAATTAATTATTAATTAAAAAAATTGTTAAAATAGAATTGCTTACCTATTTCAAATTTACGCGGGATTTATCGCAAAGTTTTTCAAGGTGCGTTTACAAAAGAATCGTTCCCATTGGCTGGTTTTTCCCCGGTATATTTAAAGTAACCAATAGAGAGTAATGTTTATAAAAAAAAATGTCGGCGGCACCAATTTTGTTGAGCGGAGAGCGGACGGAACTTAAACTAACAAAGTCAATAATGGCGGCGTTAACAAAAGTGATATACGCTAGTAAAACAATAAATAATGTAGTAAAGTTATTAACAAATTTATCCATTAAGAATGAAATGGTATCTATTACAATCCCCGCTTGTAATATGATGTAAGTATGAATTTTATAATTACTGTTAATAAGAGAAACACTCATTATAAAAAGACAAGTTTTCAGACATGTTACACATAAAATATTTTGTTTTTTAATTTTGTAATTTAAGGATATAATAACGACAAGTTTTATGATCGCATTTATTATACTTTGGTTTATTTTTTATTTTAAATTTAAATATCAACATATTTCATATCTAGAATTACAATAAGAGTACAATTTGTCTAAATGGAAATTTGAGGTTAGTTCGAATTTGAAAAAGTAAACAGTAATTGTTATATTTAATGTAATTATAATTGTATAATATTTATCAAATTACAACGTTATTTATAATAGAGTTTATAAGATTCAGTTTATAAAAACTTACATAAACATAACCTAAAATTTTTAATTTTACCCATTTTACCGCAAATTAGAATAATAAAAATTAATGTATTTTTCAGGTCTTTCAATTCTTTTGTACACACAACGTCAAAGCGAAATGATACGCAAAATTTAATGCAATTTTTTGACGATGAAGCAAATTGGGGAAAACGGAAAGTACAAGTCGGACGATCTTGGAAACTTGATGAATTGAGAATAAAGAGTAATGAAGATCTTCACAAATTATGGTACATTATTACAACTACTTAATATTTTTTGCAAATTTAAAGTCTATAAGAAATATAATTTATTCAGTATATGTATATATTCTTGCAGGTATATTTTGGTAAAGGAAAAAAATATGTTAATAACAATGGAAGAACTTTATAAAAAAAAATATTTACCATTTCCCAATGAAGAACGAATAGATAAAGTTGAAATAAGTATGGAAAATATAGAAACCGTTGTTCGAGAAAGGAACAAAGCTTATCATTTACTTGAGACTGGTACCTCGGGCGAGAGACCAGCTTATGTCACAAAAAATGCAATTGGTATGTATAATTATTATTATTTATATTTTCTAAAATTTTAATAAAATTTTTCGAAAGAATTCGATTAGTTTTGTAATTTTCGTAAAATTCTTTATAAGAATTCAATTAGTTCGATAAATAATAAAATTCTTCGCAAGAATTCAATTATTTCGGAAAATTTTAATAAAATTCATCCCAAGAATTCAATTGTTACTGTAAATAATCAAATTATTAGAAAGAGTTCAATTATTTTCAAGAAATAGTACAATACTCCACAGAAATTCATTTATTTATAACACAATTTTAATAAAGTTCCTCAAAAAAACTCAATTATTTTTACAAATTTGAAAAAAATTCTTCACAGAATTTCAACTTTGTTTAAAAAAATTTAATAAAAATCGATGAAAGAATTCAATTATTTTCAATAGAATTTTAATGATATTTTTCAAAAGAATTTAATTATTATTAAAGATTTTAATAAAATTCTTCGAAGGATTCAAGTATTGTTAATACAATTTTAATAAAATTTTTTGAAAGAATCCAATTAATTTTGAAATTTTCATACAATTCTTCACAAGAACTCAATTATTTTTGAGAATTTAAAAAAATTCTTCTTAAGAATTCAATTATTTTCATAAATAAAAAAATTCTTCGGAGGAATTCAATTATTTTGGAAAATTTTAATAAAATTCTTCCCAAGAATTTAATCATTGCCGTAAATAATCAAATTCTTCACTGGATTTCAATTATTTATAATACAATATTAATAAAATTCCTCAAAAAAATTCAATTATTTTTACCAATTTAAAAAAAATTCTAATAAACTTCTATGAAAGAATTCAATTATTTTCAATACAATTTTAATTAAATTTCTCGAAAGAATCCAATTAATTCTGAAATTTTTATACTATTCTTCACAAGAACTCAATTAGTTTTCAGATTTTGACAAAATTCTTCGCAAGAATTCAATTATTTTCATAAATAGTAAAATTCTTTGCAGGAATTGAATTATTTTCTAAAATTTTAATAAAATTCAATTATTTCCGTCAGAAATAAAATTGTTTGAAAGAATAAAATTATGTTCACAAATAATAAATTTCTTTTAAAAAATTAAATTATTTTTAAAAGTTGTAAATTTGTTTGCTAGAATATTTAATTACTTAAAAAAAATTTTGCTACCATTGATAAAATTCTTTATTTAAGAATTTTTTTTAGTACAATTCTTTTATTGTAAAAAATTAGTTTTTGCTTTAAAATTAATTTATAAAATAAAATTAAAAACAAATTAGTAGAAGTAAAAAAATATCGTCGTTCTTTTGAACTTTCAAAACTTTGAGGAACGTAAATTAGAATTTTATTCCTTTTAAATTTCAAAACATTTACAAAATTAGGCAAAACAAAAAGCAAACACTTTTTTCTATTCCTACTTTTTTAAAGAATCTGTGAGCGTTCTTTACAGAAAATTTTTTATTTAGAACTTAATTTCTCGTAGGTTTACCATTTGTTTATCGTTTACGACAACACGTTATTCCGAAATTTATGAATACAAAATGGAAAAAAGAACACGTACATGCACACAGTGGTTATGCAGTGAGAAAGTTCTTGAGATTGTATCACGAGAAATTCCACAATGAGAGGAGGAAATTAAGAAAGTATGTTTTTTTTCATTTATTTCACTTAAAATGTTTTAAGGAAAATTTTCGAATACTATTTTCCCTTTTCTTTCTAGCCGACAAGAAAATCAAGTTGCGCTCATTTTGCGCACATTTCCCAATCCCGATATGGAAGCAATCAAAGCAAAATATCCCGGTGTTGATATAGCTCGAGTTGTAAGAAACAGAAATAAAAAATGTCGAGGACACTTTATACCAACTTGGTGGGATATTTATAATCAGTAAACTACGGTATTTATAAAACAAAAAAATTTATTGACTACTATGTAGTAACTGATTTATATTTCAAATAAATTATGAATCTAATTTTCTTTTATAAAAAAGCATTCATAAGAAGCCAAATAAATGTCATAGTATTAAAAAAAAGAGAGAGGAAAAAAACAACTTTATTCATTGAAGTAATTAATTTTTATTAATTTCCGTATAAGTATTACATTATTTGGATGAAGAGCTACGATTTGTAGACTGTACGCGATAAGTACAAAGGCATAATATTAGCAAGTATTTTTTTTGTTTCTTGTAGCAGTATAAAATTTATACCTTGTTCGAATCGCTAAAACGTAATAATATTTGCACAAACTTAATTTTCGGAATGTATTATTGTTCATAAAGATCATTTTTCCATACTCATATATAACTAAGTTTGATAAATTACCGATGATTATTAAATTCTATCACAATTGATTTTAGCCATTTGTATGGCTTAACGCAAAAAATACAAGGAAATTAAACTAAATTTTTCTTTTTTTTTACAAATAATACAAATAATTAATTTTTCATTTCTTACGAATAATTAGTTTCCATTTTTTTTTTTTACAAATAATACAAATAATTTGTTTTCATTTTCTTACAAATAATACGAATAATTAATTTTTCTTCATTTCTTACAAATAAGAGAAATAATTGATTTTTTTCTTCTATTCTTTCAAAAATTACTACTAGAAAAAAATATGCATCTAAAATGCGAGAAAATATAGTTTTCTTGTTTTGTTTCTTACAAAGTATTTTATACAAAATTAATTTATATGGTTGATGAAATTCGAAAATTTCCATAAATTTATGAACAAAAATATTTCATAAATTTATAATATACGAGTAGAGAATTAAAATAAAGCTAATTGTTTCCTTAATGTGTACTTAACAATATTACAACATTGATATAATTATTATGCGAATCATAAGCAAAGCACCTCGAATTAATTTTTTATGCAGTTAATAATAAACAACGTACCTTTTTTTACAATAAACAATAGCTAACAATAGATTAGAGAAAGTTTTTGTTTTTAAATAAAACTTCGAAAGCTCTATTTTTCTGTTTTCCTTGCTTTTTTGTAAGAAAAAGAAAAATATTTGATAAGAAAGGTGATTTAATTTTAAAAAATTAGGTCGCATTATTATTGTTCACTAATAATATAATCTTTGGTAAATGCGAATATACAGACACTCACATGATAATTAGTTTCACATTAGTTTCAATTATAGATATATATTTTTGTTTTTAGTTTCTATAATTGTGAGTGGTAATAACAATGGTGTGTACTTATAGCAAATAATTAAAAAAAAAAATTATTGCACTTGCTTACGTGTTATTTCAGTCGAAAAAAATTATCATTTAATCTCTAGCTGAGTTGCATTGAGTATTTATTTTCTTTTTTTTGTAATAGTTTACGATTCCCTTGTCAATGAAAATAACAGATCCAATATTTTCAATTTCAAACTGTTCACATGGACAGATAGACTGTTTCTTTTAAACAAACAGAAAAATAATGTTTATAGTAATAAAATAATTTTGATATCAAAATAAATGAAAATAAATAAAAATAATTTTTTTACTTGGTAAAAATTAATTAAAAGGACATTTTTTTAATCATCAATTGATGTTGACAAAAACTATTTTATTTTTATCAACTGACTATTTGATGAAAATTTTAATTAACCTTCTTTCTTTATTTCATTTTATTGAGTTGTCGATAAAAAAGAATAAATTCGAATCAAATGGAAATATTCACGTGAACTTTGTGAACTTGAAGAACATTATTGGAGGATCTTGAAAAGCTGATAAGATAACATTTGCTTTTTCATTGCAATAAATGATTTGGATTTTGCGAGAATACCTTTGCAACTGTCGACAATGGGAATAAAGGACTGATTATGCTTTTCATGTACTAACCACTATTCAGGTGCTACAGGTAACAAATATTGCCAGGCATTTTCTAAATCTTTACTGACACCCGTACATCGCTGATGAAGTTTATCTTCAGGCTGAATTGTTGTCACCGGAAAATTCTCCTGCAATGAGTTTTATTCAAATTTTCATTTCTCGACATTAGACATTAATTTCTACATTAAGAATACTTTTCAATTTGTTTAAAAAATAATTAATAATGACAAAATGAAAAATATTGTTTCATTTAATTCTTTCTTCCTTGAATCGAAAATACATATTATTAATTAACAATACACGGAAGGAAAAAAATTATTTTAAAAAATAATATTTGTTAAATCTTTTATTTTTTGGTAATAATGTAGTGATTGTAGTTAAATGCAAAAAATAATGTCACAGTAGTTAAAATAAAAAATAATATCGATAGTTAAAATAAAAAAATAATGTCGATAGTTAAAATAAAAAAAAAATGTCAATAGTTAAAATAAAAAAATAATGTCAATAAAATAAAAAATAGTGTCTAAATAATTAAAATAAAAAAATAACGTCAAAAATGTTTGTATTTTAATTATTTAAAGGCAAAAATATTTATACAGAAATAAATTTCAATTTTATATTTAAATAGAGTACTAAAATCTATTTCTTAATAAGGAGATAATGAATAAAAACTAAAAATATATTTACCTCATGAACGTTGTTCCAAAGGGTTTCTAAGATTTTTCTAAAAGTACAGAATTCTGCGTAGTTAGTGAAGTAAACTACCCAATCGCCGCTACTTTCGTGAACTTCACGACACGCAAATTCCTAATTTAATATTTAAAAGAAGAATTAAAATTTATTACATGCAATAATAATTCATCTCAGAATTTCACTGAAAGTGAATTTGGAAAATTAATTTCTTCAGATTTCATTCGCCAAAGAAGTAAATGAAGTAAATTTCTATAAATTTAGAAAAAAAAATATTTCTAATTCAATAATCACTGTATTCTTTCTTTCTTTTTAGATAAATTAATTTATAAAAGTCGCAATTATTTTTATCTTTGCAAATTAAAATAGTTATCTCTTAATTATATAATTGGCGATCCATTAAATTATAATAATCAACGTCAACGTTATTATTTATTTATTTTTTTTTAATTTTAGATTCTAAATTTAAAAAATTCTCTTATTAAGTAAAAAATTAATTTTTTATTGTTTAATATTTTCAAAAATTTGAATAAAATTCTTCGCAAGAATTTAATTACTTTCAGTACAATATTTTAGAAAAATTTCAAGAAAGGATTCAAATATTCTTTTAAATTTAGAATAAAATTTTTCGAAAGAATTCAATTATATTCTACAATTTTAATCAATTTTTTCTTAAAGAATTCAAGTATTTTCTCAAATGACAAAATTTTTTGCAGGAATTCAATTATTTTCAATTTTTTCTATTTTAATAAAAATAATCGAAATAACTCAATTCATAAAATTCTTTACAAGAATTCAATTATTTTGGAAAATTGTAATAAAATTCTTCCCAAGAATTCAATTATTACTGTAAATAATCAAATTCTAAGAAAGAGTTCAATTATTTTTATGAATAATACAATTCTTCACAGGAATTCAATTATTTATAACACAATTTTAATAAAATTCCTCAAAAAAATGCAATTATTTTTGCAAATTTAAAAAAACTTCTTCCTAAATTTTCTACCTTTTTCACAAATTTTAATAAAATTCTATGAAAGAATTTAATTATTTTTATAAATATAGTAAAATTTTTCGCAAAAATTAAATTATTTTTATAAATAATAAAATTCTTCTCAAGAATTCATTTATTTTCAATATTAAAATTCAATAATGAAAATTTTAAATATAATTATTAAGAGACATGATTATTTTAAAAAGTTGAAAGAAATTCTTCATAAAATTCAATTACTTTCAAAATTTTCAATTAAAATTACTAAAGAAACTCTATTATTTTAAAAAATTGAAGGAATCAATTATTTTCATAAATAATAAAATTCTTTGAAGAAATTCAATTATATTCAAATTTTTTGATAAAATTGTTTGCAAGAATTCAGTGATTTTCAATTAATTAAAAAATTAAAAAAAAAGAAAAATTATTTTATAAATTGGGTAAACAAGAACTTCAAACTGCAAACAATTTACAGGAATACAACGATTATTCTAAAGTATTTATTTTTTTAATTAACATGTTTTTAGTTCCTGGTTATTTAATTAACAAAACTAATTTTCTAAAATCACTTTCAGCATGAATGCATTTTTATAATAGGTAAGCAATAATTGAAAATAGAAAATTAAAAGTATGTAAAGAATATAAAAATATGGAGAATTAAAATTTTTTAACTAAATTAATTAAAATGCTTAAATTAAATTATTTAAAATTAATTAATTAGAATTTTTAATTTAGAAATATATTCTCAAAATAAATAATAGAATTAGAAATTTTATTCTCTAACTGAAAAATAAATAAAAGACTAAAAAGAAGAGATGAAAAGAATCGTACCCTCGCAATACTAGAATAAACACCAAAGAAAAGAAGAAATTTTCATAAAAAAACAAAAGAAAAAACTTACCAAAACACACCACGATTGGTGAGTCAAAGGCATTCGAAGAGCAGTCAAGTCCTGTATCGATGCACAGGAGAGAATTTGACCTCTTTGCGTTCCAGGGAAAACTTCATTGATTGCAATTAAATGCCTCGACGACACGACCAAACTGCAAGGTAATGGTTCACGTTTTTCGCAAGAGTCAAATAATCCCGAGGCGCTTTGCACGAAACTCTGTAGCCATTCGGATGCAACGTATTCGTCGGGTGCGGCAAATTGAAATGATTTATTCGATTTGAGGAGTATTTCAAAGGTGTGCGGCCGATGGGAATTTGGTATTCGACGGCAGCCCTGACAGAGGCCGCCCTTCAATGGAATCGCACGTTTCGGAAGTCTTTGACTAGAATCAGTGAACATGTAGACGACGCCGCCTTTCAGGACAAAATATCCCGCCTCCCAGGCATTTGTCGGTGCATTTGGATGTTGCGTTTGATAAGTGTGAGGACGAAACATTAAATCGCCTTCTTTCGTCGGTCCGCAAGGTGTACTCGGCGGTGATATGTGCTCGTCCTCCATGTATATGATATTGTAGTGCTCAATTTTTTCCTCCTGAAAGAAATTGGTTAATATAAATAAATGATAAATTTTTTTTAAAATTTTTAATAAAATTTCACGAAAGAATTCAATTACTTTAAAAAATTTTAATAAATTCTTCACAATTCAATTATTTTTTTAAATAGTAAAATCTTTGCAAAAATTGAATAATTTTCAATAAAATTTCACGAAATAATTCAATTTCTTTCTTAATTTGTTATAAAATTTTTCAAAAGAATTTAATTATTTTCTAAAATTATAAAAATTCCTTAAATTAATTTAATTATTTCAGAAAATAGTAATAAAATTCTGAGAATTTAATATTTTTCTAAAAATTTTAATAAAATTCAATAATTTAATTGTTTAATTTCAATTATTAAGAAACACGATTATTTTAAAAACTTGAAAGAAATTGTTCATAAAATTCAATTGTATTCTCAAATTTATTGATAAAATTCTTTGGAAGAATTCAATGATTTTCAAGACATTAATTTTAAAATTGAAAGTATTTAAAAAGAAAAATTATATAGATTAACAAACTGATTATTATAATTTATAAATATTTAAAATTTTCATGAAAGTGTTCGAAACAATTCCATTATTTTCTAAATTTTAAATATAATTCTTCGAAAAAATTCAATTATATTTACAAATAGTAAAATACTTCGCAAGAGTTCAATTATTTTCATAAATATTAAAATTCTAAGTAAGAATTCAATTATTTATAAAAGTTTTTCAAAAGAATTTTTATAAATATTAAAATTTTTCGCAAGAATTCAATTATTTCCATAAAAAATAAAGTTCTTCGAAACAATTCAATTATTTTTATAAATAGAGAAAAATTTTTCACAAGAATTCAATTATTGCCATAAAAAATAAAATTCTTCGGAAGAATTGAATTATTTTCTAAAATAATTCTTCGAAAAAATTCAATTATTATTACAAATAGTAAAATACTTCACAAGAATTCAATTATTTTTATAAATAATAAAATTCTACGTAAGAATTGAACTATTTTCAAAAATAATAAAATTCTTCAGAAGAATTCCATTATTTTCATTACAATTTTTATAAAATTTTCCGAAACAATTCAAATATTTTCAAAAATTGTAATAACATTCTTCCCAAGAATAGAAATATTTTCATAAAAAATAAAAAATGTCTTCGCAGGAATTGAAATATTTTTAATTCCATTTTAATATGAATTTTTTCCAAGAATTCAATTATTTAAAAAAATTTAAATACAAATTTTGTGGAAAAAATTCAATTATTTTCAAAATTTTTGTTAAAATTTTTCGCAAGAATTCTATTATTTCCATAAAAATAAAATTCTTCGAAACAATTCAATTATTATTAAAAAGTCGTAGTACAATTTTTCGAAAGAATTTAATTATTTTTATAAATAGAAAAATTCGTCGCAAGAATTCAATAATTTACATAAAAAATAAAAATCTTTGGAAGAATTCAATTATTTTCTAAAATAATTCTTCAAAAAAAATTCAATTATTATTACAAATAGTAAAATACTTCGCAAGAATTCAATTATTTCGTAAATAATAAAATTGTACGTAAGAATTGAATTATTTTCAAAAGTAATAAAATTCTTCAGAAGAATTCTATTATTTTCATTACAATTTTTTAAAATTTTCCGAAACAATTCAATTATTCTAAAAAATTGTAATATATTTCTTCTCGAGAATAGAAATATTTTCATAAAAAAAACAATTTATTTGGAGGAATTGAATTTTTTTAATTCGTTTTTAATATGAAATTTCTTGCAAGAATACAAATACAAATACAAATACAAATACAAATACAAATTCTGTGGAAAAAATTCAATTATTTTCAAAAGTTTTGTTAAAATTCTTTGAAACAATGATTAATAAATAATACAATTCTTCGAAGAAATTCAAATATTTTCAATACAATTTTAGTTAAATTTCTCAAATGAATTTAATTGTTGAATATTTTAATAGAATTCTTGTAGAATAGAATAGAATAGAAATAAAATAAATAGAATTCAATTATTTTCCAATATTTTATTAAAGTTCTATTGTAAAAATCCAATTATTTAATAACTTAAAAAAAAATCTTTGCAAGAATTCAAATAATTTTATAAAAACTAATAAAATTCCTCGCAAAAGTTAATAATTTTAAATACATTTTTCTCAAAAAATTTAATTATTTACAAAACTCCATAAATAATAAAATTTTTCGCAGAATTGTATATAATATATAATAAAAATTCTCGAAAGAATTTAATTATTTTTACAAATAATACAATTCTTAGCAGAAAATCAATTCTTTTCAATACAATTTTATTTCAATTTCTCTAAATAATTTAATAATTAAACATTTGAATAAAATTCTAGAAAAGAATTCAATTAATTTTTTGACAACTACTTTTTTACTACTTCTTTTTAATCTTAAAAATACATTTTGATTCATTTTCAAAACTAATTAACGAGTGTGAAGCCTGTAAATAATATAAATAATTATATTAGACAATGAATCTAAAGTTCTGAATGTCCTAATGAACGAAATTTATTTATTTCTTCTTTAAATTAATTTTTAATTATTGCAACAATTTTGCTTTACTATAAAAAAATTATTATTTAATAGTATTAATATTAACGATATTAATATTATTATTATTATTATTATTATTATTATTATTATTATTATTATTATTATTATTATTATTATTATTATTATTATTATTATTATTATTATTATTATTATTATTATTATTATTATTATTATTATTATTATTATTATTATTAATAATAATAAGTTTCTTAATGTAAAATTTAAGATTTTAACTTTTAGTCGAATCAGTAATTTATGGAAATATTTTTAATAAAATACAGTTCGTTCATTTGAACGTTCAAAACTGAATTTAAATTGGATCGTGATAAATAAAATAAAGTTAATTAATATTTATCAGAATTGAATTTAGATTAGATAGAAGATTTGAACTTACGAGATTTACTGCTGTTTCTGCTAAAATTGAATGTCTCAATGAATGCATATCATCGTAACTTAATTCTCTGACTGCCGGTAATCTCGGTTTCGATGGTGATCTCCTCATAGCCATTTCCAGGTGAGCTATTAACTCCCAAGTGGTCTCTGCACTTCCGGTTGAAAATAGGTATTGCATTTCATTGTCCGCATTCGATATCAATATTGTTTGTGCATTTGGTCCAATCTGCAAAGAATAAAATTTTTAATTATCTATCGACACAAAAAATGGTATTTAAATTGCAAAAACAATCAAAATTTGTCAAGAAAACAATTAACGATTGCCAAAAAAAATTAAAAATTAAACTGTAAATTGAAGTTAAACTAAAAATTGAATTGAATTTAAATTCAGTTAAAAAATAAATTTTATTTCAATTCAAAAACGAAATGAATTCGAGATCGGCTCGAAAAAATTTCGGCTCGGCTCGGCTCGGAAATTCGAGCTTTTTGCACATCTCTAGTGAAAATTTTAATTTTTTTCACAATTAAAAATGTAATTGAATTTAAAATTAGTTAAAAATTGAATTAAATTACAAAAAATGTAATTAAATTCAAATTCAGTTAAAAATTAATTTGAAATTGAATTAAATATCGAATTGAATTTAAATTAAAAATTAAAGTTAAATTCATTAAAAAATGGAATTAATTTTAAATTTAGTTAAAAATTATATTTAAATTGTAAAGATTAAAAATTTGTTTTAAATATAAAATGAATAAAAACACACCATAATGACGTCGAGTTCATTGTAGGGAATAACAAACTGATTCCTATAGGAATGATCCGATTTTGAGCTGGTTAAATATAGTGTCTTATCGGTCAAAAGTGCGAGCATTGGTTTACTCTCACCATTCGTCATGTACGAGCTACGAACTTTATAAACCTTATACAATTGTTCCGTCTTATCCCTGTAAATACTGCCTTTAAAAATCTCTTTTTGCTTCAAACTAATTTTTTCACCGCTAAATCGTCGCTTCTCAGGATCTTGATTATCCCGAATCTCCTTCTCGAGTGCTTGATTAAATTCCTTAAATGAATCCTGATCGATTTTTCCACACTTAATGTAAAGTTGATTTGATTTTGCCTTCTTGCTTTTATTAACATCAAACTTTCTCTCGGTGATGGAGCGAAGAAATCGATTTAAGAGGGAAGTTTTCGATGGCGCTTGACGTAGAGGCGGCGGAATTAGTAATTTACTATTTTCACCTGACAATATTGCCGTCATATTGCGCTTCTTTTGCGGTGAGGCCAAATGTCGATTCTTTTTCGATTCCTCAGAATCACAAGTTGTGACACTGTCAGCGTCGGAAATATCACTTGATTTTTTTGGTTGAGGTGGCATTTCTAGTTTAACCGGTGGATCTTCGACGATATTTCCGTATTCCTTCTCGACGATGTACGCTTCCTGGGCTTCATTATCTTTGAGATCAATTTCCATTTTTGGTCGGGACAATTTTGAGTTAATTTCCATTTGTGGATCTTCTTGACCCTCGGGGACACCGCGTTCGGATATTGAGAGACAGGTGCATCGATAATTCTTCTGACAAACGGGATGATTGCAGAGTTTCGGTGTCAATCGTCTCTCGTTCTCACTGTCGTGGGTGCTTAGCGACGAACTCGAGGAATAATATTCTGAATATGCATTTCGCGTGTTTAGTGTTTCCTTAGGGTATGGTGAATCATTGGCGCACCAACTGTAACGCTCCGGTTGCACGTCCTTTTGTTTATTGTACGACGACGAACGATAACCATAATCTTCATAATTCTCATCGTCGTCGAGTTTCATCATTTTGAAAATATCCTCGTGAAAGCTGACACGCTTTTTGCCCTCGCCCCGTTTCTTTTTACGTTGTCGACGTTGAACGACAGTTTCTGAAGTCGATGTCGATAGAATGCTGGTATCAACCATATTGATAGTATTCAGGATACTGTACGGTGCTTCAGTGCTATCACAGTCCGAGATTGTCATGCTGAGTTCCAATAAATTTGTATCATTATTAATGACATACGAGTTGCGGGGATCGATATTCTTTTTAAAACTGTAACCATTATTATCGCCATAGTAGCTGTATCTGTTAATGCCATTGCTTACGTTGTCAAAATCATTGTTGACCTTGTCGAACTTTGACTCCTCGAGACTTTTACTGTAGTACGAATAATCTTTCAATGTATCCAAACTCGAGCAATTCATTTCATTATCGTCGAGCTTCTGCGGAAGATTCTGATTGACAATGTCACTATTTGTGACTAGGGTCTTTTGAAATTTTGTCTTTAATCCAGGCGATTGAACTGGTGTCTTTCCCTCTTCGCCAGAATCACTTGACGAGAAAGAGCGATCCATGTTTTTAATATCTTTCGTACAATTGCTTAAAATTGTCTTGTACTTGCTGTTGCGATATCTCGGAATATCTTCGATCGACGAATCCTGCAATTCGACAAAAATAATTTAAGTCGAAAATAATCTCTATTCAATTGAAAATAATTTAATTAAACAAAACTACTAGTGAATCTAAAGATAAAAATCGCAGGCCTCGGATGGACTTTAAAGAACAAAAAAAGTCATTTTAATCGATGAAAAGTACAAAAAGAGTCGAAAAGTAATTTCCTTTCTTCAGATTTGTAACAAAAAATTATTATTATTATTGGTTTTATTTTCAAAACTTTTAATTTATTCGCAAGAATTGAATTATTTTCAATTTTCATTAATAATTAATTAAAACATTCTTCGGGAGAATTCAATTATTTTTATAAATATTAAATTTTTCTGCAAAAATTCAATTATTTTCAACAAAACTTTAATAAAATTTCATGACAGAATTCAATTTCTTTCTTAATTCGCTTTAAAAATTTCTAAAAGAATTCAATTATTTTGTAAAATTATAATAAATCTTTCAAAACAAATTAATTATTTTTATAAATAGTAAATTTTTTTGCAAAAATTCAATTATTTTCAAAAAAATTTTGATAAGATTTCACGAAAGAATTCAATTGTTTTCTAGAATTTTTATAAATCCTTCAAAACAATTCAATTATTTTCAATAATTTTTCATAAAATTTAATTACTTTAAAAATGTCCAATTAAAATTATTAATAAAACTCCATTATTTAAAAAAAATTCAAAGAAATTCATCAAAAGAATTGAATTAAAATTTTCAAAAATTTCACTAAAATTCTTCGATGAAATTCAGTTATTCTCAAATATTTTGATAAAATTCTTCGAAAGAATTCAATTATTTTTAAATTCATTGCAAGAATTCAATGATTTACAATACATTAATTTTAAAATTTTAAATATTTGAAAAGAAAAATTATTTAAAAAGTTAGGAAACAAAAAAGCAAACAACAACTGACAACAACTAACTTCAAATTGCGAATAGATTACCGGAACACAACGATTATTAATATAGATTATCAATTAAAATTTAGAAAAAATTTTAATTTGGAACCTTCTGAAATTCTCCTCATCTATATTAATAAAACCAGACTTCTGTCTGTACATTGCTCCAATCTTGAAAATTCTTATATATTTTTTCTTCTTGAGACATGAGAATTCGAAAAATGTAAAAAAAAAAATGTCTGTCTGTCTGTCTATCTGTCTGTCTGTCTGTCCTTCTGTCTGTCTGTCTGTCTGTATGCAAAACTTTGTTCGCGCATCAATTGAAAACGGTTCAACCGAATAATGCGAAACTTCGCAGTCTATTAGGTATTAATGTAACTTAAAATCATAGCCTTATCCGATTAAAAAATATTAACTTGAACGAAAGTTATGACATTTTTTCAAAAAATTCGAAAAATCAAAAAAATTCAAATATTTTATTTTTTGGAAAATGAATGCAAAACTATCCTTAGCTAACTTTTTCAGATAAATACAACCCATTTCTACAATAAAATTATTAAAAAAGACGTATTTTGAAATTTTTTTTCGTTTTTTTAGATCAACTTTTTTCTAAAAAAAATAGTGATTTTTAATCTTTGAGCAAGCTTTTCAGGAAAAGTTATTAAAGTTTTTTATTTAAAGATCAGTATGTAAAGTAAGAAATTTGCTACATTAGACAAAAATAATGAAGCTAAATGCCATAAAAGAGAAGAAAAAATGTTGAATTATAAGAAATTCGGTTTTTCGAAATTTTCATAATTTTTAATAATTTTTGATTTTGTACTAAAGGGTGGAAAGAATTAAATAAGTAGAGTAATTTTGAAGAGCACAAAAATAATGAAGCTAAATGCCATAAAAAAAGAAGGAAAAATGTTGAATTTTAAGAAATTCGGTTTTTTGAATTTTTTGCTAATTTTCCATAATTTTAGATTTTTTACCAAAGGGTGGAGACTATTAAATAAGTAAAGTATTTTTAAAGAGCACAAAAATACTAAAGCTAAATGCCATAAAAAAGAAGGAAAAATGTTGAATTTTAAGAAATTCGGTTTTTTGAATTTTTTGCTAATTTTCCATAATTTTAGATTTTTTACCAAAGGGTGGAGACTATTAAATAAGTAAAGTATTTTTAAAGAGCACAAAAATACTAAAGCTAAATGCCATAAAAAAGAAGGAAAAATGTTGAATTTTAAGAAATTCGGTTTTTTGAATTTTGGCTAATTTTCCATAATTTTAGATTTTTTACCAAAGGGTGGAGACTATTAAATAAGTAAAGTATTTTTGAAGAGCACAAAAATACTAAAGCTAAATGCCATAAAAAAGAAGGAAAAATGTTGAATTTTAAGAAATTCGGTTTTTTGAATTTTGGCTAATTTTCCATAATTCTAGATTTTTTACCAAAGGGTGGAGATAACAAATTAGGTAAAGTATTTTTGAAGAGCACAAAAATAATGAAGCTTAATGATATAAAAGAGAAGAAAAAAATGTTAAATATTAAGAAATTCGGCTTTTCGAATTTTTGATAATTTTTGATTTTTTGCAAAAAGGTTGGAGACTATTTAAATAGTAATATTTTACTACCGAAATAGCTAATGGTAACTAATTATTAATTTTCCGGTCAAATTAAATTCCCGGTTTTTTTCTGATTTTTCAGATTGGTAGGAAAATTATTAAATATATTGGTAGAAACTAAAACCCGTCGAAGACGGGTACGACAGCTAGTTTGAAATATTTTTAATAATTTTGAGATAAAAATTTTGGAGAATTTAATTATTTAAAAAAAGAAAGTCCACTTAAAATTCATCTAAAATTTAATTTTTTTCATTTGAATGTTAGGAAATTTTTATTATTCGAAAATTGTTTAATTAAATAATATATTTTCTACAGTTTTGACTAATTTTAAAGCTATTTCAACTAAAATTTGTTGAAACATTAAGTTTTTCGAATTTTTAATTAAAGTAATTCAAAATGGAAATTTTCATTAAAAACCTCTTGAAATTTAATTATTTCCATAAAATTTTACTTATAACTCTTTCAATATTCAATTATTTTATTGAAATTTGAACTAAAATTCTCCTCATTTCAATTATCTTTAATAATTTTCAGAAAATTACTCAAGAATTATTTAAAAATATTTTTAAATAATTTTTTCATAAATAATAGTTCTTTTTGTTATAATATATGTAATTAAAAAATTTGCAAATAATTTAAAATTTAGTGCATTTTTTCATTAAGTAATTGAATTATTAAAAAATATAAAAAAATTTTAAGTCACGTTTTTTGAAAATAATTAATTTTTAAAAATTTAGGTTTCCAAAAAAAATATTACTTATTTTAAAAAATTCTAACTAGTTTTTTTAAAAATATTGTAATGTAATTTTTCAAATACAATTAAATTTGTTAAAAAAAATTTTGAACAATTTTAAAAACTAATAATATTAGTAATAAAAATAAAAATACCTAATCTAATAATAATAATAATAATAATAATAATAATAATTTTTATTGAAATATTTGAAAGTAATTCAGTTTTAAGAAGAATTTCTTTTAAGTTTTTAAAATAATCGTGTTTGTTAATAATTGAAATTAAATATTTGGTTATTTAATTTTATTAAAATTTTTAGAGAATAATTAAATTCTTCTCAGACTTTTATTACAATATTTTGAAATAATTTAATTCATTTAAGAAACTTTATTAAAATATTGAAAATAACTTATTTCTTTTAAAGAATTAAAGGTTTTGAAAATAATTAAATTACTTTCAAAAAAATGTCTTTAATTTCCTGAATATTGTAATTTTGTCAATAATAATAATTGATAGTTTTACTATTAAATTTTATTAAAAAACATTTGAAAATAATTGAATTCTTTACAAGAATTCTATTAAAATGTTCAACGATTAAATTCTTTTGAGAAAAAATAAAATTATATTGAAAATATTAGAATTTCTTCGAAGAATTGTATTATTTATAGAATATAATTGAATTGTTTTAAAGAATTTTGACAAAAGTTTTGAAAATAATTGGATTTTTTCCGCCGAATTTGTATTTCAATTTTTAAAAATAATTGAATTCTTGCAAGAAATTCCATATTAAAAACGAATTAAAAAACAAAATTCCTGCGAAGAAATTGTTTCTTTTTAAATATTTCTATTCTTGGGAAGAATTTTATTACAATTTTTGAGAGTAATTGAATTTATGAACTGTAAATAATTGAATTTATGAGAAAAATTTATTATTTACAAAAATAATTGAATTCGTCCGAAGAATGTTGTTATTTATGAAAATAATTAAATTCTTGCCAAGAAGTTTATTAAAATTTTTGAAAATAATAAACAAAAATAATTAATTATGTACTTAATAATTATTTTCAATAAAACTTTCAACAATTTTCAATTATTTAAATTTTTAAAAACTTTTTATAATTAATTTCGAAAATTTAATTATCGAAATAAAGTCAAAAAGGTCGTTGTATTTTTTGAAAATAGACAAAAAAATGTAAAAATATCCAAGGTCAGAAATAGAATTACCTCCCGACAACTGCTGCCATCAGTTTCGTTCGAAAGATCCATATCGCTATCGAGAGCAACTCCACTGTCACCGGGAGAAACTAAACTCGGTGAAAAACTCGAAGATCTCAGGTGCAATGTTAAAGCCGTGCCAGAAGGTGACCCGCTCATAGGTCGTTGTGGCATATAATTAACAATATCCAAATAAGTAACATCCTAAAAAAAAGAAGAAAAAACAAATGAAGAGAAATTTTCATCTTGCATTTTTTCATTTGTATAAAGAAACAAAGTTGATAAAAGTCCGATTCAAATGAGAGTATAGACATGTATAATATAATGATTAATGAATCAAATCGTTTTGTGAAATTTTCCACGCAAATCTTTTAGCGATATATAATAATAATCCTCAAAAAAGAAGGTACAACACAAGCGCGATAACATATTGCTCTTGCTTGTCACGAAAACATATTTATCTTTATGTTTCATTATAGGACGGATGTTATTTATTAGTTTGATAATTGTAACCGGGGGGTGATACTCCCATAATAAGAGAATGAAAAGGAAGTAAATAAAAATGTAAATATTTTTCTCCACTACAAAATTATTTATATACTATAATACTAACATTTATTATCATTTAATTGCAGTAAAAGAAAAATTCATCTATCTATAAATCTACGGCAAAAAAAAAGCTGTAGTTCTAATTCAGAAATCGTTTCCTTTACAAAACAAATGACTCACTATTACGTTTATTTTATCAATTGCATTGAATTAAAGTAAAAAAATTACTGCAGGTACGGAAAATATTTAATTTCAAGATTGATTGAATTAATTTTTCGTTTTTTACTAATTTATTTTTTTTATTTCATTTTCAATAAATTCTGTTAATTTTCAGTCTAATGAATAATTATTAATTTTCAATATTAGAACTTTACGTGTTTTTATTTTAAATTAATTTGAAAAAATGTCCTTTCTATTATTCAAGGACACAAATGGAAAATAATTGTGAACAATTTTGAAAAGAAGAATTTGCTCACCAATTGCAATGTAAAAGATACATTTTCTAATCCAGCTAATAAATTAATGAGCTGATTGGTTTTGTCAGGATTCCTGACAAGTGCGTGTGGAAAATACTGTTTCTTTAAAGTATGTGTATCTCGTAGAAGACAAGCTAGGTAACTTTCAAAACTTCCTTCACTCAACGTATGATACAGCCAAGCACGACCTGTAATTAAAAATATCTTTCGTTAATTTTTCGGGGTAATTAAAATTTCAATTTTTAGGAATTAAATTCAATTACAAGTGTAAATGAAAATATCATTTTTGGAATTGAATTTTTTTAATTAATTCCTTAAAGTAATTCCAAATTAATTATTTACAGTAAATCGGTTAATAATTAGTAGTTAATAGTTAATAGTAAATAGTTAATAGTTAACAGTAAATAGTCAATAGTTAACAGTAAATATAAGAATTAGTTGTGAGAGAATCTACTTTATTAATAGATGCAGAGAGAAAAATACCTTTTCCAATGGATGTTAGTACATTTTGTAACGCGTGGATTACAACAACCGTGTCTTGGTGGCTAAGCTCTCGTGCCGTGCCCCAATATCCATGCCTTTCAATACGTAAACCATGTCTTAAGGCTCGGTCTAACCAGTAAACTAACCAAGAATCTCCGTCCAATACCACTGAGCCATGAAGACTTTGAGCGTAAACCTAATTTTCCGAAAATATATCCATTTTTAATATATTTTATGTCCTCAAAACATTAATTTTTTATTCTTTTTCTAATTTTCATAATTGTATTTTCAATATAATAATTTGAAAACTCATTTATATTGAATTTAAAAAATCATTTACAATTTAAAAATCAAAATTTTCTCAAATATTTTATTTCTTTCTAATTTTTCTAATTTTATTCCAATATATTAATTTGAGAACTCATTTAAATATAATTTACAAAATCACATATAATTTAAAAATTCAAAAATATTCCTCAATTATTTAATTTTTATTATTTAAATAGCAAAACTACACGCAATTTTCGTTGCCATACTTTAAAAGATTTGCTTTTTAAAATTTAATGAAAATTCTTCATTTTTTCAAAAATATAATTTTTTTAACAGTTTTTCTTTAAATTTAATTATTTGAACAACTCGTACGGAAATCGACAAGATATTTCTAACAGCAACTTGAATATACATAAGATATTTTTGATTAAATAATTCAACTTCCCAGTGGAAATAAGTTTATTCTAAATTTTTTTTTAATTCAATTAATTTCCAAATTTCCAATTATTAGAATTCTTCAAAAATACGATTATATCTCAAAATAATTTTTAAAAACAAACAAAAATAAAATTCATTAAAATATTAAATTTATTTCAATGAAATTTGACAAAATTTTCAATTGTTTCAATTTTTTAAAATTATTTTCAATAATAATACAATTATTTTAAAAAATTTTTGTTACATTTTTTCAAGAATCAATTTTTCGGAATTTCTGAATTAAATTATTCAAAACTTCAATATTTTTTGTTAAACAAAAATTTAAAAACTTATTTTTATTTATTTTTCCACAGAAATTAAAATTTCAAATAATTTCAATGAAAAACCTCATGAAATTTAATTTTTTCTATAAACTGCAACTGTAATTCTTCCAAAACTCAATTATTTTGTTAGAATTTTTAAATTAAATTATTGAAAAACTTTAAGAATCTTTAAAGACAAATAATGTAATTAATAGGTAATAATTTTTTAAAATAAAAATTTAAATATTTTTATACTTTTGCTTCTCTTAAATTTTCAAGGAATTTAATTTAAAAACCTTTTAAAATTTAATTAATTCCTAAAATTCCTGTTATAACGCTTTAAATGTACAATTATTTCCTAAAATTTTAATTGAAACTGTTTTTAAATCAATTGCTATCAGAATTCATCGACGAAAATGGAATTATTTAAATAGAATAATTTTTGTAAATTCATGAAATAGGTAATGTTTTTTCAAAAATACAATTATATTTATAGATAATTTTTAAAAACGAAAAAATAAAATTCTTTAAAGTATAAAATTTTACAAAATTTCCAATTGAGCTCCCGCGTCCAATAACTCGATCTGCGCTTGAACTGAAAAATTGAAGCCAGTCAAGCCGTCAGAAAATGGAAAAAAATAAAAGTCGGAATTTTTAATTTTAAAACATACTACCGTATAGAGCATAAAAATGCCCAAATTTTTTGTCTTTGAAATTTTTTTGTAAGACTTTTATTTTTAATAATAATGGACAAAAACTGAATTTTTTTTATTCTTCAATTTCATTGAATTTCAAAACATAAATCGACTTTTCTCAAACAAATCTTAATGAAATTAATTAAAAATTGATATACTTACTTATCAGGGTCTACCGAAGACGATGAAATGATTGAAACATTAAAAAATGTTTATTGCAAAATTATTTGTTAATATAAATACAGACCTGTCGGTAAATACGTTTTCTCAACTTTGACGAGAAAAAGTGTGCGGTGAAATTTCGAGTTGACACAACTTCCAGTGAGACATTTGTTTATTAACATGTGAAGAAGTTTTTTGGAAATTTTTATTTAAATCGGATGAAAAATAAAGAAGATACATAGTGTTTAAAAAAATATGCGTCGTGCGGCGTTTTGACATTTTGACGCAAGAGGAGAAAACTATTGGAAACTATTGCTATTTTCTGTTGATTTATTTAAAAATAAGTTTATTTATGTATTATATTTAAAATAAAAACAATTCTTTACTTTAGAATTGTTATTAATTTATACTATAACTAACTATACTATACAATTGTACAATTTCTATACTTATTTATATTTTAATATTAATAAATTTTTTATTATTACTTTACTATTAATTTTTAATTTTAAAACACGTGGTTTATTGAAAAACTTAACAGCAGTAATAAAGTAAACTGTATTTTCTTCAAAAAAATTCAAGGACCTGCTTTGTTTACATTAACGGTGTTGCGCAATTTCAAACAGTGGTCGCCTTTTAAAAATGGCTGCTTGAACGTAAACGAAAATTCAAGAGGAATTTTCTCCCAATTTGGACAATTATTGCAAAATAGGGAAAAATACCAGTTATACTGAAATTTTGTTCTTTCATTTGTGCACAAGGAATTGGAAATCCAATATAATACACGACGTCAGGAAGTAAAATGAGAAAATTAGATGTGCCCATTAGCTGCTGCCCTCTGGTGGTAATTTTATGTATCGCGCATTTGTTTAACTTTTTCCTATTTTTCTTCCTGTCGTTGTAAATCTAAATAAGTCTTTTACTGCCTATCATATTATAAATGTATAGAATTGTTTTTATTTTAAATATAATACACGAATAAACTTATTTTTAAATAAATCAACAGAAAATAGCAATAGTTTCCAATAGTTTTCTCCTCTTGCGTCAAAATGTCAAAACGCCGCACGACGCATATTTTTTTAAACATTATGTATCTTCTTTATTTTTCATCCGATGTAAATAAAAATTTCCAAAAAACTTCTTCACATGTTAATAAACAAATGTCTCACTGGAAGTTGTGTCAACTCGAAAGTTCACCGCACACTTTTTCTCGTCAAAGTTGAGAAAACGTATTTACCGACAGGTCTGTATTTATATTAACAAATAATTTTGCAATAAACATTTTTTAATGTTTCAATCATTTCATCGTCTTCGGTAGACCCTGATAAGTAAGTATATCAATTTTTAATTAATTTCATTAAGATTTGTTTGAGAAAAGTCGATTTATGTTTTGAAATTCAATGAAATTGAAGAATAAAAAAAATTCAGTTTTTGTCCATTATTATTAAAAATAAAAGTCTTACAAAAAAATTTCAAAGACAAAAAAGTTGGGCATTTTTATGCTCTATACGGTAGTATGTTTTAAAATTAAAAATTCCGACTTTTATTTTTTTCCATTTTCTGACGGCTTGACTGGCTTGGATTTTTCAGTTCAAGCGCAGATCGAGTTATTGCCCGCGGGAGCTCAATTGTTTCAATTTTTTAAAATTATTTTCGGGAATTCAAGTATATCTTCAAAAAATTTTAATACCTTTTTCGAAAACCTAATTTTTTCAGAACTTTCCAAATTAAATCTTTCAAATTTCAATAATTTTTGTAAAATAAATATTTAAATACTTCAAATTTTGCTTAAAATTTCGAAATACTTTCAATGTAAAACCATTGGAAAAATGTTTTTTGAAAATTTGAACTACAAGTCTTCCTAAATTTAATTATATGTTTAGAAACATTTAATTTTTTTCTAAAGTTGTAACTAAAATTTTATTTTGAATCAATTCTTATTAGTATTTAATTATTTAAATTTTCTTACTCCAGTTATTTTATTATTTATAAATTAATTGACAAACTTTTGACATAACAATTCGAATTATAAAAAAAAACATTGGAATAAAACAACACTAACTTCAGGTGAGGACCGATTATGTCGATAATTATAATATAATTATTATTTTATTATTATTATCAATTGTTCAATTTTTTTTCTAATTTTCATTTGTATTTCAATATATTAATTTGAGAACTTATTTAAATACAATTTAGAAAATCATTTAAATATAGTTTAAGTACAACGCTTTTTTCATAAGGAAGCAAAAATGGATAGAATATGTTAATTTAAAAACACATTTAAATATAATAATTAAATAAATCACTATATTATAATATTTGAATATAATTTAAAAAATAATAAGTGATAATACTAATATAATGAAAAACAAATGAATGGTAAATTAATGCAGAATATTTCATTAGATCATGAAACTTTTAATTAAAATTTAAATAAATAATAAAGTTGCAAGAAAAATTCCTCGCAGTCTGACATTTAATTAAAATGAATAATTTTTTTTAACAATAAATGCAAAGTATTATCGAATAGAAAAGTTGTAACTTGTAACAAAGACATGTCAATAATTATTAAATACAGAAAATATTTCTGATAGTCCTCGACCTTTTTAAGCTTTTCTTTTTTTTGAATCCTAGCGATAAATCAGTCCCTTAGGACTGCGGGATGCCGTTTGTCAAATAAATAAATATATAAATAAATAAAATATATTAGTGCGCTAGTTAAAATATCGAAATGTAGATATTTGCCGAAAGAAATGAAAGCAAAATTAAATTAGTGAACAATGACGAAGAAAAGAAAAATCCTCTAATTATAGTTTTTCGTAAATTGTTTTCCCTTTCGAATTCTTCGAACAAGTTCTCGATTTTTTTACTTTGGAAATTCTTCTCCCTTTTTGCTCTTTTCGATTCACAGTATAAAAATAGCGAAAAATATTTCAGACACGTTTGAAGTTAGCAATTGTCGATAAATTTATATATTTCAAAATTCCTTTTGTTTGTATGTTGAAAAATTTTTTCTCCATCCATTTCTGTTTTGATCATAAATTTTTTTGGAAATTCGTTCTCCTTTTGAATGCTTCGAACAATTTGGAAAATTCTCTTTTCAATTCGGAATATAAATTTAAAAAAACACGTTCAGAGTCAATTATATTCTAACCAAAATCGTTGCCGACTAATTTCTAAAAATCGTATATAGTTCTATTTTCCAGAAATAATTCTAAAACTGTCAAAAACAAGAAGAGAAAAGAGATGAAAATTTGTCCTATTCTTTAAAATATAGCGAATAAAATAAAGTTCCGAGAAAAATGTCTCATTGAATTTAAAATAAATATATGACATTTAATTTAAAATGAATACTTTTTAACAATCAAAGTATTATCAAATGAAAAAGTTGCAAAACGTCTCGTACTCTGACATTTCATTTAAAATGAATAATTTTTAACAATCAAAGTAATATCGAATCAAAAAGTTACAACAAAGACATGTCAATATAACAATTGAATAGAGAAAATATATAGTCCTCGACCTTTTTAAGTTTTTCTATTTCGAATTCTATATAAATTTTTATCGTTAAAATAAATTAGCGCAGTGTTAGAGTTAGAATAGCGAACTATGTATATTTACAGCAAGAAATGAAAGCAGCTGATAATAATTATTACACAGCAAAGACGTATTTTCAATATAAAGCGTCGTATTAACGTGCGATTATCGAACAAATTCTCAAAGATAAAGTATACAATAAGAAATTAATGATGGACTTATTTCGAAATGGACCATTGAAAGTAAATTTAGATATGACGATTTTTTCAAACTTGACAGTGACGAAGAAAAGAAAAATCTCTTTGATGTATGACATTTGAAAAAAGGACACGAAAAATTGACCTTATGATACAAATATATACAAATAAATGAATAAATAAAGAAAGAAAGAAAGAAAAAATAAAAAAAGAGAATACAAATTGAATACAAAAAGGAGAGTACGATAAAAAAGAAATAAAAATAAAATTAATACAGCGATTATTAATAACTTGCAAATTCATTGAAATTTCAGCAAAAAAATGTATCGAATTTCTCTTTTTTCGTTTACAGTTAAATAAAATAAAGAAGACTTTTTTTCCTTTCGAAAACTATTGAAAATTGGAGAATTTTTTAATAAATGGGGAAATAAGAGTGAATTTCTACTCCAATTCGAAATCATGCAGTTGGAGTACTTACAAGTTTGATTGCTTTTGTTAATTCCTGTAGTATCCTGCTTTTCGACAGGACTTTGTCCGTGCAGAGATCAATATCCTCTTGACCTGGCATTTTCGTAATGCTATTCACATTATTTTTTTTTCTAATCCTTTGTTCTTTGGAAAAACAGGAGAATACCTCTAATTTTAAGGAATTGTTCTGACTGACACATTCACTGCACTCGCCACAATCCGGTCGCATTGATTTTATTAGTACGCAAGTTCAGCGGCAAATTCAAGTTTCTCTCGTTCACACTCTGAGGCTGCTTTCATTCGTCGCAGCCAAATCTGTAAATAAAAATTTTTCTGTTAATTCAAATTTCACTCGATAAGCAGAAATTATAAATTTTTCCCTTTTTTTTCTATTTAGAGGAAATGAAATAAATTCAAATTACTAAAAAAAAGAAAGAAATTAAAAAACAAAAAATGAAATTTCGAAAAGTAAAAAAAGGTCGAACTAAAAATGTAACTAAAATTATCAGGAAAATTATAAGTTAATATTGTAATAGATTTATAAATAAATTCGATATTTGCCGTTCATGTTAATATAATTTCTTTTTTCTCTTAGAACGTTAAATTTAAATTGACATTAATAATAGAAAATCGTATATTGAGTGAAAATGTTTAATCTGTAGAAAGTATTATATTGGCAAAATGTGGAAAATTTTCAGTAAAGTTATAAATATACTTTTAAATCGCTGTGAATTATTGTATGTTGAATGTAAAACGTGATCTGTCAGCTCTTTTCTCATTTCATTTGTATATATATTTTCGCGTCTCACAATCACAAGTGGAAAAATAAAAAATATGAAAAAAATAGTAAAAAAGATGTTTTGCTTTTCTTTATATTTAATCACAGATACAAGTGCATGCAGAACATCACATTTATATTCTTAGAGAACCGATAAATACTCGTATCGATAACATTGTACAATTACTCAAAACGTTTATAATTCAATTTAAAGAGCATTTAAGAGCTATTAATAAAAGTAAACATTTTCCATTTTCATTTTCATGTAAAAAAAAATCTTGGTATCATTAAAGAAAGTTAAATTATTACAAATCAATTAATTTTTTTTATAAATTAATGATAATTTAATTTTAATTTACAATTAAATAAACTATATATTTTCAAACTATTTATTTTTTGTTTTCAATTATTTTTATTTAATTTGGAAAAATTTTAGACTAAACAGAAGTTATCGAGATTTTTTTTATAAAATTCAATTTTAACGGAATTTATTTAGAATATTTAAAACTAATTAATTATTAAAGAAGAAAATGGAAAAAAATGTATTCAGAATATTGGTTGGCAAATAAAAAGGAAACATTTAAGTTCGTGATTTTGGAGAAAAAAAGAAAAGAAAAATATTAAAAGGAAAATTATTTTTTTAAAAAAAAGCTAAACGAATGAAAAAAAGTAATTAAACTACAATTGCAAATAATTAATTATTTAAAAAATAGGAAAAATTGTATTTAAAATTTGTAGGTCCTAAATAAAAAGGAAAAATGTGAAAAGAAAATTTTTTGAAAAAGTAGAAACAAAATGAATTAAATAAAAAAAAGAATTAAAAAAGAATTTCAAAAAAAAAGACTTAAACAAACTTAAAAATTCAAACATTTTTTTAAAAAAATGACTTATTAACTAATTAATTATTATTAATAATTAATTTTAAAAAATTGAATAAAATTCTTAGCAAGAATTCAATTATTGTCATAAAGAATAAACTTCCTCAGAAGAATTCTATTATTTTCAAAATAATTTAAATAAAATTTCACCAAAAGGATTAAATTTTTTTCAAAGATTTTTAATAAAATTTTTCGAAACAATTCAATTATTTTTACAAATAGTAAAATTCTTTTGAGGAATTCAATTATATTCACTACAATTTTAATAAAATTTTTCTGCACGGATTCAATTATTTTTTAAAATTGTAATAAAATTTTTCTAAAAAATTCAATTATTCTCAAAAATTATGATAATATTCTTTGTAAATTTCATTTATTTTCAAAAATTTCAATTAAATTTTAAAAAACCATTATTTTCAAGAAATTTTAAAAAATTGTTGAAAAAAATTTAATTATTTACGTTTTTGTGAATAATTTTAAATATTTTTTCAATAGAAATTATAAAAAACTCCATTAATTTCAAACAAGTCGAATAAATTATTGAAATCAATTTTTTTAAATTTCTTGATAATAATGTCGTTTTTTTAAAATTTTTATTGAAAATTTTGAAAATAATCGAATTTATTTACAAACATTTCAATAAAATTTATCGAAATAATTCAATTATTAAAAAAAAATTTTTTAATATTTTTCGAAAGAATTCAATTAATTTCTAAAATTTTGATAAAATTCTTGAAAACAATTCAATCATTTTTATAAAATGCAAAATTTTTCTAAAAAATACAATCATTCTCAAAAGTTTTTATAAAAAATTCTCTTGTAAATTTCAATTATTTCCAAAATTTTCAATTATATTTTAAAAAAAAGGAGATTATTTTGAAGAAATATAAAGAAATTCTTGAAAAAAATTTATTTATTCACGAAAACTCTATTAAATAATATAATTATTAATAAACAGAATTATTTTAAAAACTTGAAAGAAATTCTTCTTAAAATCCAATTACTTTCAAAAAATTTAAAAATTAGTATTAAAACAATTTTTTTTAAATTTCTTGATAATAATGATTTTTTTTAATTTAATTGAAAATTTTGAACATACCTAATTGACATTATTTTCAAACATTTTAATAAAATTCTTGACAAGAATTAAATTATTTTCGAAAATTTTAATAACATTCTTTCAAAGAATTAGATTGTTTTCACTAATAATGAAATTATTTCCGTAATTTCAATTTTTTTAAACAATTTTAATACAATTTCTCGAAAGAATTAAATTATTTTCCAAAATTTACATAAAATCCTTCAAAGAAATTCAATTATTTTCAAACATTTTAATAAAATTCTTGCCAAAAATTAAATTATTTTCGAAAATTTTAATAACATTCTCTCAAAGAATTAGATTGTTTTCACTAATAATGAAATTATTTCCGTGACTTCAATTATTTTTAAAACAATTTTAATACAATTTCTCGAAAGAGTTAAATTATTTTCCAAAATTTACATAAAATCCTTCAAAGAAATTCAATTATTTTCAAACATTTTAATAAAATTCTTGCCAAGAATTAATTTTTTTAAGAAATTAGAAAAAATTACATTTAAAATTGAATTTGTGAATAAAAAAGAAAAAAACTATTAGTAAAAGGAAATTATTTAAAAAAATAAAAAGGAAATATAATCAGAGAGAAACTATATGCATATATAATTAAAAGTAATTATTACAGAAAATAGAAAAAATTGCATTTAAAATTGATTTTTTAAATAAAAAAGAAAAAAAGTTAGTTAAAGAAAATTATTTAAAAAAATAAAAAGGAAATATAATCAGAAAGAAACTATATATAATTAATTTAAAAGTAATTATTAGAGAAAATAGAAAAAGTTGAATGTAAAATTAATAGGTAAATGGAAAAAGAAAAATATCAATAAAAGAAAAATTTGAAGAAAATAAAAGCGAAACGAATAAGAGAAAGAGAAAAAAAGCAAATATTTCCAGATTCATAAAAGTGAAGTGAACTTTTATCTCGTTAAAAATCTTTTGATCTTAATCGTTTGAAGGGAGGGCGACACATTTTCTTTCTTTTACCGCAACTATTGTGTCTTTCATAAAAAGAAAATCAATGCTCATCCTTTTTAAAAAGTATCTTATATGTAGGAGAGAGAGTGAGAGAGAGATAGAGATTCCTGATTGATTATTATTCGACCTATAAAACCGCATATTAGTGTCAAAATAATCGCGAGTTTCCTACAATATATAACAATACAACACAACAGTTAAAAACTGAAATCTTTCGATAATAAAGATACAGTATATATATCTCTCTGAGAAACATTGTTATTGCGCACTTTTTTTTAAAAATACTTTATAAAGAGTGAACCAATCGTGAGTACCTCTGTCATTGCGTTTGAAGTTGGTTCAAGCGCTCACGTCACATGTATATATAGAACACCAAGGGTTGGTTGGTTGGTGGGTGTTTGTATATGCTATAGGGGTGCCCCTCCCGAAAATGGCTGTCACGCAAGGAACAAGATATTCTCAAGAGAACAAGTGATGGCTCATTTTTCTCTTCCAAATACGATAAGACTAATTTGAAGTTGAATTTCCTTTTTTCCTTTTTTCCTTGTGTGTGTGAAAAAATATTCAATGTGATTCATTTAATCATAATTGATTATGTTGTCGTGTCTCGGAAACATACCTCGCGGTATTCGGAGGTGTTCTCTAGACGCGTCGTCTCCGTCGCCCCTCAATTCTTCTTATTCCCAAAGGTGAGTTTTTCTGCAAAAAAAAACAAAAAAGAAAATAATCTTTAGTTATTTCTACAAATTTTAATCGCAATACTGTCAATTATATTTTGGAGTCAAAAGAATTATTCTAAAATAGAAGAAAAAATTTACTTTGCTAATTATGATTAATTCAATGTTTTTCTGTCCTGATTTCAAATTGTTTGAAAAATATTTTTACTCTTTTCAAACAGAAATTTTTAAATCAGTTAATTTTGCAAATATTTATTTATTTAAAATCCGTTGTGGAAATAAACAATTTTTAGACTACAGAAAGCAGAGGACAATGTAGAGTGGAAAATTTGAAGGAGAGGAAAAAAGAAAGAGAGAAGAGGAGGTGTGAAAGATGAGCAGCTCCTCATGGGGAAGTCTTGTTATAATTGTGGGAGTTGTAATTTGTTGGCAATTATCTTGCGCATCTGAAAGTGACAAATCAGTGAGATCATTGAAAAATCGACGTCGATCGTCATCATGGCATGTGGTTGTTTCGTTTACACAATCACAAACGGCACATGGACGAATTATTCATGCAGCGACAAATTACAAAAATGATATTCAAACGGCATGGGAGAAGACAAGAGCGGACGCATCATTGACTGACATTGAATTGACATATGTCGAGGCACGTGAAACACCCGTCACTGATTCATTGTCTTATCCATTGTCACTTTTAAATCAATTTTGCGAGGATATTGAGAATGGCAAGACGATATTAAACATCGTTATCGGTGGTGGTCCAGCAGCTAGATTCCTTGTGTCAGCAGCATCATCTATCAATATTCCCACTCTCTGGCTACCATTCACCTATCGCGATTTTCTCCAACAGGTCTGTAACTGTATAAAATATCACTGATTTTTTTTTCAATTTTATTCTTTATAATCTTCTATCTTCTTCTATATTAATAATCGTTGTATTCGGGTAATTTGTTCCCAGTTTGAATTTAGATTTTGTTTACTATTTTGTTTCCTAACTATATTTTAATAATTTTTCTTTTTAAATATTTTCAATTTTAAAATTAATAAATATGTATTGAAAATCATTGAATTTTTGCAAAGAATTTTATCAAAATTTATAAAAATCCTAATTAAATTCTTTTAAAGAATTTCTTTCAATTTATTTTAAATAATGAAGTTTCTTTAATAATATTTTAATTGAAGATTTTTACAGTAATTGAATTTTATTAATAATTACTTAATGAACAAATTATTGAATTTTATTAAAATTTTTAGAAAATAATTGAATTCTTTTGAAAAATTTTATAACGAATTAAGAAAAAAATTGAATTCTTACGTGAAATTTTGTTGAAAATAATTAAATTTTCGCAAAGATTTTAGTATTTAAAAAAATAATTTAATTGTTTCAAAGGATTTATTAAAATTTTTGAAAATAATTTAATTTTTCGTGAAATTTAAAAAAAAAATTTTATAAAATTGAATTTTGGCAAAAATTTTTACTATTTATAAAAATAATTAAATTCTTGGGAAGAATTATATTTAAATTTTTGAAAATATAATTTAAAATAAAATAAAATTTTTCTATTAAGAAATGAAGCTGAAACTTTCACTGATTTAATTTTGATAATTAAATGTTAAAGTTGAATATTTTTTAAGAAGCTGTAACTTCATTTTTTAAAATTTGATTTTGATAGTAAAAATATATTTAACTGTAAAATTTAATTTCTAATTAAGTTGGTGCTGCCAACTAGGTGTCAATTTCAGCTTCATAATTAAAAATCGAAATTTAAAATAATTAAAATAAATTGAAAAAAATTTATAATTAAAATTTTTAATTTTTCAGAATCAATCAATTATCTTTTTTTCGAGTTTCCAGGCCTCGGATTCGACTTTTTCGACTATTTTCCAAAAAGGCGATTTTTCTTGACCTATTTTCGAAAACAGCGACTATTTCGACTTTTCTTTTACATATTGCAAAACTATAAACAAATCTTTTCTTCCAAAGTGTCTGAACAGTTTTTTACAAGTCTTTTTTAGCGCATAAAACAGAATTTTGTTAGAAAAAAAGTAAAGTTATTGTGAAATAAATTTTAAAAATAGTTTCTAATATTTCTCAAACATTATGTTTTGAGTTAGACTCTTTTTTGTATGAATTTCGAGAATAACAGAGTTGACAAGGAAAATTAAGTCTGAAAAATCAAAGAATTTTAACCAACGTGGTGAAAAATTTCCAAATTTCTAGAAATGATACAGAAATTCTAGTTTTTTGTGAACTTGGAAAATTTAAACTGTTCTTGAATTTTTCTTTTATGGTAATAAACACGAAGACTTACAGTTGCAATTTTTATGAAAAATTGAATTTTTGTATTTAAATAATTGAATTCTCGAAGAACTTATGGAAAATTATTTTAAAAAATTGATTTACGGAAGCATTTTAATTATAAATTATGGAAAATAATAGAAATTTTGGATGAGTTATAGTAGAAATTTTTAGGAACAATTAAATTTCAAAATTCTGATAAACTTAATAAAAAATAATTTATTTAGAGAAGAATTTTACTTAAAAATTTTATAGGATTGACACAATAATTTAATTTTGTTTTTTCGTGACTTTTCTCTGATTTTTTAAAATTTCAAGTTGAAACATTTTAAAATTTAATTATTTACAAAAATTGTAAACATAACTCTTAAGAAATTCAATTATTTTTTGAATTGTCAAGTAAAATTATCCATTAAATAATTTATAAAAATTATTATTTTCTAAATGTAATTAATTAAAAATATTGTCAAACAAAAATTGTAAATTGCAACAAATGTTATTGAAACAATAACATTTATTGAATTAATTTTATATTTTGGAGAATTTTATAACAATGTTTTTTAAAAATAATCTTTTTTCTGATGAAAAATTTGACAAAATTAAAATAAATTGTATTTTAAATGAATTTTCTTTTTTTTAAAAGTGAATTTTTAAATAACTTTCTGAATATTATGAAAAATAATTGATTTGGAAAAGTCTTTTGATTAAAAATAATAGAAAATAATAATTGAATATTGTGAGAATTATAATAGAGAATTTTAGAAATAATTAAATTTCAAAAGGAATCAAATTGAAATTTTTGAATAATTTTAATTAAAAATTCCCAGAAAATTTAATTTTTAATTAAAAATGTTGATATCAAATTTTTTTGAAAATAGTTACTTATTAGAAATATTTTTGAATTTTTCAAAATATTTCAATAAAAAAATTTCTGAATAATCAAAATTTCGTAAAATTAAATTGAAAACAATTAAAAATTTGACGTATTTAAGTGAACTGTTTTTTGAGTTATTAATTGAACAATTGAATTCTCAAAGAACTTTCTCAAAATTGTTAAAAATAATTGATTTAGAACAAAATTCGATGTAGAATCTCTAGAAAATAATTGAATTTTTGGAGAAGTTACAGTAGCAATTTTTAGAAGTAATTAAATTTTAAAATGTTGCAACATAAAATTTTTTAAATACTTGAATTGATGAAGAAATTTAGTTACATTTTAATAGTAATTGAAAGAAATTATTAGACTTTTGAATAATTTTAGTTAAAAATTCAGTAAAATAATTGAATTTTGGAAAAAATTAATATTTCTTAAGTTCAATTATAAAAATTTAACTATTTTCTAGAGTTTCTACCTCAAATTTTTTTCTAAATCAATTATTTTTAATAATTTTCTGCAAGTTCTTTGAGAATTCAATAGTTCAATTAATATTTCAAAAAAAAGTAAGGAAATTTAAAAAAAATTGAATTTGTAGAAAATAATTGAATATCGAAAGAATTATAAGTATGTAGACAATTTTCAAATTAATTCCAATTCAAATGTTTCAATTAAAAATTTTTTTTAAGATTTAAACTTTGAATCATTTTAATTAAATATTCTAAACTGAGTTCCTTGAAAAATTGTCAAATACTTGTAAATTTCGTCAATTGTGTTATTGAAATAAATTTAATATTTAGGAGAATTTTATTTCGATTTTTTAAGAATCATTATTTTTTTTGTTTCAGTAGAAAAAAGTGACAAAAATTTGAAATAATTGTATTTTAGAGAAACTTTGAATTGAATTTATTATCGAAATAAGGGAAAAAGTGAAGCTTTTCTAAAAATCGGGGAAAAGTCAGAAAAATACGTAATAAATTTTTTGTGACAACCCGGAAGAAAAGAAACGACTTTTTTTTGCCTTTTTTTCCTATTTTGAATCGATTATAACGACTGTTTTTAAACTCGATCCTTATTTTTCTTGTGATCTTTCTTCTAAAATTGATTGATTCAAAATTTTTCCAGGGCCAGAGAGCAAGATTCGAAAGCCGCCTGGGCTCGAGTCCGGAGCAACTTGGATCAGCGGCGGCAGCTCTAATGCACAAAGCCAATTGGCACGCGTTCACTCTCTTCATCGACACAACATTACTCCCCGTGCATCATCTTCTAAAAACACATCGAATGAATTTAACACCCAAAACGATAATTCATCTTCCAACCAACGACAAGACTTTAAGACTAAGACTTCGCCGACTGTCCGAAGAAGGTGGAAGTGGCGGCGTTCTCCTGATAGCGTGCGATCTTTACAATGCCCGAAGAATAATAAAAACCGCGGGCAAATATGAAATGCTCACGGGACGATTTTTATGGTTGTGGCTCGATCTAAAAGAAGAATTACGCTCGAACGAGCCAAATTTAATCGACTCACAATTAATACACGGCACATCACGAGTTGGTATCACAACAAATGATAATTTACCACCCCTAGAAACAATCGAACGTAATGTTAATCTCGTTCCCGATAACGAAATAAATTTAGATTTATTACCTAATTTAGCGAGTGACATACAACGTTTACATGAATATCGATGGGCAAGCGAAATGATTGTAAAACGAAAACGTCAAGATAAATTCATAAATTTTGATGTCGATAATAATAATAATAATAATAATTATAATAATAATAATAATAATAACGAAAATGACGAGCGCGACAAAACGTTTGATAAAAAATTAAATTCTAAAAATTTTATGCCAGTTGGAATGCTTGCCTTGACGCCTTCTAGTTTACATCTGACGAGTGGGGACGATACGAGAGGTTCCTTAAGACGCCTTATGAGTGGCGAAGATATATTGCCAAGTATGCTGCGTGCAACATCACAGGCACTAGAAGAATCTATCGCTCAACTCAAACCGAAATTCTCACGAGTTCATGATTCTCAATTAAAGGATTATTTTATACCCAAATGTCTAGCTCAAAATCAGGCGAAATTTATTTTCAACGAATTTCGCGAAAATATGTCCCGAATATTAACATCAAAATTAAGGGACTCAATGGAGGAAATATCTAGGAATAAAGCGGAATTTCAATTATTGAATCTACAAGGCGTTACCTTTGCCGGAAATAGAACACTCTTGAAGTAAGTTATTAATTCAATGATAACGGGTTAAGGACGAGAAAAATATTGTATACTAGCCAAAAAAACGTTTCTTCCATCTTAGCACTTTTCAATTTTCGTTTAATATATTAATCATATTAAGAAAGATCGTTCGCAATTAGGAATTAATTTTTAGAAATGATAAATTTAAAAATATTTTAATTAAAAAATAAAAAGATAAAAATCTTTTAAAAAATTTCAAAAAACAAAGCAAAATAAAATGGATAAAATTGTCAATAATACCAAAAATTGAAGAACAATATTTAAATTCATAATTAAAAAAATTAAAGTAAATATTAACATTTATAATTAAAAAAATTAATGTAAATTTTTAAAATTCATAATTAAAAGAATTAAAGTACACATTTAAATAATAAATTAATAAAATTACTAAGCAAATATTTTCAATTATTCAAGGAAAAAAAAGAAAGTTCACCTAAAATAACACTAAAATCTACTTGTTTACAATTTTATTCTACAAAATTTGAAATAATTTCCAAAAAAAAAATTGAATATAAAAATTCCCCAAAAGATTATTTTCTTCGAAATTTTTCATCATAATTATTTAAAATTTTAATTTGGGAAAATTTAAAATTCAATTATTTATGAAAGTTGTAAACAAATCTCTTATATCTAAACTTCAATTATTTAAAAAATATTTAACTAAAATGCTTCTTTAAATCAACTTTATTTTTAATAATATTTGAAAAGTTCTTTAAGAGTTAAATTATTATTTAATAAAAAAAAAAAATCCACCTAAAATAATTCTGAAATCAATTTGCTTATCAAATTCAATTTTATTATAAACAATTATTCGAAAATTTTTCAATTAAATATATTCAAAAATTCATCTATAATTTCAAAACAATTTGAATAAAAATTTTTTGAAAAAGTAACTTCTTCAGAATTTTTTAATTAAAATTACTTAAAATTTAAATTTTTCTGAAAATTCAAATTGAATCTGCTGAAAACTTTAATTTTGAGTAATTTAAATTAAAAATTGAGAAAACCTTGTATTTTTAAAAATTTTGATTTACATTGTTTAGAAATTAATTCAATTTTCAAATTGAAAAAAAGTTGATTTAAATGAAAATATTTAGAATTATCGAAATATCGTGAAATTCAATTGAAAATTATTTAATTTTAGACGTATGTATTTTAAATACAATTTTTTTTAATTATCGAATTCTTAAAAAACTTTCACAAAATTACTAAATTTAATTTAGTAACTCTGAAAAGTTAGGCTCCAGAAAAATTTTAATTTAAATTGAATTGAAAAATTTCTCTGAATTTTTTTTTAATATAATCGACAATTTTATTACTGAATTTTTATAAAATTTAAAAAAAATTGAATTCTTCCGAAAAATTTCATTATTTATAGAAATAATAATTGAATTCTTGCGAAGAATTTTACATTTTATAAAAATAATTGAATTTTATACAAATTTTAGAAAATAATTGAATTCTTTCGAAGAATTTTTATTTTCTATGAAAATAATTGAATACTTCCAAAGAATTTTATTATTCCTAAAAAAAAATAAAATTCTTTTAAAGAATTTTATTAAAATTTTAGAAAAAAATTGAATTCTTTTGAAAATTTTTTTAAAATAATTAAATTCTTCCGAAGTAATTATTAAAATTTTGTCAAATAATTGAATTCTTCCGAAGAATTTTACTGAGTATAAAAATAATTGAATTAATTTGAAGAATTTTATTAGAATTTTAGAAAAAAAATAGAATTCTTTTGAAAAATTTTACTAAAATTTATTAAGAATAATGAAATTCTTCCGAAGTATTTCATTAAAATATTTTTAAATAATTGAATTCTTTTGAAGAATTTTACTTTTTATAAAAATAATTGAATTCTTCCGAAGAATTTCATTATTTCTGGAAGTAATAAATTGAATTCTTCTGAAGAATTTAATTATTTCTGGAAGTAATTAAATTCTTCCGAAGAATTTTACTTCTTATAAAAATAATTAAATTGTTTCGAAGAATTTTATTAAAATTTAAGAAAATAATTGAATTCTTTTGAAAATTTTTTTAAAACAATTAAATTATTCGGAAGTGTTTCATTAAAATTTTTTTAAATAATAGAATTCTTTCGAAGAATTTTACTTTTTATAAAAATAATTGAATTCTTCCGAAGAATTTCATTAAAATTTAAAGAAGAATCGGATTCTTCGGAAGATTTTTATTATTTATAAATGTAATTGAAGTCTTGAGAAGAATTTCACTAATTATAAAAATAATTGAATTGTTTTGAAGAATTTTATTAAAATTTTAGAAAATTATTGAATTTTTTTGAAGAATTTTAATATTTATGAAAATAATTGAATTCTTCTGAAGAATTTTATTATTTTTGAAAATAGTGATATTCTTTTGAAAAAATTTTTAAAATAATTGAATTCTTCCAAAGAATTTTATTAAAATTTTAAGAAGAATCGGATTCTTCGAAAGATTTTTATTATTTATAATTGTAATTGAATTCCTGAGAAGAATTTCACTAATTATAAAAATAATTGAATTGTTTTAAAGAATTTCATTAAAATTTTAGAAAATAATTGAATTTTTTTGAAGAATTTTATTATTTATGAAAATAATAATTGTATTCTTCCCAAGAATTTTATTATTTCTGAAAAAATAATTAAAGTTTGAATCTGAAATTACTGAAAATTTCAATTTTCCAGTAATTTCAGATTCAAAAGATAAAAAATGAATTTTCAGTTAATATTTGAAAATAAAAATTTTTGTAATTTTCATAAAAAAAAGTTTAATACCGCGTTTTGCGCTTAAAATTTGTAATAATAAGAATGTGAAAAAGAATGTTTTCTCTTTTCAGATGGACCAAAGTGGGAAACATCAAGGGCGGAAAGAGTGTGCGTCTTGATACGATTATTTGGCCAGGTGGTGGAATTGTGCCCGCTTATCTTGAGCAAGGTGGTGAAAAAATTGGAATGCCCTTGTATCGAATAGTAACTGCACTCGCACCACCATTCACGATGGCAACAAATTTACAAGAAGGCCAGTGCCTGAGAGGTGTGACTTGTCATCAGGGCGAAATAATAAAATGCTGCTATGGATTCACCATCGATCTATTGGCGCAAATGTCCAAAGAATTGGAATTTCGTTTCAATCTCTATATTGTAAAGGATGGATATTTTGGAAGAAAACTTGGACGCGATGGTACATGGAATGGCGTGATCGGCGAGCTTGTTACGGGTCATGCTCAATTAGCTTTTGCCCCATTGAGCGTTTCTAAGCGACGTGCCGAGGTGGTCGATTTTACAACTCCGTATTTTTACAGCGGAGTCAGTTTTTTATCCGCGCCGAAACATCGTTCGGAAATTCCACTACTTGCCTTTCTACAGCCGTTTAGTCCGCAACTATGGATAGCCGTATTTACCTCGTTACATATTACAGCCTTCAGCGTTGGAATCTTCGAATGGTACAGTCCCTTTGGATTAAATCCATGGGGGCGAAATAGAAGTAAGAACTTCTCTATTTCCTCTGCCCTGTGGGTGATGTGGGGCCTCCTTTGCGGTCATCTTGTGGCATTTAAAGCTCCGAAATCATGGCCTAATAAATTCTTGATCAACGTCTGGGGTGGATTCTCGGTTATATTCGTCGCCTCCTATACTGCCAACATTGCGGCTTTGATCGCTGGACTCTTTTTTCATTCCTCCGTCACGACGCATCGAAGCGTAAGTCCTGCAATTTTACATTTTTATTAATAATCAGAAAATTGCAATATTGCAATATTTTTTATTTCATTTGAAAAATGAATGATGCTAAAGTCCGCAACGTAACGAAAATGAAAAACTAATGCTACAACTTTATTTGGATTTCAAATTTATAATTTTTTGCAGTTATCCTTAAAGGAACAATTTCTTAAAACTTTACGAACATGAAAATTAGAGATGGATTTAACTTAAAAAAAATATTTTTTTGTTTTTAAAGACCTTGCGGACTTCAGCCTCATATTGAAACCGAATTAATAGTTGTTGTCAATAGTCAATAATATTGTTATCAATAGTATTATGAAAAAGTGTCAATTTCAAATTTATGTGATTTAAAAACAGGAAATTAACTTGTTCATAAAATTCCGACTTTTATATATTTTCCATCACCGTATAAAATCTGAAGAAATTGAAAAGTTTATGACCCGTGAATTTTTGGATTTAAATTCAAATCTTTTATCGATCATGATGAATTCATGAAAATGTAAGCAAATTTTTATGTGGTTGTGGCGATTCTCGCAATTAAAATCTTTACAAAAATATTCTAGACAGAAAACTCTCATAACACATCTAAGCAGGTGAATAGGTGATATTAATTGAGATCAAAGAACCGATAATAATATTTTAAGACTCTTTCTCAATTTTTATAAATAGAAAAAGAATTTAGAATTTTACTTTTCTGTAAGCATTTTTTCCTGATTTTGAGACCTGATTTTTATTCGAAACATTAGTAATTTTTTCCATAAATAAATCATTTATCCTTATTGTTATTATTTTTCCACAGAAATTAAGATTTTTAACAAATTTATAATTTTTAAACCTTCAAAAGTTCAATTATGTATAAAAACTGTAAACTGTTTTAAAAAATATACAATAATTTTTTTTTTTATTTTTAAGGAAAATTATTCGCCAAATAATTTATAAATAATTATTTTTATTAAAGTTTGTTCAAGAATTCAATTATATGAAGTAAATTCAATTTTATATTTTGTAAAATATTTAATTATCGACAAAAATTAAAAAATAAAATTCAATTATTTTTTGAAGTTTCAAGTAAAAATTGTTCCCTAAATAGTTTATAAATAATAAGTTTACGAATTCAAAAATTAAATTATTTAAAATATATTCAGTTTTACAAGAAACTTTATAAACTTTAAATTTTTTTCTATTTCTGTCAATAAATGAATTTTACAGAATAAAAAATTGTATTATTTTGTAAAAAATGTATTCTTGAAAATCTTTTCATAAAATTTTCATAAAAATTATTGTTTATAAATCACTTAGCAAATAATTTTACTTAAATATAAAAAAATAATTGAATTTCATTTCATTTTCTCTTATTTATTATTGTATTTTTTACAAAATAAATTTTTTAAACTTCAATTATCGTCAAAAATAAACAAATCCGATAAAATTTAATTATTTTTTGAAAATTTATTTTGTAAAGTTCAATTATCGTCGGAAATAAAAAAATAAAATAAAATTCAATTATTTTTTGAACTTTCAAGTAAAATTGTTTGTTAAATAATTTATAAACAATAATTTTACGAATTCAATTTAACAAGAAACTTCACAAACCTTAAATTTTTTTTCTATCTATGCAAATATTCATTGAATTTTTCAGAATAAAAAAGTATTGCGTTTTTTTGTAAAAATTTAATTCTTGAGAAATTCTCATAAAAATAATTATTTATAAATAGTTTAGTAAATAATTTTACTTGAATATTCAAAAAATAATTGAATTTCATTTCATTTCCTGTTATTTATTATTGTATTTTTTACAAAATAAATTTCTTAAACTTCAATTATCGTCAAAAATAAAAAAAATCCAATAAAATTCAATTATTTTTTGAAAATTTATTTTGTAAAGTTCAATTATCGTCAGAAATCAAAAAATAAAATAAAATTCAATTATTTTTTAAACTTTCAAGTAAAATTGTGCGTTAAATAATTTATAAACAATAATTTTACGAATTTAAGAATGAAATTATTTTAAATATATTCAATTTAACAATTTCTATTTATGCAAATATTTTTGAATTTTGCAGAATAAAAAAGTATTTTTTTTTGTAAAAATTTAATTCTTGAAAAATTCTCATAAAAATGATTATTTATAAATATAGTTTAGCAAATAATTTTACTTGAAAATTCAAAAAATTAATAAAAAATCTAATAAAATTCAATTGTTTTTTGAAAATTAATTTTGTCAAGTTCAATTTTCGGTTGAAATAAATAAAAAATAAATAAAAATCAATTATTTTTTGAATTTTTAAGTAAAATTATTCGCTAAATAAGTTATAAACAATAATTTTACGAATTCAAGAATTAAATTTTTTAAAATAAATTTTATTTTAAACTCAGCTGCAAAGTTCAATTATTGTTAGAAATTAAATTCTTTTTCATCACAACTTTAAATTATACACCAACAAATTCTACGTAAAAAAATACACCTTATGAAGAAGAATTTAATTGTGTCAAATTTATTGACTTTAGAGAAAATAATAAAATTACTAAAATATATTATTTCTGTAGAGTTTAATTTAACGGCATAAAGTTAATGATTAAATTAAAGTATCGAAAATTATATTTTCTTTTGTGTCGAATTTTGTATTGTGAATTAATATTTAATTAATATGTACCTAATAAATTAAATTAATATTTAATTAATATTTAATAAATTAAATTAATATTTAATTAATATTTAAGAAATTAAATTAATATTAAATTAATATTCAATATTTTTTTTATGTAAAATTCATTTGTGCAGAATAAATATCATCTGCGTAAATATGATTCGAGTTTTTTCGTGTAGAAATTTTTTTGAATAGAATTTTTTTTCAAGTTTAATTGCGTAGAATCACTACCACCCTATATTTGTAAAGAAATCGCTGAAAAAGAATTGATAAAAATTACATTAGCCAATATTGAATATGAAAAGTACTATGACTCGTGAATTTTGGAATTAAATTACAACCTTTTATCGATAAATGAATTGTAAGTAATTTTTTCTAAAGAAAGGGGGAAAAAAAGAATTTATAAAAATTATATTATCGAAAGTGACTCGTGATTTTTGGAATTATAAATTAAAATATTCTATCGATTAATAAATTCTTTCTAATAAAATAAATTCAAATTGTACTGAATAAGATAAAATACGAAAGGTCTCGTCCCGTTAATAAATAAATTAATAAAATATAATAAAAATTGGAAGTGAATTTATATATGAAGAAAATTGAGAAAACTGGTAAAAATGAAACTAGCGGAAAATTAATAATTAATAATTATAAATAAATTATAATTTATAATTAATAAAAAGGAACAAAGTATAAAAAATAAAATTTAGAAAAAGAAAAATATATTAGAAAATCAAAATATAAAATAAAATTATAAAAAAGAATAAAATGTAAAAAAAGAAAAATGTATAAAAATGAAAAAAATATTAAAAAGAACAAAGTATAAAAAAAATCAAAAAAAAAAAAAATAATACAGAAGAAAATAAAAAATATAAAGAGTATACCAATTATAATCCTGAAAATTGTGTATGTATTTTGTGTGACAGTTATTATCGCAACGTGTTGGAGTCCCAAAAGCATCAGCTGCCGAGTATTATGTGCAACAATATCATAAAGAATTGTGGTCGCATATTATTAAATACTCGTTGTCTGACGTTGCCGAAGGAGTTGAGAGACTTCGAAATGGAAGTCTTGACATTCTTATAGCTGATACTCCAATATTGGATTATTATCGAGGCACTGACAATGGTTGTAGCTTGCAAAAAAATGGCGATACCATCATGAACGCAGACACATATGCCATTGCCTTGTCTAAAGGACATCCTCTCACTGAAACCATTTCCAAAGTAATAGCCAATTACACCAGCAACGGATTCTTGGATATCTTGCAGGAAAAATGGTATCATCATCATCTCTATAGTTTACAACCTAAAACGAAAAATAACATTTACAAACAAATATATAGATAAATCTAAAAAAAAATATTTTTATTTCCAATTCCTCTTTTTTTTCTTCAATTTTCTTTCAAAAAAGAAAATTCTTTTTTCATCTAAAAAGAGGAATTGGAAATATTCCTTCAGGGAAAAAGATGAATCTTATCAACTAATAAAAAATTGTATTATTTGGTTTATATTTTTTTTTTTTTTGAGAGAGAGAGAGAGAGAGAGAGAGAGAGAGAGAGAGAGAGAGAGAGAGAGAGAGAGAGAGAGACAGAGAGAGAGAGAGAAAGATAAATGTTCTAGGAGATAAAAAAATACTCTTGAACCAGAGAGGGTGAAATTAATTGTTCAATTTAAATTCAGGTACGGCGGTTTACCCTGCATGCGAGATGGTGGACTTGGAATCGATCGCGAGCAGGGAGGACAACCACGACCGCTTGGCGTTGAATCAGTGGCCGGGGTATTTTGTCTACTTGGTCTGGGAATGCTTTTAGGGACAATTATCCTCGCCGCTGAGCATTTATTCTACAAATATACATTGCCACGATTACGTCATCGGCCAAAAACATCAATGTGGCGCAATCGAAATGTCATGTTTTTCTCTCAAAAACTCTATCGATTCATTAATTGTGTTGAATTGGTGTCACCGCATCATGCAGCTAGAGAATTGGTTCACACTGTTCGTCAGGGACAAATTACATCTCTATTTCAAAAGAGCGTGAAACGGGTAAGTTGAAATTCACTAGTTTAATTTGCAAATTTATTGTCATTTTTGACAAATACAGTTTGTTCACGAATAAATTTCACGTCATGAAATATTGTCGTTTTGCTTATCCGAGGACATTCTGCACAATGATTTCAAACCATATCTTAAGATGCCTGTGTTCCAGAAGGAATACGAACAGCGTCGCCGTCGCAAAAGTAAAGCGCAATTTTTTGAAATGATACAGGAAATCCGAAGGTACTGAAAGATTATATAATAATATAACGTCAGGCCTCGGATTTTGACTTGGAAACACCAAAAATAGTCGTTTTAGTCGATTCGAAATTCGCAAAAAATATAAAAAGTCGTTTATTTTATTCTGTATTGTAACTAAAATTTCACTTTTTCCTCTTTTCTAGAAAAGCTTTCAACTTTTTTCAATATTCAATTATTTTCTAGAATTTGAAACCCTAATTCTTTTCTAAATCAATAAATTTTTAATCATTATCAGAACGTTCCTTGAGAATTGAGAATTATTCAAAATAGGAAAATAATTACCATTCTGTCAAATTGAGGGTTCACGTGCAATAAGGGGACGCGCAGGCTATTCGTTGTCCTCTCGCGCAGCCGCGCAGAATCGCTATACGCGGGGACTTTCACTTCCATGCGTATCCCCTTATTGCACGTGAACCCTCAATTTTTCTTCAGAAAGACGATTATTTTTAAAAATAAAATCTCCAGAAATTTCTATTTCAAACTTTCTGAAATTTTATTACTTCTAAAAAATACAACTATTTTTTCAAAAATTTAATTATTTTCTTAAAATTTCTAACTAAATTATTTAAGTTTAATAATTTTTGTTTAGTTTAACTTAAATGTAATTAAACTTTTTCAACAACTGAAATTTTCTAAAAAAATTATGAGTCGAAACCTTCTGAAATTTAATTATTTTCAATAACTGCTACGGTAACATTTTCAAAATTGAATAATTTTTTAGAATTTTTAATAAAATTGTTCTCTAAATCAATTATATCTTAATAATTTTGTAAAAGTTCTGTAAGAATTTATGAATTCAATTCTTCAATAAAAAGAAAGTTCACTAAAACTAAAAATCAAAAGATCCAATTCTTTTCAATTTAATTTTACAAAATTCTCTGATTGTTCGAAAAATTTTCATTTGAATTTATGTTGAAAAATTGAAAAAGATGATTAATAAACTATCCAATGATACGCGCGTCAGCGCGCAGAACTCAGTATTCCATTTCTTATTATTTTGTATATTAAAAAATGTTACATTTTCAAAAATTCATATAAAATCCTTCGAAACAATTCAATTATTTTTATGAAATGTAAAATTCTCCGCAAGAATATTTAATTATTTTCATAAATAAGAAAATTCTTCGCAAGACTTAAAATATTTTAATAAATAATAAAATTCTACAAAGAAATTCAATTATTTTCTTAAATAATAAAATGTTTCGAAGGAATTCAATTATTTTCAATACAATTTTAATAAAATTTCGAGAAAGAATACAATTATGTATTTTTAAAAATATAGTATTTGAATTCAATTATTTTCAAGAGTTTTAATAAAAATCCAATTATTTTCAACAATTTTGATAAAAAAATTCTTCGAATCTTTCAATTTTATTTATAAATTGTAAAATTCTTGGCAAGAATTCAATTATTTTCATAAATAGTAAAATATTACTGAAAAATTTAATTATTTTCAATACAATTTTAATAAAATTTCTAGGAAAAAATTCAATTATATTCAAGATAATTTTAATAAAATTTCTTTAACAGGTTCAATTATTTTTCAAAATTGTAATAAAATTTTTCTAAACAATTCAATTGTTCTCAAAAGTTTTTAGGTAATAAAATTCTTTGTAAATTTTCAATTATTTTCAAAATTTTTAATTAAAATTACTTTGAACAATTACATTATTTTTACAAAACTTAATGAAATTCTTCAGAAAAAAAAATTATTTTCTTGAATTTCTAGAATCTAAATTAATTATTTCTAATAATTTTTGGGAAGCTCTTTGAGAATTGAATTAATCAAAAATTCAATTATATTTAAATAAAATTGTAATTAAAATAATTGTTCAAAAACCTAATTTTTTAAGAATTTTTTATTTCAATTCCTAAACTTTCATAATCTTCTTTTTTCTTGAACAATTGAATTCTTAAAAAATTTTCACAAAATTATTAATAAAGAGTAATTGATTAAGAGAAGAATTTCAGTTAAAAATTCTAGAAAATGATTGAATTTAATACAAATGACAGTATGTAGTAATTTTTAGTAATAATGAAATTTCAAATTGACATTTTTGAAAAATTTAAATTAAAAATTCTAAACAACTAAATTCTTTCAAAAAGTTTTATTCAAGGTTTTTTAAAATTGATTGTTTATTAGTAAATTTTTAGAATCTTTAAAAACATATTCAGTTGAAAAATTTTCGAATAATCAAAATTTCGTAAAATTAAATTAAAAACAATTGAATTTTAGTTTGAAGTGAATTTTATTTCCTCTTTTTTTTGAATAATTGAATTCCTAAAGAACTTTCACAAAATTATTAAAAAATAATTAATTTAGAGAAGAATTTTAGTTGAAAATTCTAGAAAATAATTGAATTCTGGAGAACTTACAGTAGCAATGTTTTTAGTAAGTAATAATTAAATTCAGAAAGTTAGAAATTTACATTTTTTTAAATTTTAAGTGAATATGTATTTGAAACATCAACTAATTTCAAAAAAATTTTAATTAATAATTATTCAAAAACTAAATTGTTCAGAAAATTGAATTCTAATTGTTTCTAAAACTTTCTGCTACAATTCATTAAAAATTCATATTATTTTTCATAATTTTCAATTAAAATTCTTCTATAAATCAATTATTTTTAATAATTTTCCGAAATTTCCCTCGAGAATTCAATTATTAAAAATTTAAAACACAAAAATTCAATTGTAACTGTAACTCTTAATTTTTACGTTTTTAAAGTGTAAAAGAAAATTCATGGATAGTTTAAAGTTTCAAAAATTTTCAAATTTCGCAAAAAACCAGAATTTTTGTATCAGTTATAGAAATTTTAGTATTTTTTCACTACTTTAGTTAAAATTCCCTGCTTTCGCTAACCTAAGGCAACTCTATTGTGGAAATTCATAAATTCGTTGCTATTTGTAAGAAGAGTCAAAATAGTTAAATTTTTCGAAAATAAATTGAAAAATTCACTTTTTTTTTTGAAATAGTCGAAAGAAGTCGAAGAAGATCCGAGGCCTGTAACGTAAATAAAATTAGTGTTAAATAAAAGAGTGAAAATAGTTAAAAGCAAAAGTTAAATGTAAAAGTAAAAATAGTAAAAGCAAAAGTAAAAAGTAAAAATTAGAGAGAAAATAAGAGAAAAAACTTTATTTCCCAGAGTGCAACAGGAAGAGAAGGTGGATGCGGCGCCAAAGGAGGAAATGCAACGAGCAGCAAAAAAGGAGGAAAAACAGGGACGTGATCGCAGTCGTAGTAAGAGTCCATTAATGTTAAGAAGTCCAAAGAGATCGGAAAAATGTACGAGTTCAACAAATTTATCGAGTTCAAGACTGGGTTTATCTCCCATCAGTTTAGATACAATGAAACCACGAGAATTCACTCTAAGCAGCACAAATCTCAGAGCGAGAAGTCCACTGGAAACAGTGGGTCGTAGATTAAGCCACGGCGAAGGCGATTCACCGCCTCCCTATCCAGGTTCAAATTTCGGTGGCAGTGCAAATTTACGTCCAATCGCACCACCACGTGGTGAATCACTATCAGGCGCCAGTACACAGCCACCAAAATATTCCCGAAGTCCCGCAAAAAGAGGTCAATCGTTCCCCGCTTTTGCCACTCTACGCACACCACAATCCACTCATCATCAGCCATCATCGTGCAAGAGTCCATTACTCTCGCCAAACAGTGAATTAACATCAATTATAGGTCGCAAATTATCCCGAGAATGGGGTTCCGGTATTCTCGACATAACAAGATCCTCCGAGGCAATTGGCTCCTGTTCCACCTTCACTCTAAATCATGAAACAAATCTCATTCCCGGCGAGAGTTCACGTCGCAAAAAAAGCCAAGAGGACATTCTCTCATTGAAAAAGCCCATTCGTCGAGCGAGAAGTCACGAGAATAAGGACACGGGCAAATCATTGAGTGACCTACAGTCGCCAAGATTAAATGCCCAACCAGTTGTGGGCGGTAAATTGGTGAATGAAAGAACGAAAAAACAATTGGAATCGGAATTGAAGGCAATATTAACAGCGCGAGCTCATCATCGCGAATTACTCGATCCCCCTTGATGGACGATCGATATCCCGTAAAAAAGAAGAGTTCTTATTAGGAAAAGCCAGCCAGCTTTTTAAAATATAAAGATCGTCGCCTCTGAGGGGCTTTGATTGACATTAAGCAATATCAATGATTTATAGGTCAATTTATAGAAGAAACTGAAAAACAAAAAAAATTTTTTAAACATGCACTTTCAGAGGACTGAATCAATGCATCTAGTATTTCATAAAAACAAGAAGAATGGAGTTAAAAAATAAGAGAACAAACTCTTCGTGGTTTGTTCCCATTGTTATGTACATTAATAAAAAAAAAAGAAATAAGCTATAGAAGAAAAAAATAATTCTATCAATTTTTTGGTAGACGTGTCTTAAAAAACAAAAAAAAAAGGGAGAAAAAAAATAGCACCTGTGAAAATATTTTAAAATATTTTCTTGTTGGCATTTTAACTCTACATTAAACCGTCGGCCCGGGTGAGTCTCTCGTAATTATTTTACTTCTTTTTCTGTCGACCGTAATTAAAAAACGGCAAATAGAATATAAGTACATATGCGTAAAATACAAAAACGCTGCCAAATTTTTATTAAAATTTTCTTACATAAATTCTAAATTTGCGATTCACGTCATTAGTCGTAGTTTTGTAGATTTTAACGAACGAGTGATCTCGTTTTTTTTGCAGAACTGTACAAGTCTATTTAAACGAATATTCATCCCTCGAAATGAAACTTGACCTCAGAAGAAGAAAACTGGAGAAAAACTTGACTTGACCAGTACTGACAATAAATATTTCTGATTTTTATTTTAGTTTCCACACACGGAAGAATGTATAAAAAAGAAATTCTATTTGCAAAAAGAGAGGCTCACTTTCGTAGGTCCATCGGCGTAGAAAGACCACTATTGTAAATCTCTTAAAATTGCGCGTCATTTTCGTCACGATTGTTGGGATTCAATTTTTCAAGAAAAAGGATTAGTATAATTAAAAAAAATTTCGCCAGTAATGCTGAGACTGATATATAGAGATGTAGAGAAACTGAAGAAATTGAAGAAATTAAAGAATTTGCGAAATTTGTGAAATTTAGAAAATTTAGAAAATTTACAGGAATTGTTTACCAACAATCAAAATGAGGAATTGAAAAGTAAACGATTGTTTTTTGCTTTCGAATATAGCAAGCAAAAAATTGTTCTTTGCACCCTTGGAATCCTTTCGATCGAGTGAAACTGACAAAAAATTTTCATTTTACGATTATAAGCTGTTAGAAGAATGTATGGGACTAAATTACACTTATTAATTTTAAATGATTCATGAGCGAGGCCTTAGATGTAGCCGGTATCCGCCCAATACTTTGATAGTTGAATTATGTATAAGTACCTATCCTACTCTATTGGAAGATTTCTCTATACATTATAAATTATATTAAGTAGTTATAGAAATTGTTTCATAGTTTAATACAGTTGACTGTTGAGAAAAAAAATCTAATATTGCGATTGGTGAAAATTTTAGGTAGATCCTCTTCAATGTGGTATTGTCAATTTAATTTTAAAAATCAAAACAACTAGAATATTCAGTCGTGGGTAATATTTTTATAGCATTTTTTGTTTTTCAATTTCCCCCTCGCTTTTTTCATTTTCCCTAAATTAACAATTCAACAAAATATTAACAAACAAAAAATTGAGTTAGTAATAAATAATTGAATTAGTTTTCTAATTTGAATTTTTTTTTACTTTTATCCTTTTCGAAATATTAACAACAATTTCAAAATACTCACCCATGACTGTAAATTTTCGAAAATCGGGTATATTTGTCGGAATGTGTTGATTTCGAGAAAAATTCCGGAGTCATCACTATTCCTAAATTGTATTAGCGAAAATATAAAAAGCGTTATATCCTACGTCCAGATTGCACTTTAGAAAAAACATGACTGACATCTTTGAAAGTCCTAAAGCGATTGCACTCGCAAACTTCTCCTCTCACTCTCTTTCTCCTTTTTCCGATTATTATCAGTAATTGTAACGCAAAAAAGTTTCCAAAAAAAATGCGGACACCTTATCTGCAAATTAACATAAAAAATATAGACTATTGTCAATAATTGTGAGCTCGTCTGACGAAAAATTAGATTCAAACTACGGGGTATGATCATGGTGAAAATTTTCGGTTACAACAAAAAAGAAAAGATTTTTTTCAACTATTATAAAAATTAAAATTAATGTACAAATTTTGAAATTTTGAAAGTGGCGAATCTGGTCGACTTTATAAAAATTGGGATAATTACTTTGATCATTCCCCGAGAAATGTTCTCGGCAATTTTTTGGAGAAATTGCAAGAGAGAAAATATAAATAAACGTTTAAAAGTAAATTCTAGTAGAAAAAGAAAATAGATCTAATTAATGAGTGATCAAAAATTACAAGGGGGCCACAAAGAGTCGCCCGAGCCTAAAGAAATCAAAGATACTAGATTAATTTTTTAATTTCACGTCTAAATCTTGGTCAGGCGGGATCTATCTGTGATTTAGTTAAGTTGCTATGTATTTTTAGAACATTTGGTTTGTAATTATTATTCCAAAAAACAAGAGAAAATTTACCGAAGAATCTGCAGAGAACACGTGAAAATCCCCTGTACATAAAAGCATATTATATTATAAAAAAAATGGAGACTGCCTGAATCAGAGGTTGATCTCACAACACACCGTCTCTGTGCGCCAACAAGAGCATCTTCCCTTTTTTTTCTCCTCTCCACCTGAAAAAAAATAGATAATCGTTAATATTACTAAAAAAAAACTATCGTAGTGCCTGTTAGGCCTTGAGAAATGGCGGCCTAGTCTTTCATTTCTTTCTGTATATACTATTAAATATCAAAATACAATTATAATTTCGAGAGTTACAAAAAATATCCAATTGTCGAAAACTGAAATCGTTCACTTGGATAATTTTTGCCAAAAAAAAAAAAATTGTTGTCTGATAACTTTTTCTAAAAAAAATCTTTAACCGCCATTAACTCTCGCCAAAAAAAAAAGAAAAGGACGAAAAATCTCGGATTTCTCGCCGCTATGTATACAAGCAAAATAAGTACGAGAAAAAAAACATGATGCACAAAGCAAGCTGTCCATAACGTACTTAATAATTATTTCTTTAAAAAAAACAATGTCATGAATAAAATTCATTTCTCACTAGCCTTAAGCTTTGAATCGATAAATTCATTTATAAGAACAACGATTGCGATTCAATTTATCCGGAGTCAAAAGAAAAAAAAAAAACTCGCAAACTGTATATGTTCATCGAAGAGAATATTATTCTAAGCACTGCCGTAATTTGTCAACTATTCTCAATCGTGAAATCATTAGTTTCAAAACAAAAAAAAATCATTCACCGAAAAAAAACATCACTGCGAAAAAAATCTTTTTAAAAAACGAAATCTCTTTTCATTGAAATTTTAGACATCTAATTGTGTATAACTTTTTGTGAAAGTCAAAATTTCACAAAAAAGAAAATAAATACCGTTTCTGTGACGTACAGTATTAACAATCGTAAATACCTCTTTTATTTATAGCCAATAGAGCATTAACATAAATATGACGTTATAAAATTGAAAAAGATATTTTTAGTCTGATATTTAAAGAGAAACAATCTTTTAAATTAGTAAAGTAAACTTTTAATTAGGGGTCAATAAAAGTAATCGTGTCGCATTTTTGTCGAAAAATAATATTAATTACGTGAAAAAAAAGAAGAACAAAAATGTGATGCTCGAATTAAAGGAGGATCAAAGTGACAAATTTTTAAACGTATAATGAAAGAAAAATATAGTTAATTAGTAAAAGAAGATTGTGAATATATGATTGAAATTCAAAAGAAATTGGATCAAAAAAAGTAAATGAAAATCTTATAAAAAAAAAAAAAATATATTGTAGAGCCTTAATGACAATTTTCATCAAGGATCGAAAGTTTTGAAGATCATTATAATAATATGCTGTGGTGACTTGTTGGCGTGCGAATTCTCAAATACGCGCCTACTAACTATACTGTTATTGTTGATGAAAACTCCACATTATAAGAAAATAAATATATTGTCTCAATATAAAATTGTTTTGTCACCTTCTTTACACCCAGGAATTTTTTGTTTCAGTGTAAAATTGTTCGATAATTTTTTTTACATCCAGAAAATTTCAGTTTTGGTATAAAATTGTTTCGTCTCCTTCTTTACATCCAGGAAATTTATATTTCGGTGAAAAATTGTTCTCTCTTCTTGACACCCAGGAAATTTCAATCTGCAATAAAAAGAAGAGGAAAAAATAAATAAGAGAAAGAAGAGTAGAAATCGTTTCGCTAAAAAGTAAAATTAATCTCCATTTTTTTACTATTCGTAATTAATCTTTTAGTCATTTGTTTAAAATCGTGGAAATCGGAATTTTTCGTATTAATTTTTTCTTTTGTATAATCAGACCTTGAATCGACTATAAGCCGCGAAAAAATTGTTTTACTCGATTTAAAGTATGAAAAAAGTCGAAAATGTCGCTTCTTTTATTTTGTGATTGGCAGAAAAGTTTCATTACGTATTTCCCTGATTTCCAGAAAAGCTTTGAAATTTTTACCTTCCGATAATAATTTCAATTCTAAGTTTTTCTAAAATATAATTAATTCAAGGAATTTTTTCCAATTTTTCCAGAATTTTTTACTAAAATTATTCATATTAATATTTTGTTTTTTAATTACAGTAAAAATACAATTAAAGTTCTTTATCAATTGAAATTTTCAAAAATTTTCAAGTAGTAACTTTTTGAAATTTAAATATTTATAAAAATTGTTACTGCAAATTCTTTGAAGTTGAATTATTTTCTAGAATTTTTAACTTAAAATTCTTCTTTAAATCAATTATTTTTAATAATTTGTAAAAGTTCTTTAAGAATTTAATTATTCAAAAAAAGAAGAAATAAAGTTAAAAAATTAAAACCACTCTTACTTTAAAAAATTACTATAAGAAATAAAGTTCACTTTAAACTAAAATTCAATTGTTTTTAATTTAATTTGACGAAATTTTGATGATTCGAAAATTTGCCAACAGAATATGTTTTTAAAGTCTAAAAATTTACTAATAAATAATCAATTTTAGAAAACTTTAAATTATTGTTTTCAATTTAATTTTACGAAATTTTGATGATTCGAAAATTTGTCAATAGAATATGTTTTTAAAAAGTCTAAAAATTTACTAATAAATAATCAATTTTTAAAAACCTTAAATAGAAATTTCTAAAAGAATTAAGTTGCTTAGAATTTTTAATAAAAATGATTAAAAATTAAAAATTCTTTAAAAAATGTCAATTTCAAAAATCTGAAACTTTTGGAATTTAATTATTTCTAAAAATTTCTACAAACAATTCTTCTATGATATTTAATTAATTTCTAAAAATTTTTACTCAAATTATTTTCTGAAACAATTATTTTTAATTTTCAAAAAGTTCTTTGAGAATTGAATTATTCAAAAAAGAAAAAAAGGTAGTTAACTTAGAATACAATAATATTGTTTTTCATTTAATTTTACAAAATTCAGATACATAATTTGAAAATTTTTCAATTAAATCTTTGTTCAAAAATTCGAAAAAATTACTAATAAATAACTGATTTTAAAAAAATCCGAATATAAATTTTTCAAATAAATAAGTTATTTAGAATTTTCTAATTTCAAATTATGCAAAATTTTAATTTTCAAAAATTTTAAAGTTGAAAACTTCTGAAATTTAACTATTTCTAAAAATTTTTACTGTAAATTCTTCAAAATTCAATTATTTTCTAGCATTTTGAACTAAAATAAATTCGTCTCTAAATGAATTAATTTTTAATATCTTTTTCAAAGTACTTATAAAATTCAATTATTTAAGAAAAAAAAAGTTTACTTCCAAATCACGTCTAAAATTCAATTGTTTTCAATTCAATTTTACGAAATTTCGATTTTTCGAACATTTTTCAAGTATTTAAAAATTCAACTAATTTTAAAAAAAAATTGTAATTTTTCAAAAACTCAATTGTTTAGAATTTTGAAATGAATTATAATAATTTTTAATTAAAAATTCTTCTCTAATTTAATTATTTTTATTAATATTTCTAAAGTTCCTCTAGAATTTAACTAAAAATACAAAAATTCAATTTTTGATAAAAATTTAAGTGTCTCTCAATGTTTTTTTTCAATTTTTTAAAGTGAAAAAGAAAATTCGAGGATAGTTTAAAGTTTCAACTATTTTCCAATTTGACAAAAAACTAGAATTTTTGTAGCATTTCTAAAAATTTGTAATTTTTTCACTAATTTGATTAAAATTCCTTAATTTCTCCAAACTGTGGCAACTCTATTATTGTCGAAATTCATAAAAATGTAAATAAAAAAGTGCAACTCAAAAATATATTTTGAAAAAAAGAAACTTAATTTTTAATATTAATTTGGATGAATAATAAATTTTTGTTTTTATGACAAAAGTCTGTTTTATGCTCTAAAAGACTATCAGCGATAAAAATAATGATTTTAATTATTAAGGAAAAGATTTTATAGTTATTTTGCACACTTTGAAATTCAAAAATCAGCCAAAGAAGTAGTATTTTATTATGAAGAAAAGTCGAAATAGTCGGAGTTTTCGAAAATAATTTGAAAAAAATCGCCTTTTTTGAAAGTCGAAAAAGTCCCGCTATTCGAGGCCTGAAAAATAAAAATTATTCTTTTAAAAATCCAAAAAAGAAAAATGTTGCTAATGCCAAAAGAAATGTTTAAATGTATCATTACAACATGAGCATTCAAATGTAATCTCCTTCAAGATAATAAACTTTAATTAACATTGTTTGTTTTTAAAGCAAATTTAACAGCGAATTACAATAAACGCGCGTGACATTTAAGTGAAAGTGCAGTCTCAGAATGACTTATCAAAAAATCTTTTGTTTTGAACTCTTTCGTTTATTATACAAGAATGACATTTGATCAATCGCACTTTGATAATTTCGTACATATTGGTACATATAAAAGCCCTTTTTTCTCTAAAAGACGAACCTAAAAAAATAATGGTACAAAAATTAAACGAAAATCACACAGAAAAACTTTAATAGTAAAAATTAAAACGTCAGCAAAAGAAACTTGAACGTATAATATTGTATATAGAAAATATTGCAAGTCATTCGTGCGGTCTCGCGCTCCTTACTCGTATACTCCGAGTTTCATACTCTGTAGTCTTTATTTATATTATAAAACAAATTTCTATGCGAATTCACACACTGATGGAAAAAGTTTGTTAATCAAAAATCTCACAGTTTATCTCAATAAATTATTACCATACAGGGTAAACTTTTTGCTCTTATTTATTTATGTGATATATTAGAGAAACAAATGAGAGCTTGCAGATTAAATAAAATAAAAAGGTATCTGATAAAGAAAACTTTCATCTTAGATAGTCAACGTAAATTGTTTAGTATTTTGAGAACACTCAAATTATTTTTTTAAAACTAAAAAATTAACAGATTAACAAAAATTAATCAAAATTAAGAAAAAATATTTCTAAAAAGTGATTTATTTTCTAAAAAAGGAAAAAAAAATATTTTAGAAACGAATTTAAACTAGTAATTGACAATTTTTTTTTTTGCTTTCGTTTTAAAATTTAAAATAACGTTAATTATTGAATAAAAATCAATTTTTCCATATATAAACAATAAATCTGTCAGTCATGATAACTTCCATCTACATATACAACTCTAATACATAGATGAACGTGACGTCACTGTACAACTTCCGTGTGTTTTGTAATGTGTGGTGTGTTTTGTGACAGCATTATGTAGCACAGATGTTACTGTAGTGGAATATTAAAAGCTAAAAGTAATATCATCATTTCCATAAGAAAAGATTGAGTGTTTTTGTTGTGTAAAGTGTATACAAGATAATTATTGTATTTATAAGAAACTTGGTTAAAAAAAAAACTATCATCAAATTTAATATTCTAGTCTTTTTCTATTAAGCGATCAAAGATAAATCATACAGTGAATCATTCACTAAAATTTCCGGTAAATGATGATACTTAGGACACAAAAACAAAAACCGATAATTATTTCTTAAGAAAAGTGTATTTTGTCTCATTAAAGTTCATTTGGGAAATTATGGACTGACTAGACTTGTGTGTTCTAGATTATTAATTCTACATTTTGTTGAAATAAATAGGTGAGAAATTATTGTAATTATATATTACTTTTAAAAGTGTCAAAAAAACCATGAAATTCAGCATTAATAGTAAATTCGGTAAATTTAACGCTAACCCTTGGACCAATTTTGAATTTAATTGTCATTCTTGTAACTTATTAAACGTTCATTGTTTTTAATTAGTTAAATTAAACAAAAACTAAACTTACCAAAGACTGAAAATTAGTGTTAAAATCGTTAATGATCGTTAAAATCGGCGAACATGAAGTAGAATCTCGAAACGTCAAGTATTCGCCCCTATATATTTGTAGGTTATGTTCCAAGTTATTATTTTTTTCTGCACTTGAACCAAGTATTTATCGTATTTCTACTCATTTTGGCTTTTGAATTAACTTGTCACCAACTTTTTCTAATAATTCTCTTTGGAAAATTGAACTTTTCATATACGAAAGATGCATTTCCGCAAATATTAAAATTCTAACCTAAAAAAAAACGCCTTGGTAAAAATTTGAAAAAATTAGCAAGATTTAACATAAATAAATATATGGTAAATGAAGGAGAAAAATTACAATGTTGTGCGAGATAAAACCTGTTTGTTATCGATGCAATAAATAAACGGCACAGATCACTAAAAAGAGGGGAAAAAACAACTATAAACTTAAGCTTTTAACAGTTTTTTAAAGATTATAAACGAACGAAACGAACTTTAATGGTCTTTAAACAATATCTATCTCTGTCTTTTTGTAGCGAATAGATTAAACAAAGATAACACATAATCACGATGTCAAAGCGCGCGAAAAAATAGCAAATCATTTTAAATAAATATTAATTTCCGTTTCTTCACATCCGCTTTTTAGAGCCGGTATTTTTTTCTTCTCCTGTCATCATCTGTCATTTTTCTATTAAAAAAATTTTTTTTCTTTCGTATCCTATTATTATACATTGTGAATTTTAATGTTTTACTTATTTTAAAAAAAGTGTTAACTTTATAAGTCCCGTATATTGTTTAAATAAATAAGTACATAATTAAAATTTAATTCGAAATTTCAGATTACTTTAATGGATGACGAAGAGAGTTTACGAAGAAAAAGAGGATCTGGATGTCATTTCCAGCCTCTAAAGCGAAAAACAGGAACGTCTTTTGAACAAAATGAGGAAAATGATTTGGACAGTAGCATTAATGTTGAGGAACATAATGAGCTCGGGGACATGACATTTTGTATGGCTAATTATTTAAAGGAAGTTATGAAAATGATGTTTATGATGCGTACTCATCACATGTTGACTGATGTTATTTTAGAAGTTGGCTCCGAATTATTTCATGCCCATAAGGTCATTTTGGCGGCAGCAAGTCCTTATTTCAAGGTAAATCGAAATTTTCTATATTTATTAATAATAATTTTTGCATTTCAATAATTTGTTCGCAGTTTGAAGTTAGTTTTTTGATTTTTTGTATCCTAAGTTTTTAAATATTTCTTCTTTTCAATTGTTTACAATTTTCAAACTAATGTATTGAAATTCTTTGAATAATAATAAAATAATGGAGTTTATTTAATAACTTTAAGACTTTAATTAAAACTTTTGAAAGTAATTAAATTTTATTAAGTATTTCTTTCAAGTTTTTAAAATAATCGTGTTTATTTAATAATTTTATTTGAAAATTTTGAAAATAATTGAATTTAACAAAGAATTTTTTTTCTATTTTTTAAAATAATTGTGTCTGTTAATAATTGTAGTTAAAAATTTGATTTTTGAATTTTATTAAAATATTGTATTGAAAATAATTGAATTTCTGAATAGAATTTTATTATTTGTAAAAATAATTGAATTCTTTTGAAGAATTTCTTTCAAATTTTTTTAAATAAATGACTTTCAACGAAAATTGTAAAAATAATTGAATTCTTGCGAAGAATTTTTCAATTTATAAAAATAATCGAATTCTTTCAAAGAATTTCTTTCAAATTTTTTTAAATAAATTAATTTCTACGAAGATTTTTATGAAAATTTTAAAAATAATTGAATTCTTTTAAAGAAAATTATTAAAATTTCTAAAATAATTAATTTGAGAATGATATTAAAATTTTAAAAACATAAAATTTTCTGTCCAGAATTTTATCAAATTTTTTTTGAATAATTTTATTAAAGAACTTTGACAATAGAAGAATTTTTGAAAATAATTTTAATAAAATTATATATAAATAATTGAATTTTTCAAAGAAATATTGTCAAAATTGTTTTTAAAATAATTCAATTCGCGTGAAAAATTTCATTAAAATTTTTACAATAATTAAAATCTTTTAAGAAATTCAATTAAATTTGTATTGTAGATAATTGAATTCTTTCAAAGAATTTCATCAAAATTTTTTTGAGGGCAATTAATTATGAAGAATTATATTAAAATTCATAAATTTTGAATTTAAAATAATTGAATGTTACGAAGAATTTTATTAAAAAGATTTATAAATAATTGAATTTTTTCTAATAATTTGATTTAAATCTTTTAAAATAATTGAATTCCAGCGAAGAATAATTAACAAAAATAATTGAAATGTTCCGAAGAATTTTATTATTTCAGGAAATAATTGAATTCCTAAGAATTTTACTAATTTTAAAAAAAATTGGAATTGTTTTGAAGAATTTTATTAAAATTTTAGAAAAATAATTGAATTTTATTATTTATGAAAATAATTGAATTTTAGCGAAGAATTTATTAAAGTTTTAGTAAATAATTGAATTGTTTCGAAGAATTTATTAAAATTTTAGAAAATAATTGAATTCTTTCGTAATATTTATTATTAAAAATCGTTTTTAAAATAATTCAATTCCCGTGAAAAATTTCATTAAAATTTTTACAATAATTAAATTCTTTTAAAAAATTTAATTAAATTTATATTGTAGATAATTGAATTCTTTCAAAGAATTTCATCAAAATTTTTTTAAAAGCAATTTATTACGAAGAATTTTATTAAAATGTTTTGTGAATAATTAGATTTTTATTAATAATTTGATTTAAATCTTTTAAAATAATTGAATTCCAGCGAAGAAAATGAATATTTTTGAAAATAATTGAATTCTTGCTGAGAATTTTATTATTTTTAAAAATAATTGAATTGTTCCGAAGAATTTTATTAATAAAGGAAATAATTGAATTCCTAAGAATTTTACTAATTTTAGAAAAATAAATGAATTTTATTATTTATGAAAATAATTGAATTTTAGCGAAGAATTTTTTAAAGTTTTAGTAAATAATTGAATTGTTTCGAAGAATTTATTAAAATTTTAGAAAATAATTGAATTCTTTCATAAAATTTTATTAAAAATAAAAAAAAATAATTGTATACTTTTGTGAAATTTTATTAAATTTGTATTGAAAATAATTGAATTCCTGCAAAGATTTTTATTATATTTATAAAAATAATTGAATTCTTCTGAAGAATGTTATTTATTATCTTGTAACTTAATTTTTTTTGGTACAAAATATAATTAGGAAATTTAATTAAAAATTTAATCTTTCTTTTAGGCGATGTTTACTGGAGGTTTGAAGGAGTGCGAAATGACTAGAGTTACATTACACGGAGTATGTCCAACAGCAATGGCGAGATTGATGTATTTTATGTACACTGGTCAAATTCGAGTAACAGAAGTGACTGTTTGTTCTCTTTTACCAGCTGCAACAATGTTTCAGGTTTACACTCGATGATTTTAATTTTAAATTAAATTTCAATTGAATTGTCAATTTTTAAATTTAAATATTTTTATAATAATTCTAAACAAATAGAAAAAAAATTAACGAAATAAAAACAAAAAATTAAACACTTAAACAATTAAAACTTACTGTTTGTCACAAACGTTAAGAAGATAAATTTTACCTTTGGAAACTTTATAGATGATTTTTTTCTAGTGACACAAATTATTTTGATTTAATTCGAAAAAATTAAAATTTAATAAATTAAAAAATAGTTTTAAAGAAAAAATAAATTTAATAATTTCCCCAGGTGAACAATGTGATTGAGGCGTGTTGCACATTTTTGGAAAAACAACTCGACCCAACGAATGCAATTGGAATAGCGAATTTCGCCGAACAACACGGATGTCAAACCCTATTGAACAAAGCGAATCAATATATTTTGCAGCATTTCACTCAAATTTGTCTTGAAGATGAATTTCTTCAATTATCGGCAATGCGGTTAATTGCGCTTGTTCGTAGGGACGAATTAAATGTACAAGAGGAGCGTGAAGTTTATAATGCCGTATTGAAATGGGTGAAATATAATGAGGAAGCGAGAGGACCAAAAATGGAGAATATATTACAAGCAGTTCGCTGTCAGTATTTGACACCAAATTTTCTCAAGGACCAAATGATAAATTGTGATGTCTTGAAAAAAGTTCCAGCGTGTCGCGAATATCTTGCGCAAATATTTAAAGAATTAACACTCCATAAAAAGCCAATTGTCAAAGAGAGAACTCCCAATACGCCGAGAATTATTTATATTGCGGGAGGATTCTTGAAGCATTCCTTGGATGTACTGGAGGGTTATAATGTCGATGATAAGACTTGGTCGAAACATGCGAATTTACTTGTTCCACGATCAGGATTGGCAGGTGCTTTTGTAAAAGGAATGTTTTACGCTGTTGGTGGCAGGAATAATTCGCCCGATAGCAGGTGAATTGAATTCGATTATTAATATTATTAATTCAATTTTTAATATTAGGCAACTTTCGAATTTCTTATTTTTAAATACAAACATCATTTTTTCAATAACTTCAGATTTCAAATTTAAAAATTCACCTATTAAATAATTAACAGAATAATTATTTTTCTACTTATTATTATTATTATTATTATTATTATTATTATTATTATTATTATTATTATTATTATTATTAGTATTAGTATTAGTATTACTTTTATTACTATTATTATTAAAATCCTTTATTTTTTAATAACAACTTCAATATTTGAATAATTTTAGATTAAAAATTTAAAAACATTTCAATTATTTTCAATAATAAAATTCTTCACAGGAATTCAATTATTTCAAAAATTTTTAATAAAGTTCTTCACGCCATTCAATTCTTTTAAAATCAAAATTCAAGAATTTTAATAAAATTCTTTACAAGAATTCAATTATTTTCAAAAATAAAAATATTTATCGCAGGAATTCAATTACTTTTAAAAATTCAATTATTTCTAAAATTTTTAATAAAATTCTTCACAACATTCAATTATTTAATATTCAAAATTCAAGAATTTTAATAAAATTCTTCGTTATAAATTGCTTTTAAAAATTTTGATAAAATTCTTTGCAAGAATTCAATTATTTTCATAAATAGTAAAATTCTCCTCAAGAATACAGTTATTTTTAAAAACAATAATATTCTTCGCAGAATTTAATAACTTTCAATAATTTTAATAAAATTATTTGAAAAAAATTCAATTATTTTTAAAATTTTTAATAAAGTTCTTCAAAACATTCAAAATTCAAGAAATTTAATAAAATTCTTCGTTACAAATTGCTTTTAAAAATTTTGATAAAATTCTTTGCACGAATTCAATTACTTTCATAAATAGTAAAATTCTCCTTAAGAATTCAATTATTTTCAAAAACAATAATATTCTTCGCAGAATTTAATAACTTTCAATAATTTTAATAAAATTATTTGAAAAAATTCAATTCTTTCATAAATTTTTTAATAAAATTCTTCGTAAGAAATTTGTTTCAAAAATTTTAATAAACTTAATTTAAAAAAATCAATTATTTAAAAAATTTTTAATAAAATTCTTCACAAAATTCAATTCTTTTAAAACTTAACTTTTTTCTTTTTAAATTTGAGAATTTTAATAAAATTCTACGTTACGAATTGGTTTGAAAAATTTTGATAAAATGCTTTCCAAACATTAACTTATTTTCATAAATAATAAAATTCTGCGTAAGAATTCAATTATTTTCAAAAATGATAATATTCGTCGCAGGAATTCAATTATTTTGAAAAATTTTAATCAAAAAGTTAGAAAAAATTCAATTATTTAAAAAATTTTTTAATAAAATTCTTCGCAACATTCAATTATGTTAAATTCAAAATTTAAGATTTTTAAAAAAATTCTTAGTAACAAATTTGTTTCAAAAATTTCGATTACATTCTTTGAAAAGATTAAGTTATCTTCAATAAAAATTTAATTGAATTTCTAAAAAGAATTAAATTATTATTGTACAAATTTTATTGAAATTTTTCCCACGAAAAAAATTCAATTATTTATATAATTTTATTAAAATCCTTTGAAAAAATTCTTTTATTTTCAAACAAATCTGTAATAAAATTATTCAAAAAAATTAAATTGTTTTCAAAAATTTGATGTAATTAAATTCTGGACGAGAATTGAATTATTTTTATAAATAATATAATTTTTCGTTGGAATTCAATTATTTTTAAAACAATTTTAATAAATTTCGTGAAAGAATTCCATTTTTAAAAAAATTGTAATAAAATTCTCAAAATTCTTCACAGATACAAAAATTCAATTATTTTAATATGTAATACATATTGTTTTCTATGAATTCAATTATTTGAAAAATTCTAATAAAATTGTTTGCAGAAATTTAATTAATTTCAAAAATTGTAATACTTAGCTTATTTTAATAGAATTCAAATATTTTTATAATTTCCATATAAATCTTCTCTGAAATTAATTAATTTTAAGAAATTTTAATAAAATTCTTCGAAAGAATTTAATTATTTTTAAAATTTATGATAAAATTCCTTATAAGAATTGAAATATTTTTAGTACAATTTTAACTAATTTTTTCAATAGAAATTAATTAGGTACCTATTTTCAAAAATTTTTAAATTATTCCTTAAAACAATTCAATTGTTCGCAATACAATTTTAAAATAAAATTCTATTCAAGAATTTAATATTGTTTCAAATTCAGAATTATGAAATTTACAAACATTATTTTTTCTACAAAAATTAACAACGATTATTAATGCAAATTATTATTATTATTGGTTATTTTTAAGAGAATCTTTCGATTTAATTTAAAAATTTGTTGATAGATTTATAGATTTTATTATTTTTATTATACAATTTTAATGAAATTCTATTCAAGAATTAAATTGTTTCAAATTCTCAATTACAAAATTTACAAAAGTTATAAACTTACTTTTTCTACAAAAATTAACAACGGTTATTAATACAGATTATTATTATTATTATTTGTTATTTCTAAAAGAATCTTTCGATTTAAAAATTTGTTTATATATTTTTATATTTTATAGATTTTATTTTATTCAATGACATGTTTAACAGAATTTATTTATTTTAGGTACGATAGTGATTGGGTAGATAGATATAATCCAATAACAGATCAATGGAGACCTTGCAGTCCAATGTCAGTGGCGAGAAATCGAGTTGGAGTGGCAGTAATGGATGGATTATTATATGCAGTTGGAGGAAGTTCTGGTCCCGAATTTCACAATACAGTGGAATGCTATGATCCTGAGGATGATTCATGGACTAGTATCAAAGCAATGCATGTTAAAAGACTGGGCGTTGGTGTTGCCGTTGTTAATAGGCAAATATATTATTTTATTTATGTTTTTTTTCAAATTTTTCAAAACAATTTTTTGTTATTAATCTTTTTCTTTTGTTTAGATTATTTTATTTTTAACAAGCGCGGAACGTTATATTAAATTTATTATTATGCAAATTACAAAATTTGTTATAAATAGTAAAATTCTTCGCAGGAATTAAATTATTTTCATACAATTTTAATAAAATTTTAAGAAAGAATTCAATTATTTTCAGAAATTTGAATTCATCCATTGAAATAATTCAATTATTTTTTAAATAGTAAAGACTTTGCAAACATTCAATTATTTTCAATTATTTTATTTTTTTCCATCTCGTTTCCTTCTGGTTATTCAAAAATTTTTTTTCTGTAAAATTTCTTAAAAAATTCCTAAATTTTCAAAACGCATAATAAATTTCTTGAAAAATATTCAAATATCTTCTTTAAAATTTACGAAATTTCAATTTAAATTCCAAAATTCAGTTACATATTTAAAAAATAATGATTGTCTGTAAAATTTATTTTAAAAATTCAATTATTTTCCAAAATTTTTAAAAAAATTCTTGTAAAATATTAAATTATTTTCTATAAAAATTAGAAAATGACACAATTTGTTTATAAAAATTTTATTATGTCAATTTCTTAATAAAATTTTTGAAAAATTAAACTACTTTTTATAGAATTCAATTATATTCAATACAAATTTCATAAACTTCAATAATGAACTATTTAATTATAATTTTTAATAGATGCGATTATTTTAAGGACTTGAAAGAAATTCTTTATAAATTTCAATTACTATCAAAATTTTCAATTATAATTATTAAAGAAACTAGATTATTTAAAAAAAATTCAAAAAAATTCTTCAAAAGAATTTAATAAGGATTTTGAAAAATTTTAATAAAATTCTTCGAAGAATTCAATTATTTTCATAAATAATAAAATTCTTCAAAACAATTGAATTATTTTTATTAATTGTAAAATAAATGAATTTTATGTTAATATTTGAAAATTTAAATTCTTTCGAGGAATTTTATTAAAATTGTTTTGAAAAGAATTAAATTTCTGCAAAGGATGTTACTATTTATAAAAATAATTGAATTATTGCGAAAAAATTTACTAGTTATAAAAATAATTAAAATGTTTCGAAGAATTTATTGAAATTTTAAGAAATAATTAAATTGTTATGAAGAATTTTATAGAAATATTTGAAAATAATGAAATTTTTTCGAGAAATTCAATTAAAGTTGTTTCAAAAATAATTGCATTTCTTTAATGAGTTTTATTAAAATTTGGTATATTCAAAATAATTGAATTCACTACAAGAATTTTATTATTTTTTGAAAATAATTGAATTCCTGCAAAAAATTTTACTGTTTATAAAATTAATTGAATTCTTGCGAAGAATTTTACTACTTATAAAAATAATTGAATTTTTTCGAAAAATTCATTAAAATTTTAGAAAAAAATTGAATTTTTCCGTGAAATTTTATTAAAATTTTTGAAAATATGAACAGTAATAATTAATTTTGTACTTAATAAGTGAATTTTTTAAATTGTATTATGAAATTATTTAAAAAATTTATATTTCAAAATAAAAAATTTTGTAATTTGCATAACAATAATAAATCGAATACCACGTTTCGCGCGCGTAACATTTGCTAGTTTTGATATAATTTAGATTTGATTTTTAATTTTTTTTTGAATTTAAACTATTTTTGGTATAATTTAGATTAAGTTTTGAATTTAGACTACTCTCTTTATATAATTAATTTTTAACAAAATTTTTAATTTTGCTGTGACTTTAGATTACTTTTTTTATAATTTAGACTTTGTTTTTAATTTTGGTTTTGAATTTAGATTACTCTACGCGGTTGGTGGATTCGACGGAAAATATCGTCTAAGTTCTGTCGAATGCTATCATCCGGAGAATGATAATTGGACAATGGTTTCGTCAATGATGTGCTGTAGATCTGGAGCTGGAGTAGCAAGTTTAGGGCAATATATTTACGTAGTTGGTGGCTACGATGGAACGAGTCAATTAAATTCAGTTGAGAGATATGACACAGAGACGAGTGTCTGGGAAACCGTCAGCAGCGTTTCAGTTGCTCGCAGTGCCTTAAGTGTTACTGTTTTAGATGGAAAATTATACGCCATGGGTGAGGAAATTCGATATTTTACCTCCATGAATTTTACATTTTTTGATTAACGATTAGAAAAAAAATCATATTTTTCGGAACAAGAAAAATGTTGGAAAATTTGTAAAAACGTTTCCTTTCTCTTTTTTAACTTTAATATTCGATTTAATAATTTATATTAATAAAAAAATATTAAATTAATAATAATCTTTTATTTCAGGAGGCTACAATGGAAATTCATTTTTAAATATAGTAGAAATTTACGATCCGGCGAAAGATCAGTGGGAATTGGGTGTTCCAATGTCTTCGGGAAGATCGGGACACGCCAGTGCAGTTTCATATCAACAATGTCCTAGCCATTACGACCAAGTAGAAAATAATACAAATCAAGAAAAAGAGCCATCGTGACAGAGTAATTTATCTTGAAATTATATTTTTCAAGGGAACAATGTTTCTGGTAATTTTCTATGTTCTTACTGTACGAAAGGAGAAAATTTCATTTCTGTAATTACAGAAAAAGGCCGAAACTTCTCAGAAGTGCAAAAATTTCCATCTCACTGAAAATATGCCTCTAATTTTCAGTCCACTGAAGAAAAACATTAGCAAAAATCATACTCAATTATTTTCTTCTTCCATCGAAAAAAAATTGTCCACCTTCTCTCATTTATTTAATATATCATTAAAAAAAAAATTTTCTACGTTAAAAGAGGAAAAAAAAAGAATGTAATTTTCTATTTCTAGTACAAACAAATTTTTTCAAAAATCCATTGTTTAAGAAAACAATTTGGAAAAAAACGTCAGTTTTTCGATTAGAAATCGAATTGAATTTAGATGTTATTTTTAATTTAGAAAATTAATTTTTTTTATATAATTTTTGAATGAAAATTAAAAAAAAAGTGTTAAAAAAATATGTTATTTATATGAACCATTCTTATTGTTTTCTATGAAATCAAAATTGGTTCAGTGATATTACGTGTGAATATTTCGAGCATGAATTGACATGCGAATCAGACTGAGAAAAAAAAAACTTTTATAATAGGCTATTTGTATAGGAAATAATAGTTTTTAGTTTATAAACAAGATCTGCTGGATCGCATCTTAAAAAAATATATTTAATTTTGAAAGTTGTCAAAACAATTGTGTAATTAATATTTTGAAAATAATAATTCGATTCTTTTAATGTTTTTTGTTAATTTTTATATTTTTCTGAATTATTGATATTGAAAATTATAAAATTAAAAAAACAAAACAAACAATTACGGAAACTTATTTATATATTTACTAAATTATTTATTTATTTAATTACTTATTGATATATTTATAAATTATTTATTTAGTTACTATTTGTAAGTATAGACTTTAAATTTTAAATTGCGCTTTGAAAATTATTTATTTATTTATATATTTATTTACGTATGCGTTTAATTATTTATTTATATATTTATTAACTAATTATTTAGTTAACAAAGTATGGAATTTAAATTTTAAATTGTGCGCCAATACAGGCGCGCTCTGATTGGTTAAAATTGGCGCCGCGCCGATTTCCATAACCTCAAAATATTTGACAGCTCGTGTTACGAAATTATTGTGAAATTATTGTATTTTAACAGCTGCTAAAAGTGTTATAATTATAAATATAAAAGTAATTGCTAAAAAATAATTTTAAATTCTACTTTAATTATTTCTTAAATTGAAAAATTTATCTTCTCTTCCAAGTGTTTAAAAAAGTGAAAATACGCGTCTCAAGCCATAAACACGTGCCTGTTGTTTTTTTCGCATCGAGGAATTTTGCCAATCATCAAATTTCAAAAAGATAAAAAAAGAATAGCAAGTGATTCTATAATTACACACAACAAAGATATTTTGACAAATGATTGTCGTAAAATCAGGATCGCACTATAAAATGACTGTTAACTTGTTGAATGTTGTAATATTCTACGTCTTAGGTAAGTAATTCGTTTAAAAAATTGTAATTAATTCAAATTTATTTATTTACTACATACTTTATTGTATATTTAACTTTTATTTATTGTATATTTAACTATAAATAAATAGTTGTATATTTTTTATATTTAATAGTTAATATTTTAATAATAAATAACTTTTTAGAAATTAATAAAAAAATTTACATTTTAGGAACAAATCGATTGCAACAAACGACTTTTCCATAGTGATTGCTTAAAATTACTCCTTTTTTGAAAAATTTATTCGAATTTATTTGAATTGAAAAATATATTTGAAAATATTTGAGAAAAATTCTTATTTAAATAGAAAAAGCGGAAAAACTGAAAAATGTACAAAATTTCGCAAAAAAATTTCCTGGGCAACATTACGATTGAAGTACGTCCACGTCTTCGTTCATGTATTGTTTTTATTTATATCGGTGACAAAGATCCATCATTAATTGATGTGAAACTATCAGAAACAAATATAACAATTACCTGTGAGAAATTATCGAAAAGTTTAATATTACCATCGGTGAAATTACTTCCAACTTCATTGTCATCATTACGAATCAGCAGCAAATGGATTTCATTTCGTGTCCAAACAAATCCGGACACTATTTTTGGAACATTCAAAACAGAAATAATGAATGACATTGCAAAAACAATTGTCGTGGATAATTCGAAAAAATACAATTTACCAGCAATTGGATCAAAATGTTGTTTACGTTGCAAATGTTGTGAGAATATTATAACAATTGTCATAAATTGCAAACGAGTTTTACCATTGCCAGACAGAGATTGTGATCCCGGTGAATGGTTTTGTTGTAAACACAGCACAAAAGTTGATTTTGCTAAACTATTAAAACCACAGGAGACCGATTATTTTTACGGTTCAGCATTTTCAGTGATAAATAGTAGGAATTTTCGAAATTTGACGGAAAAATACAATACAATTTTGTGTAAGAAATGTTTAACTATTTTGGGAATGAAGGAGGACAATGAATCGATTAGAATTTGGAATTTTTGCGTTGAACGTCAAATTAATGATGAAGAATTCAAGGTGATTTGTCATTCGGCATTGGATGAATTTATAGCGACAATAAAAGATTGCAGTGAAATAATGGGCGAGGAAATTCTTTTGGAGAGTTTAGAGGGAAATACGACTCATTATATTTTAATGAAACCAATGGAATGGCAATTGGAATTATTGACAGAGGCAAATACCAAATGGGAAGGTGAATCAATTCGATTGCAAAAAACGCGGGTAATTAAAGTATTTTATAAATATGGCGAGAGTGGAAAATCGGTGAGAAATGAATTTGTTCATTCGAAATATTATTTAATTGCCCTACCTCTTCTAATGGCGGGAATTGAGCATTTAATTTCTTCGACGAAACGATTTCCACCTTCGTATCGAACTGTTGCGCAATATTACGTCGGTTTTATAAATTTGAAAAATTCTTTTCTTTCTGGAATTTAATTAAATTTAGTAAAAAAATATGTTCTTTTTTGTAAAAAGTGTAAAAAATAAGATTTTTGATAAAAGCTAAATAAATTTATATTTTTCTAAGAAACTTCTATTTTTTGGAAATAAGTAGTATCCACATTTTTTATTTTACAAAACAATTTTATTCAGAAAAAGATAACAGCTGCTTTTTTTTTTACAATATTTTCGACATGCAACGCGTTTTTTTTATGCAATTTACATTTGTTTTTTTTCTTACAACTAATTTTCTAAAGGAAACTTAAGATTTCCTTGGAAGTTAGTAACTACTTTTACTTTTACATTTCTTTTCTCTTTCGAAAAGAAAAAAACAGTTCTGAAGTTTATTGTACAGACTTTTTCTACATATTTATTATAATATATTTAAATGTGCCGAGTATTTTTGTTTTCCTGCTAATACGAAATTATCTAAGAGTCAAGCAGAATAAAAAGCACTTCGAATTTATTATTAATGTAATAATAAAAAGGTTAATAAATTTATTCAAAAAATTTCGAATTTAAATATAGAAAATACATTTCGATGTTTTGCGGATAACGTAATTTTCTTGAAATCGTCTTTTTCTTTTGCTTCTTCTCTTTGATAATAGATATTTAGGATTTTTTTTCTAACATGAAATTTTTCATTCACGTACTTATATTAAACAAAAATATAAGATCTATATATAATTTTTTCTAAATTTATAATATATATTGTTTAAGAGCTATTATTTTGCTTTTTAAGTATTTATATAGATTTTTAGCTTTAAGAATTAGTTCTTCTCAATTTTCAATAAAATTTATCCTTGCATTAAAGGCCACTTATATACGTGCACTCTTAAGCCTCATAGAATTCGTCTTATTTCAGTAAAAATAAATCCAAAAAAAAAATTCTAAGCGATAAATAATTTAGATAAAATTTGGAGTTTTTTAAGAGTAATTTTTTACAACTTATTTCACATTTTTAAACTTATTAAACTTTCTTTCTCAAAGAATTTAAAAGTCGAGCTAAATACTAAAAATATAAAAACTATAATACTTGACGTATTTTTTTAACAAAAAAATAAATTTTCATTGTAATAAAAATATATATCTAAAAGAATGTACTTATTAAAATAGGATGTGAATTACATCACACTTTGCACCAACAAAAATTAAAATTTCTAAATCTACTGAAAAATTAATCTGTCCCTTCCCGAACGCCACCACAAGATTTTTCAATTACATAAACTAACTAATTAATTTTATTAATTAACAGTTTTCTATTTAGATTAAATAATCTCATAAAATCTTGAAGAAAAAATTTGAAAAATTTTCTTATTAATATAAATAGTAAGTAATAAATGGACTGTTGATAAAATTGAATTAAATTTCACTTTTAAAAATTCTAAAATATTTTATATTACATTAATATAATGTAATTTAATTAATGTTTAAAATCTATTAATCTATACGTATACTTAAATGTGTTTTTTCACATTTAAAAAATGCTTTCGTCTACAAACTGTACATAATCCATTTTTAACTTTCATATTTATGCGGCGTTATAAAAATTGTAATAAATTTTTTGAAAATCGTGAAAAAACGACTCGAAAGTCTTTTTTTTGTTACTTAAGTAAGGACATTTTTAACACAAGTCTTTTATTTAAGTCACACAAGTTTAATTTAAATTAAACTAAAATTTTCCATTTGAAGAAAAAGGAAATGAGGAAAAAAAGAGGAAGAACAGATAATAGAAAAAATGTTTGTGCCACGAATAAAAAACGTTCTCCGTTCTTTTAAATACTAAAATTATAGGTATTTTTAATTTAATTTTTCAAATTAAAAAATTAATTTGATAATTATTTTAAATACTGTTTATATTATAATTATTTTCAACAGGAAAAGTTACGTTAAGGAATAAAATTTGTTGAGAACGTTTATTTTAGGGATTAAAAGGAAAATTCCAAACTATAAGAACTTTTTTGGTAAATATTTTAAAAAATTGAAATTTTCCGCTATTTGCTTAATATTGAGGGAACTATAATAAAATTGAAAATAGAATAAGGATAGTTTTAGCTATATGTACAGGCTTGTAGAGTGACGTACGTCTCAATGGAATCAGGCTTAAGTTTGTTATTTTACGTGTGCGAATTATTTATTGGAGTCGATTTCATCATTTACCTCTTTAGGTGTTTGTCACTGTTGATTCGTCCGTTTTGACTTTTAATCTCTCTTCCAGAGGGTTCACATATGCATAGCCTCCGTCTTTGGTTTCTTTGAACAACTGTTGAATATAAATTTCAATTAATTTTGAATTTTCAATTATTTTTAATTTTTTACATCTATTTTACTTATTTTCGAATTTTTCCATATTTTTAATTTTTAAATATAGTATTTACTTTATTATAATAAATAGATAATCTAGATTATTTAATAAGTCGATAATTTAAGTGTCTATTAAAAAATTTAATTATCTATTTATGAATAATTATTTTATTACTTATAAAAATAATTGAATGGAAGTTTGGAAAGCAAATAAGTTACCTTCGTTTGCCACATAATATTATTTTCTTTGCGAATTCGAGCTTCATCACGTTGTTTTTGTTCAATAGAGGATTTCGCCGCTGTTGCCTTATCCATATCATTAATTCTTAAACCCATCGTTACTTCTCTCCAAATTTTTCTTGATTCACAATCCTCCTGTTCACACATCGGCTTCACTTGCTTCTTTTCCGCCTTTAATTCTCGAACGTCAGCGAATATTTCCGATCTCTAAATTAAATTCAATCAATAATTTATTTACAATTTCTTGCATTCGAAAGCAAAAGAAAAATGCTTGATTTTAAAAAATCAAATTTGAAAAAAAAGAATTAAATTTAGATAAATAAATCAAATTTTAAAAAAATAAATTAAATTTAAAGAAAAAATCAAATTTTGAGAGAAAAAAACGAAATAATTGAGAAGAAATTTACCCCATCAGCCCATTTTGATTCCATTAATCCATTCCATTCGCCATTAATTACAAGGAATGGCTTTTTATCCGTGCGATGACTCACTTGACACGTGATTCGATTACGTTTACCGCCATAAAATGGTTTTGTGAGAAATTCTATTGATGCTGTGTAACCAGATTGAGCGCATGTTATCGTCGTATTGCCACCCAATTCAATCCATGGCACTGTCAATATCGATCTTCCATAACCATTTGGAAATGTTACGATATACTCCTCGCCATGATTTATCACATTAACCCATCCCTTGCCAACATTATGTACACCAATGCTCAATCCTAAAAATTTACTCTTCGTCCATATGTGCGCTCCAAAACTGATATTCCTTTCGACATTCTCGACATAAAAGCCACTCACTGGAAAAAAGACGATAATAAATAAATAACAAGTGGGTAAATAAATCTCACTGGAAAATAGACGCAAATAAATAAATGGCAAGTAAATAAATCTCACTGGAAAATGGACAAAAATAAATAAATAACAAATAAATAATTAAAAAATATGTAAATAAATAAAAAATATTGCAAAATACAGGAGAAATATTATACAATTACTTTTTTTTAATTATAGAAAAACTAACATTTTTATTCATAATATGTGAAAATTGATTATTATTGTAACTAGCAAATGCTTTTTGCAGTATTGAATTAATTATTATTATGCAAATTAAAAAATTTCTTATTTTCAAATATCAATTTAAATCTTTGAATAATTGCAGGTTCAAAAATTTAAAAGAATTTACTTGTTAACTAATTATTATTATTTATTATTATTTTATAAAATTTCATTAAAGTTCTTCGCAAGAAATCAATTATATTTTTTATAAATAATAAATAAAATTATTCGAAGGAATTCAATTATTTTCAATATAATTCTTTGAAACAAGTCAATCATTTTTATAAATAATAACATTCTCTGTAGAAAGTCAATTATTTTCAATAAAATTTTGAAAAAATGTCTCGAAAGAATTCAATTATTTTTACAATTTTAAAGAAATTCATAAAAACAATTGAATTATTTTCGAAAATATTAATAAAATTCTTTGCAAGAATTCAATTATTTATACTATTTTAAGAAAATTCTCTGTAGAAATTTAATAAGTTTTAAGAAAATTTTGATAAAATTTCTCGAATGAATTCAATTATTTTTATAATTTTAAGGAAATCCATAAAAACAATTCAATTATTTTAGAAAATTATAAAAAAATTTATTATATGCAAGAATACAATTATTTTTATAAATAAAAAAATTCTTTGCAAGAATTCAATTATTTTTATAAACAATAAAATTCTCGAAACAATTCAATCATGTTTACAAATATTAAAATTCTTTAAACAATTCAATTATTTTTATAAATAATAAAATAATAAAATTCTCCATAGAAATTTAATTATTTTTAATAACGTTTTAATAAAATTTCTCGAAAGAATTCAATTATTTTTAAAATTTTAAGGAAATTCATCCAAACAATTCAATTACTTTCCAAAAGTTTTAATAGAACTCTTTGAAAGAATTGAATTATTTTTATAAATAATAAAATTATTCGAAGGAATTCAATTAATTTTACAATTTTTAAGGAAATTCTTTAAAACAATTCAATTATTTTCAAAAATCTTAATGAAACTCTTTGCAAAAATTAAATTAATTTTAAAAATGTTAATAACATTTTTTATAAGAATTCAATTATTTGCAATATAATTTTAATTAAATTTCTCAAGAGAATTATAATTATTATAAAAAAAATTTAATAAAATTCTTTACAAGAATTTATTTACTTTCAAAAATAATAATAGAATTTTAGTAAAAATTCAATTATTTCCCCAAAATTTTAATCAAATTTAATAATTACATTTTTAATTTTAAACAAATTCTTCGTAACATTCAATTACTTTCTAAATTTTTAATTAAAATTATAAAAAACTACATTATTTTTATAAAATTTAAAGAAAATCTTGAAAAAAATTTATTAATTTTCGAAAACTAATAAATTTAAAAAAAAAATCAATTTTTTATTAATAATTTTAATAAAATTTAATTATTCAAATTTTTAATTGCAATTATTTACAAAATCGATCATATTCGAAAAATTAAAGAAATCCTTCGAAAGAATTTAATTATTGTCAAAAAACTTTAATAATATTCTTCGAAAAAATTCAATTGTTTGAAAAATTTTATATAAAATTAAATAATCAAATTTTTAAGCACAATTATTAACAAAAACACGTTTATTTAAAAACTTGAAAAAATTTCTTTCGTAAAATGCAATTACTTTTAAAATTTTCAATTATTTAAAATTATTTAAAAAAATGTACATTATTTTCAAAAAAATTCAAAAGATTCTTTAAAATAATTCAATTATTTTCAAAAATTGCAATAAAATTAATGAAAGTAAGAATTCAAATATTTTCATAAATAATAAAACTCTTCTCAAGAATTCAATTATTTTTACAATTTTTAAGGGAATTTTTGAAAACAATCCAATTATTTAAAAAAATTTTAATACAATTTTTCGCAGAAATTAAATTGATTTAAAAAATTTTTAATTTTAAAGAAATTCTTCGTAAAATTCAAATACTTTCAAAATTTTCAATTAAAATTATAAAAAACTACATTATTTTCATAAAATTTAAAGAAATTCTTCAAAAGAATTTATTTATTTTCGAAAACTCGAATAAATTTCTTGAAAAAAATTCAATTTTTATTAATCAATGTAATTTTAATAAAAAATTTCTCGAAAGAATTTAATTATTGTTAATGCTTATATTTTAAAATTCAAAACATTTAATAGGAAAAATTATTTAAAAAGTAAGGAAACAAAAACAACTAACTTCAAAATTATTATTATTATTATTGTCAAATACAAACCTGGAGGATGATGGGAAACTTGTTCAGAGATAAAGGAAAGTTGATTTTCAGTAGACCACGGTACGGGTCCATCTTTAACGAATTTAGCACTTCCTTTTAATGAATTATTCTGTTCTTTTTCTGACGGAAGATCCCAATGACAGCGGAATATTTCTCCTAAAATTGGATTATAGGGCTTTTTTGCAACACCTGATTTTCGACCGGCGTGAAAACTGCACAGGTACCATTTCACCACTTGCACCATTCTTTCTTTTGGAGTTGGCATATCTGCTATGCTGTGAAAAGAAACATAATTTTTTACTCATAATAAAATAATTTTCTTTCAATTGAGTTTACATTCTTTTTACCCCTCCTTTTAATATTTTTTTTTCTCTGGTTTCACAAGAACTGAATTTTATTTTTACCAGAAAACTTCGTTATTTATTTACTCTGTTTATTGGATTTTGATATAAAGTAATAGCACCATTCGAAAATAAACCGAATTGAGACGCGAGTTGGTCTTAAAATAGATTTAGATATTGATTGCGAGAAATTAAAAGGAGTGAAATAAAAATTTAAATACATTGTGAAAGAGGATTGTTTTTTAATGGACAAAAAAAATTATTTTCTTTTAAATAATTATGAATTAAACATTGAAGATTTTACCTTACAAATTGATCGGGATGAGTGAAATAATCCGCGTACATTTCTAAAAGGGATCTGCGCTCCAGAATAAAAGTCGGGAGGGCAACTTTTGTCAAATCCATTCCGATTTTCACTTGCGACAAAAGATGAGTGACAACTGATCCATGGCTTTCCATCGAGTCCACTAAAATTAGAAATATGGGGAAATTAATTTCAATATTTCATTTTCACTTGTAAAGTTTATCAATTTTATAAAATGTAAATTCTAAATTTTAAATTTAAAAAAATGTTTTAAAATCAAAGTTTTAAATATTAATAAAAATACTTAAAGAAAGGTAAAGAAAGAAAAAATCAAATCTATTACTTATTTTGATGAATTAAAATAATATTTCGAAAAATATTAAAATCGTTTTAAATTATTATTATTTGAATTGGAAAATACTCACTTTCCTCTTCGCTCTCTTCCTCGTACAATGCTGCAACAAAAAAACCAAATTAAAAACAAAGTCAAATTTAAAAAATAAAAATTTATTTCAAAACTATAAAGTATTAAATTAAATATTTGTAATAATTATGCCAGTAATTAAATTCTCTACAAATATTAAAATAATAAATATCTAATAAATAATAAATATTAAATACAAGTGATAAAAAGAAAAAAATGAGTCGAAAATTTTCTAAATATAGAATCTCGAAAAAAATCAAATTTACTGAAAATAACAATTTTTAGAAAAAAGAGACTCACTGTTTAATTCGGTATTTAACATTTTGCCTTTGTTGAAAATAACAAATAGCATCCATTACTAAAGAAAAAAGATTTCTTTCCTTTTTTTTGTTAAGGGTGAAACAAATGAAACTATGATATGCGCGAAGTACGTGAATCGATTAGTATATTTAGAGAGATAAACGTCCTAACAGCCGTGAAAATCAGGCCCTGTTCTGGTTTCATTATTTTGCTAGCGCGACTGATTTCACAAGTTGCGAAAATAAATTTGAAACTTCTAATTTAAAACATTCCTCGTCCGCCACTACTCGTTAAATACTATATATCTAGTGAGCGAGAGATGTATTTGGTAGAGACTTGCATCAATAGTACTCTTTGCAATGTATATGTTATACACGTGTATATATCACAGTCAGATCAATAAACCAGAGAACTACAAGTAAAACCGAAAACTTTCTTTTAATTTTTGAATTAAATGAATATTAACAAAAAAATAGGACGTCATTCACTTCTTTTTTTCTTTTTGCAAGTATAATTATCTAATTAAAAGTTAATAAGTATTGAAAAAAAATCAATGTCGAAAGTGTGACGTCTTTTTTTCTGATTCAAGAAATTTAACTAAATTTGAAAAAAATAGAAATTTTTGACTGAATATTATTTTTAGAATATGATTTATATTGTTTTTAATAATAATTACAATGCGGGAGATTATTTAAAATTACTCTCTATACTCTTCAGTGTTTTAGAAATATTAAACAATTTTTTGATTAAAGAAGAAAGAAAAAATTAGAAAAAAAAGTATTTTCAAAAATTGATAAAGTAGAAAAGGTAAATTAAATTAAAATTTTAAAAAATACTATAATTATCAGTTTATATTACAATTAGTGTATTTATGAGTTTGAAAATTAGTTTTTAATTTGAATCTTTAGTGTTGTTGATCGAAACAAATTTTTTTAAACTTCTATCACGAATTTCCGAAGTTTTTAGAGTAAATTTATTAAATGAAAACAAACTTACCATCATAGTCGACAGATCCATCTCCTTTTATTGGCGGTGCTGGTGGTGGTTTTCGATTATCAACAGGTGTACTTTCTGTCGATGATGAAGACGGTAATCTCTCGAGTTCTCGTCGCTTTCTGTGTTAAACAAATATTTTGTAAATTAAAAAGAAGAGAATAAATATTAAATTAAATTTCATGAATTTTAACCTTTATTCTTTTTTCTTTTAGTAATAATTTGTAAATTAAAAAGAAGAGAATAAATGTTGAATTAAATTTCATGAATTTTAATCTTTTTTCTTCTTTTAGTAATAATTTGATAATTCAATAATGTTTTGATAATCATTTGTAAGTACAAATTATTTAATTCTTTTTTATTTAATAAAGATAAATAAAATTAATAAAATAGAAAAATGTTTCTAAATTTTTTTTAATCAAATATGTTTCTAAAATTCTAAACGTTTATTATGCGTCAAGTACCAACAAAATTAATAAAAAAGTTTCTAAATGTTAAAAAGTACTTCATTTTTGTTAGGTACAATTAGTAATTATTTATGAAAATAATTTCCATTGAAAAAAATTTCGTTCATTTGCCGTTCAAAAATTGTTATAGCATAAATAATAATGAAAATAAAAAAATTGAATATTAATTTAAAAAGAAATTTTTAATTGGAAAATTATTAAAAAATTATCTAATTAATTAATTAAAATAAAATAATAATAATAATAATAATAATAAAATAAAAAGTGAAATGAAACAAAATGTAAGTAAATATTATGAAATTAAACACTGATCTGAAAAATTCAAATTTTATTAACGTTTCTTTAATTTTTATTCTTAATTATTTTAAGATTAAAATTTATTTTCTGAATTACGGAAATAAATAAAAAATGTATTCTTACGGAGGATGATAATTTTGAGCTGCTTGATGCGAAGGTACTGAAATATCATCTGCTGCATCGAAAAAATCTTCGTCCTCATCGGAAGATGAATAAGAGTATTCTGGTACTGGAAGATCTCTTCCCACAACTGGAATAATTAAAAAGAATTTTATCATTTTTCTAAATAAGTAGATATACAAAAAATAATTTGTTTCAAAATTGTATTAAAAATTATTTTCTTTTAATTTTTAAATAAAATTATTCAAATATTTTTAGTTTTTCATAAATTTTTGTTTTTACAAGTGTTTATTTTATTGAAAATTTTTCATTTTTAAATAAAAGTAGTTTCAAATATTTTAAATAAATTTAAGACAAAAGTAATTTAAATAAATTTAAGACTTAAAAATAATTTTTAAATAAATTTAAGACTTAGAAATAATTTTAAAAATAATTTTTGTATTAGAAAAAATTAGAATTATTGGAAAAATATTGGAAATGAAATAGAATTAATATCATTAATACTTCAAAGAGTTATTAATTTTTTCCAGAATTATAAGTTTCTAATTAAATAAAAAATGATTTACAAAATAAAATTAATTGCGCAGTAATGAACAATATAAAACGAACCTTTTGTTAAATTTGTAACCCTCGGCTCCACACATTCCGATCCTAATTCAATTCCCGTCTGTACAGTCAACTCTGGTTCCCCTTGAAAAAAATATAAATATATTAAATCACACTAATTATCGTTTGAAATTTAAAATTGTTTATTTCCTCAAATACAAAACATACCGAGTTTCAAATCCGTAGCAATGGGTTTGGTTGGACCTGTGTAAATCCCATTTACCGGAATAGCTGTATTCTGCAAGTAAATAAATTAATATTAATAATTTAAATGAAATTTAGCAAATTTAAATGAAGTTTAGCAAATTTCAATGAAATTTAACAAATTGAAATTAAAAATTTTAATTTAAAAGATAACAGATTTCTTTAATTAATTTAATGAAAAAAATTAGAATACATAAAAAGTTGATGAATATTGAAAGAGATTATGAAGACAATGAATCATGAATTATGTGCGCTTAATTTAAACACATCTCGTGTGCCGTGATCTAATAAATCTATGCTATTCATAATGTGACCCAAAAAAAAAGTTAATGATCATTTCTACAGATTGTGTATTTGAGAAAAAAATTCTTTTTCAAAACAATAACAATTAAATTAGTTCAGAGTAAATTTATTTTCACTTCACAAAAGTTAAAATTAAATTCTAAAATATATTAAATTTTTAGTTTATTATTTATTCTATTTACTTTAAATTTCAATCACAGAAAGAATTTCTCCTTTGTAAATTGAATTTTGCTTTTATTATAATTTTGTTCTTATTATATTATTATTTATTCTTATTACATATTATTTATTTATTTCAAAATTTATATATTCAACCAATACAAGACTTGACTTTTTTATTTTATTGAGGAAATTAAGAAATGCAAAATAAATAATTAAAATTTAAAATTGAAAGCCTAAAAATTAATTTGATCTTTACATTGATTAATAAGAAAAATACCTTGGCAATTTGTAATTGAACGATCATGTGCTTGACGGAATTAAGCATTGCATTTGCTTGCTTCAAAATTTCCTCATATCTCTGTTCATTAGTCTCATCTCCTTCGGGCACTGACTGCTGCTTTTGCTCAATTAATTTAATTTGATCGATCAGCAATTGAAGATAAGCGTCAGCCTCTGCTACTTTTCGATCGAAATCTTGCTTTGGCAGTAATTTGTTTGGATCCCAGCGCTTAAATAAACAAAAGAAATTCTATTAATATGCAATATTATCAACAATAAATGCAAATTTTTCGAATTTAATAATAATTATTAATTTTAATATTTAATTAAAACCATGTGTGTAATTTTTTCATAATTACAATTATAAGCAAATTTTTAATTTAATATTTTATAATCATGTGCAAATATTGTAAAAATTCAAAACCCATTAATTTTTTTTTCTAATTACTAATTTAAATAAGCAAATTTTTAAAGATTATATATTTATACATATAAATTATGTGTAAACTTTCCGTCTCGTGTGCAAAATATTTTTTTGTTTTGTTTTAAATAGTTTCAATTTAAATTTATAAAATATTAAAATGTTGTTTTACATATTGGAACAGTGAGGAGAAAAATAAAAAAGAGTCTCTCGTGAAACTTACTGCATGTGAGTGTCGTAAAATTGTATCCTCAAGAGCTCGAACCCAACGTTCGCGTTCTTCGCCGTTTCGTGTTTGAAAGTGAAAAGTCTTTGGATCGTCTTTCTGTGATGATGTTGTGATAGTAAAAGTACTATCATCTTCATCATGAATTCCAATTACGGCGCCTCTTAAACGAACACATCCTCTGCGTGCCCCTCGCATCATTTTTTCCTTACTCTGAAACAATAATTGTGTTTATTAGAATTTTTTTCAAAATTTTCCTTTTTTTTTTTTTACTTTGAAACATTATTGTATTTATTAGAATTTTTTTCTCAAACATTTTTTTCATTTCTTTACTCTAAAACATTATTTTATTCATTAGAATTTTTCTTTTTCAAAATTTATTCTAAACAGAATTTTATTTTAAGTACAATATTTTAATAGAAAAAAGTAAATTTTTGTCAATTTAAGTAGAAGGGAGAAATTGATAAATTTCTATTTATATATAAAATTAAACATACGTTTTCAATAAATTTAAAGCTGCCGTTAAATATTATTTGAAAGACAGCGTCTAACTTTAAAAAGCAACTTCATTAAATTTGAAGAAGTCTTCTCACTAGTCAGTAAACGTACACTTTGAACTCTAACTTGAATTGTTTTAAAAGCCAAGTTAGAACGTGTTTTTTACGTATGTATTAATTACGTTAGCACCGAGTAAAAACAGGTGTCAATTTTAATTAAATATTAGACTTGGCTTACAAATCATACCAGACAATCTTTTCAACTCCAAGATTGTCTCTTTCATTTGTTTTTTTATGCAAATTAAAAATCAATCTATCCAACTGGTACTATAATTCATTAAAAAAAAATTAATTAAAAATAAGAACAAATTTTCAGTGATAAATAAAATACTATAATTAACACTGAAAAAAAAATTAACACAAAAAAAACAAATTAACACAAGAAAAAAAACTAACACTAAGAAAAAGACAAAAATTAACATTGATCATAAACAAAGTTTTTTTTTGAAAAATTATCTAATTGCGAAAGAAATTTCACTTTCCTTTATAAAATAAAAGAGTCAAAAGTCATACTCTGAATTTATTTAAAATCTAATGAAAATTCCTATATATGAATTTTAAGTACACAAAAAATTAAACAATACTGAAAATGTTCAAAAATTTATAAATTAGAAGATATATTTTTATATTTACGAAAAGAAGAAAAAAAGAAAAATAAATTCGATTTTGAAAAATTGAACAAAATTTTTTTTTCCTATTTCTTTTTTCCTTTTACATTTCACGCCTAGATTTATTAGATTGTTTTTCTATTGAAAAATTCAAATGGAGTCTAAGGTGAAAGGGCAAGTATTTAGTATTCCTTTACGGAACTATGCGAGTTGTATGAATATATCCAAAATCGGTTGCATATGCATTAAGCATGATCGGCAATTCATATATAAGTTGATTCCCAAATTAACAAGGTTTTCACAAATCACCTAGTGATCAGCGACACGAGTGAGCGCGGTCTAACCGCGTAAAAAAAATAGTTTTTCTAGATTTTACTTTTTAAGTGTTAAGTAAATAAAAAATAATAAAAAAAATAAAATAAAATGGGTTTTACGGATACTTATAATTATTATTATTATGAAAAAGCAGGTGAGTAAAGAAATAAAAATGATTTGCTATTTACTGAAGAGAAAAGTGATTTAAAAAAATGTAAATTAATAAAAATAATAATAAAATGAAATTAATAAAATGATGTTAATAAAAATAATTAAAATTAAAACGACAATAATAAAATTAATGATAGAATAACAAAATAAATAAAAAGAGTTGCTATTTAGAGAAGCAATTTTGGTAAACAAAATTAATAAAAAAAATTAAGATAAAATTAATAACAAAATAAATAATAAAATAAATAATAAAATAAATAACAAAGTAAATAATAAAATTAATAACAAAATAAATAATAAAATAAATAACAAAGTAAATAATAAAATTAATAAGAATTATGAATTAATAAGTAAAATTAAATTAATAAGAAAATAGAAGTAGAAATTAAAAATTAAATTAGTTATTAAATATTAAAAAATGTAGAAATTAAAAAGCGATGAAAATATTAATTATGGAAATTGTTTCAGATACTCGGGTGACAGACTGGCTGTTTATGGGCAGTCCATGGCCAATGATATTGATATTATTTAGTTATTTGTATTTTGTATTTCAATGTGGTCCACGTTATATGAAAAATCGACCCGCTTACGAATTAAAGACTTTCATTAAGTTTTATAATATTTTTCAAATTGTCTCCAATGCTTATCTAGTCAAAGAAATTCTTGTTGTTCATCCAGATGCAGTTGCTTTACGTTGCTTGCCAATTGATTATTCAAATAATCCAGATTCAGTTCGCGTGAGTCTCTACTTTATTAATTTACTAATTTAAATCATTAGCGAACAGCGTTAAATTAATTTAGTCAATTAGTAAATATATTATTAATTCAATATTCATTAATATCAATAAATTTATTCATTAATATCAATAAATTTATTCATCAATATCAATAAATTTATTCATTAATATCAATAAATTAATTCATTAATATCAAAAAATTAATTCATTAATATCAGAAAATGAATTCATTAATATCAATAACTTAACTTATTGTAGTAACAAAAAATAATTTCCAGATGGCCAGAACGACGTATCTCGTATTCCTATTGAAATTAGTCGATCTCATTGAAACTGGAATGTTCGTGTTGAGAAAGAAAAATAATCAAATATCGTTGTTACATCTTTATCATCATTTTACAACTGCTTTGGTGGCTTGGATTTCAACGAGATATATTGCTGGCGGAATGGCAGTATTTTATCCTGCAATGAATTGTTCTGTTCACGTTATAATGTATACATATTATCTTTTGAGTACCACAGATAGCATGAAACGTTTGGTTCTTCCTTTCAAGCGTTACGTTACAATTATTCAAATGGTAAGAAAGATTAATTTTACTTTCAAAATTTGAAATATTTAGCACTGATTTTAATTTTTCTGTTTCAGGTTCAATTTGTCATTTTAATATTCCATGCAGTGATAGCGGCCTTCCCATCTTGCGATGTTCCTAAAATACCAGCGTATTTAATGATTTTAGATGTATTATTAAATTTCAATTTATTCTATAATTTTTATAAGAGGACTTACTTAACGCCTAAAAAGAAAAAAGAATAGACTATATATATAAGTTAAAATTTGTAAATATAAATTATTTAAAATAATTCACTTCTCCTTTCATTTCCTTCTACAATCTTTTTTGAATTTTTAGAAACTTTTCGTGACAAAGATTACATTGAAATACTTTCAATTGATATGTTTTTTTAGTCACATGACTGAAAATTACGTAAAATTCACGAAGTTGAAGTCCACAACGTTTATCAACGAAAAAACTTTATTTAATACATTCAAGTATTATTTTTAATTTAATATTTAATTGTAAAATAATTATTGTCAAAATATAAACATCAATCTTTTTTTTCTAAATATTTTTGTGACAATATTGCTCCGTGTTTTTAATTAATTTACTAAGTAAACAATTTTTTTTCGTTGATCAACGTTGTGGACTTCAACTTGGTTAAAATTCGATAAATTTTAGCCAAATTTACAAAATCGAAAATATTTATAATAGTTTAATTATTAAAATAAAATTAATTCGGTTCTGAATTACAATGTTCGATTTAGAGTAAACTTTACTGTAAATGACAGAATGCTAATTAATGTCCAAAAGGCGTTGCCTAATTTCGAAATACATAAATTCTCCAAAAGACTTCGAAGAGTTGACAAAATTATAATTAAAATTCCAAATTGACAATTTTCGCATTTACGAAATAATATTTTCTATCTAAAAGTACGTCTTGTTTGTTACAATCAGTTTTTATTTTGTACTTTTACGTACATTTGTTAATTATTTTGCATGAAAATCTCATAAATAAAAACAGGTGCAAAAGGTCAAATCAGCTGATTGTCAGAAAGTGTAACTTTGATTATATAGAATTACTTTTTAAATTACATTTACAATTAAATGAAAAATTATTTAAATCTGCGATAAATGAACAATTTTCTGAAAAATCAATTTCAAAACAGAGGGAATGTAAATTTAAAAAAAGAAAAACAATATACTGAAGGAGAAAAATCTTATCTGACAGTTCAAGTATATGTATATGGCGTTCATTATTGTTTTTCAAAGATAAAATACTCACTGTATAATAAGATAAAAGTCCAGCATTATCATCCAAGACGAACCATCGATATTGCCATCCGTTAACAACATTAGTCCATTTACTAAGTGAACCTTCCATTGTCGACATTTTTCTTGTGAACATTATTGTTTCAGTTGTTTCATTAAACTTCGACATGACACATAACCTCTACTTTGTATACATGAACACTGACAAGTATATACATACAACACAAGTGTTGCCAACTTTTTCTTTCAAGGTTTCACATAATTTCCTTATAAGGTAAACAAATTCTTAATTTCAGATCTTCTCTCAAAATAAAAATATATTTATACTAGAAACAATATTTTTTATTTTTGGCTAATTACAATTCTCACCTATCTGCATTTTTGTCTGTATACTAAAAATGTTTAATTCAAAATATTTATTATCATTTGGAAGATTAGTTTTATATAGGATTGAAAGATATACTAGTTATTATAATTATACTTCTTATTAATATTATTACTATTATTATTATTTTTCTTATTTTTTTTTATTTTTCTTATTATTATTATTTTTATTGTTATTAATTAATTATAATTAATTATCTATTTCTAAGTTTTCGGTTAATTTGAATTTCGTGACAGGACAAAAATGAATAGACCAATCAGAAACTGGTAATTTCAGTTAAAAATTACCTTCCTAGATGGAGCTTTTAAAGTATGAAATAAAATTCTTATTTAATTAATAATGAAATGTTAATTTATAAACAAAAATAAGTTAAAAATTTTATTTCTATTTTTTGTATAATTTTTTATTCCATTTTATTATTGGAAAATGAATTTTTTGGGGAAATAAAAAGTGTATTTGAAAATTAATTTTCTTACGATTGGCTAATCTGAGACAGTTTTCGCGGTAAATGATAGCAACCCAGAGTAAGACGCCGAGGCACGCACGTCGCATCGTTTACGAGGGACAAATAAGTAAGATTTTTTCTGTTTTTTATCGAAAATATTAATCCAAATTTCCCTTCTAATCTTGTCTGATAACGCCTATTAATCTGTGAAACAAGTGTTTATAAATTTTGTGCAACTTTATTAACGAAATTTTGACAATACTTGTTCGCACAACGTTACCCGGCCTCTTTACCGCCATTTTGCTATTCTTAGCACTCGGTATTTCTGTTATTCGGTAAAAATTCATTTTTCTTTGATTCTTTTCATAATGACAATAATCGTTTACAGTGCATTGTATTTAAGGAATTATTTGTTCAATTTTCGCTTTTCTTGTTAGACAGGTAGAAAGGGTGCATACTTAAGTTTCTTTTGTGGTCCATTGTCAAACACGACAAACGAAAATGCTTTTATACATTCTCAATTGTGTGATTGACTTTGTATATTTTTTTTTCTCTTCACATAAAGACAGTCATTTTGTACAATTTTTCTTTGTAATTATTACTGTTATTAATACCCAGTTTTATGATTTTATTTTTATGACTAGTGTTTGATAATTTTCATTTATAATTGTCTGCATGATTTACTTTTTGGCACCTGCGTGGTATTGTAAAACGCATTTTCACAATTGTGAAAATAATATTATTAATATCATTGTTATCTGTATAATAGATAGAAAAGTAAATAATCGTGACTTCATCATTTTGTCAAATTTCAATGATCCATTTATTAATTTATACAATATTTCCCGAAAATTGAAAGGTTATTTTTAGGTTATGTTTCTCGAACTCTATTGTTTCCCGTTAGAACTTTGAAAGCACGAATCCTACAAGTGTTAGATTCAAAATATTATGAAAACAAAAATCAATCAAGTTTATAAATTGTAACAATATTATGAAATTTTACAAGTGTGAGAATTATGTTACGATTAAGTATTTGTAATGATATGGATATTTTTCAGAAATAGAAAAAAATGAACAAATCGAAGGATTCACCAAATACTGAGCCAGAAACTGAAGAGGAATTCAGTGTGGAAAAAGTTCTGGATAGACGAGTTGTTAAAGGAAAGGTAAACAAAAAGATTAATTTATTGAAAATTATTAAAATTTTGAATTGTAATTGTAAAAATTGTAATTAATTTGCTGCTTTTTTCAGGTGGAATATTTCCTTAAATGGAAGGGTTATTCAAATGATGAGAATACATGGGAACCGGAGGAAAATCTCGATTGTCCGGATTTAATCGCTCAGTTTGAGGAACAACGTAAAAAGAAAGAAGCTGCAGCTGCTGGAAAGCGACACGAGGATAAGGAGAAAAAGAGAAAGAGTTCCTCGACGCCAACTCCGACGCAAGCTAAAAAGAAAGCCCCAGAGGAAAAGAAAGCCGAAGGTAAGACAATTTTATTTTATTTGCAAATGCATTAATTCAAAAAATTGTTTCAAAAATGAATTAAAATATTTCTTTTTGATTCAATAAAGTACAATTTGTTTAATAAATTTTTCTTTTGCAGGCTTCGATAGAAACTTAGATCCGGAACGCATTATTGGTGCAACTGACTCAAGTGGTGAACTTATGTTTTTAATGAAATGGAAAGGAACCGACGACGCCGATTTGGTGCCCGCGAGAGAAGCGAATGTAAGATGCCCTCAAATTGTGATTAAATTTTACGAGGAAAGGTTGACATGGCACAGCCCGGCACATGACGAAGAGGGAGCGACGAAACCCGATCCAGAGTAGCATTTTTCATCATTAAATTTTAAAAAAAACTCAGCATTACTTGTAATGCAAAACATTTTTTTTTTTTTTGACTTCATATTGTTAAGAGAAAAACTGAATGTATCTTTTTTTCGTAGAGAGAAAAGAACACAAAATCATGACATTTCAGTTTGTATTCAACATTTAACCATTTTTTTTATATATATAATTATATTTTTTAAATAAAATATTGTTTTTCCTAATTAATTTCTCGCGTTTTTTTTTTGGTTTACAATCCAGTTCACCGAATGAAAATACTCCAATTAGTTTTTTGCTCCACTCAAATATTTTATAGAATAAAAGAAAAGTGGTTGAATGATGTTTAAAGATATGTTGTGCTTTTGTGAATGTTTTCTTTTCTTTTGCATATATTACATTATCAAAAATTTAAAATGTAAAAACTTCACATTAATCGATTTAAGTGTCGATATAATTGTGATTTTTAAAGTTTTGTTTGACGGCGAAAAATTGTTTCAGAAAGAATTTTTTGTACTTGAACTTAAATGAGAGAAGAAGAAATATCTAAACTTTGAATTATAGTTAAAGGAAAAAAAGAAAAATACTATATCGAGCGAAATTATGTTGTGAAAATTTGATTATAAGTTTATGTCTTGTAAGGTGTTTATTATTATTTTTCTGCATAATTAAGAATTTAATTTTATATGTTCATTGAAATATTCAGAGTTTAGAGACATTCGCCCGTTTAGAATCAGAATCGTACGAGTGTGATGTTTCCCATTTATTTCCAAAAAAAAGAGGAATTTTTTAAAAATGTACACTTAAGTCATTTAATTTTTTCTTTCAAATTTCAACTATATCTGTAAATTTGAAAACTAATGATATTGATATTAAATGATAGTTTCCAAGTAAAAGGCGTAGTGTAGTTTATCCAGTGCTTTTTTTATTTCACGAAAATTATTTTAATATTCTCATTAATTTTCTTATGTAATAAAGTAGTTCTATAATAAAATTACTCTATTTTTATCCTCCTTTTTGATTTTTATTTATTATTTAAAAAATCTAATATATAATATGAAAGTGTACTTTCTGTAAAAAGGAAACAATTTTTTTTTTATATAGACATAAAATTATATACAATTGTTAACTGAAAAATCGATTTTAATATTTTTCTGGAATTTTTTTTACATGTTGAAATTAGATAATTTTAATTAATCTACTTTTTTCTATCTCTTTTGTTTTTTTGTATTTTTCTTACTGTTGGAAAAATTTTTTCTCTTCTGTTTTTTACCAAAATGAGAACGTTGATTTTTCTTTGCCTCCCATTTCAATTGTTTGGGACCAGCACCATCGACAGCAGTCATTGAATTACTTGCTCCGTGTTTTGTTTTCGAATAGCCCTGTTCCTCCATCATTTCAGCAAACTTCTCTGCTGACATAAATACATTTTCATTTGATTCTTTTGAATTTTTCTTACCAAATTTCTTTTGGGAATTTTTCATCAATGACAATTCTTCACGAATTGCGTCATCGTCTGAATCTTCGTCATTAAAATCAATGTCACTGTAATCATCATCCATATTTTCCATATCATCATCATCATCATCGTCTTTATTTTCCATATCATCATCGTCCATGTTTTCCATATCTTCGTCTTCGAAATCATCACTGAAATCTTCATTTTCATTATCAAAATCTTCCTCCTCGTCCTCTACGTCACTTTCGTCTTCGTCGGAATTGCCTGCAATGAAAATTAATTCAATTATTTTCAAAAGTAAAAAAATTCTTCGCAGAAATTCAATTATGTTCAAAAATTTTTAAAAAATGCTTGTCAAAATTTTAATTATCTTTATAAATAATAAAATTCTTCTCCGAAATTCAATTATTTTCAAAATTTTGAATAATCTTGGCAAAATTTCAATTATTTCCAAAAATTTTCCTCAACTCAATGACTTTCAATATCTACTATTTTAATAAAATTTTCCAAAAGAATTCAATTATTTTTATAAATATAATAAAATTCTTTCTTATAATTCAATTATTTCCAAAAATAATAACATTTTTTATAGAGATTCAATTATTTCCATAAATATAATAAAATTCATCCTAGGAATTCAAATATTTGCAAAAATAATCAAATTTTCTACAAAATTTCAATTATTTCCAAAAATTTTATTAAAATTCTTGTCAAAATTTAAATTATTTTCAAAAATTTTTCTCAATTCAATGATTTTCAATATCTATTATTTTAATAAAATTTTCCAAAAGAATTCAATTATTTAAAAAAAAATTTGATAAAACTCTACACAAGCATATAATTATTTTCATAAATATAGTAAAATCCTTTCTAAGAATTCAATTATTTTTATAAATAATAAAACTCATCGCAAAATTTCAATTATGTTTAAAAATTGAAAAAAATTCCCGTTCAAATCCTAATTATATTTATAATAATAAAATTCTTGACAAAATTTCAATTATCTTTAAAAAATAATAGAATTCTTCTCTGAAATTCAATTATTTTCAAAAAATTTTAATAACACTTTTGGCAAAATTTCAATTATTTTCAAAAATTTTCCTCAGTACAATGATTTTCAACATCTATAGTATTTTAATAACATTTTCAAAAAGAATTCAATTATTTTTAAAAAATTATAATAAAATTCTTCGCAAACATTTAATTATTATCATAAGTAATAGATATTTCACAGAAATTCAATTATTTACAAATCTTTTATAAATTTTTTCGCAATAATTCAATTATTTTCAAAAATAATAAAATTTTTTAGAGAGATTAATTATTTTCATAAATATAATAAAATTCTTCCTAGGAATTCAATTATTTTAAAAAATAACATTTTTTATAGATTCAATTACTTTCATAAATATAATATGTTTCATCCTAGGAATTCAATTATTTCCAAATCTTTTATAAATTTTTTCGCAATAATTCAATTATTTTCAAAAATAATAAAATTTTTAGAGAGATTCAATTATTTTCATAAATATAATAAAATTCATCCTAGGAATTCAATTATTTGCAAAAAAAAAATCAAATTTTTTACAATATTTCAATTATTTACAAAAATTTTATTAAAATATTCTTGTCAAAATTCAATGATTTTCAATATCTACTATTTTAATAAAATTTTCCAAAAAAATTCAATTATTTAAAAAAAATTTTGATAAAATTCTACGCAAACATTAAATTGTTTTTATAAACAATAACATTATTTACCGAGATTTAATTATTTTCATGAATATAATAAAATCCTTTCTAAGAATTCAATTATTCTTATAAATAATAAAACTCATCGCAAAATTTCAATTATGTTTAAAAATGGAAAAAAATTCTTATCTAAATCCCAATTATCTTTAATATAATAATATAATAAATTCTTGACAAAATTTCAATTATTTTCAAAAATTTTCCTCAATTCAATGTTTTTTTATACAATTTAATCGAATTTCTCGAAAAAATATGTAATTATTCTTAAAAATTTTATTAAAATTCGTCAAAAGACTTGAATTATTAAATAAATTATTTATTTTTGTATTTAGATAATTGAACTCTAGTAGAATTTTCCAATAAAAATTACCTTTCTTTTTACTTTTCCTGGGAACAATGTCTCCGGCAATATCCAATTCTTCTAAATTGTCATTATCGGCAAGTCCGTCCAACATGTCATTAAATTCTTCGCTATTGACACTTTCATTATCTTCGTCGTCCTCATTGTCTTCGCCCTCTTTCTTGACAAAATCTTTCCTCTTCTTTAAAAATTGATAAAGAAAGAGTTCATCCACCGGAATACGATCTTCGCGTTCATTTAAATAGGCCTCGCTGTCGACGGGTACCGATCGCATACCCTGAGGAACGTAACCAGCTCTTTGTGCAAGTGGATCACCTTTCCTCGTCACTTTCTTGTTCTCCAATTTTTTCGGATTTTTGAAAACGTACCGATCTAGAAATCGAATCAAATTCAAGTCCTCCAATGGATCTCCAGAGTAGTCTATACATTTTCCTGAGAAAAAATTGATTTCTTTTAGTTAAATGATAGTATTATTGTTAAATTGTAGTTTTATAGTTTAAATTTCAAAAAAAAAATATAATAAAAATATTAAAATTTTATGCTGAAGTTGTTTTAAATTAATTTCCCACCTTCTTTAATATTGTTCGCAAAAAGTGCAACACTCGGATGAAAATGATTAACAAGCGCTAAAAGTTCATAGTAAAATGTATTATTCGCTCCAGAACCCAACGGATTACGACAAAATGGATTATACTCCTTGTCGGGATCGAATTCCTCCTTGATTGTTATTTCTTCCTTAATTTCAATCTCACTATTTTTCGTACTAATATTCGAATTGTCGACGATAACATTTGAGATTACAATATTATTTCTCTCTGTTTCGTCATTTTCTGTTTCACTATTTTCTGAATCTTCTGAATTGTCATTTTCTTCCTCTCTGCTGGATTCTTTCGTTTTCTCGATTTTAATTTCAGGCTCGATGCAGGACATAATATTGTGTGCACCTTTTTTTGAATTTAAAACCTGAGAAACTACGTAGAGAGTCGCACACGCCATATTCGCTGGATAGTATAAAATAATTTGAAAAATTCTTTTTATATAAGCCTTAAGACGAATTGTACTTTGATCGTTCTTCATTACACGGTATAATAAATTTAGAAAAATGGCACGTTTATTGCCGACACCTATTTGTGGATCCAGTAATTTTCTATAGAAGGCGGAATAAAATCTGTTTAATTGTTGTTCATTCTTTCCGACCACCTGAAAGAATTCGAGAAATTTTTTAAATTCTTCTTAAGTAAATAAATAAATAAAATATCTATTTTAAAATTAATAGTCAAGATAATCTTAAGATTAATAAAAAATTATAATCCATATTAATAATCGTTGTATTCCGGTAATCTGTTCGCAGTTTGAAGTCAGTTGCTGTTTGCTTTTTTTATTCCTAACATTTTAAATAATTTCTCTTTTTAAATGTTTAAAATTTAATAAATTCTTCGACATAATTCAATTATTTTTAAAAATACAAGAATTTTCGGTGGAATTCAATTATTTTAAATACAATTTTAATTGAATTCCAGGGAAAATTAAATTATTTTTAAACATGTTTTTTAATTTCATCAAAATAATTCAATAAAATTAATAAATTTAGTAAATTTTTCACAGGAATTCAATTATTTTAAATACAATTTTAATTGAATTCTTGTCAAAAATTCACTTATTTTTTTCAATTTTGCAAAAATTCAATTATTTGTTGAAATAATAAATTTTTTCGCAGGAATTCAGTTATTTAAAAGAGTTTTAATAAAATTCTATTCAAGAATTCAATTATTTTCAGAAATAATTAAATTGTTGATGTACTAAAAATCATTGAATTCTTGTAAAGTATTTACAAAAAAAAAAAATGAAAATAATTGAATTCAATTTAAGAATTCCATCAAAATTTGTTTCAATAATTGAATTCTTGCGAGAAAAATGTAATTAAAATTCTTGGAAAGAAAGGAGTTTTTTCAAATAAGTTTTACTGAAAACTTTAAAAATAATTGAATTTTAAGTTTTTAAAATAATTGAGTTTATTATTAATTGTAATTAATGATTTTCCTATTAAATTGTATTAAAATTATTCTTAGAAAATTAAATTCTTTTAAACAATTTTATTAGAGTTTTTGTAAATAATTACATTTTTTTCTGAAGAATTTCATTAAATTTCGTAAAAATAATGTAATTTTTTGATAAATTTTTATTTTTTTACTAATTTGTAAATTTTATTAAAATAAATTAATTTTAATTGAAAATAATTGAAATTTACAAAGAATTTTATTAAAAATTTTTGAGAATAATTGAATTGTTTAAAAAAAATTTATTACAATTTTGAAAAATAATTGAACCTGTTAAAGAAACTTTATTAAAATTATCTTGAATATAGTTGAATTTTTTCCTAGAAATTTTATTAAAATTGTATTGAAAATAATTGAATTTCTCAGAAATATTTTATTATTTATAAAAATAATTGAATTCTTGCCAAGAATTTTCCATTTTTTAAAAAGAATTGAATTGATTCGAAGAATTTATAAAAATTGTTGAAAATAATTGGATTTATATTAAAACTCTTGAAAATAATTGAATTCAACTAATATTTTTTAAAATAATTGTGTTCTTTAGAGAAATTTTATTAAAATTGTATTGAAAATAATTGAATTCCTTCGAAATATTTTATTATTTATGAAAATAATTGAATTTCTTTGTAGAATTTTATTATTTATTAAAATATTTTAATTCTTGAGAAGAATTTTCTTATTTATGAAAATAATTAAATATTCTTGGGGAGGATTTTACTATTCATAAAAATAATTTTATTGGTTCGAAGGATTTTATCTGAATTTTTGAAAATATAATATTTTTTAATTTACAAAATAATAAGAAATAGAATACTGAGTTCTGCGCACTGGCGCGCGTATCATTTGCTAGTACTTTAATATTTTGGAATATTTTTTGAATTTCTTACCTGAAAGAGAAGACTGAGAGCATTTAGGGACACATTGAAAGATCCGACATGAACGACTTTATAAAGGGAATCAATATGATCATTGAGCTTTTGTGATTCGACTTTTGAGAAACGATAGGCGCGATTAACACCCGTTAAAATTGCAGCCATCATTCGACTGTCGGGTTCACCCTTCTTGAGACTCGCTTTAAAGAACGAAAAATAGACGTCAATTAAATTATTTGCCGTTTCCGTGTCTTCACGATCCAATACAAATTGCGTGAGGAGACAAATTGCATAATATTGTGCCCTCGACGATACATTGTTTCGAAATAAAAGTTTTTCCACTTCACGAAGAACAATAACTTTCATATTTGAATGTTCGAATAGTAATTTATTCAAACAGAATATCACCTTTGATGCGACTTTATTACTGGGATCGCCAATTTTATTTACCAGAAAATCAAGTAATTTGTGTTCTTGTTCTCCATTTCCCATTAAAAGATCATTCATAACTGCAACAGCTTTCTCACGATTTGAATCGACAGTGTTCGATGCAATTTGTGAGAGGGAAATGATAAATTTTTCATAGATTTCCTTCAGTTGATCTTCAAAATACCAATGGGCGAGTAATTTATTTTTTGACATAAAAGGAACACCTTTCTCATGTTTAATTGTAATTCCAATATTATCAAGTTTGTCTAAATCTTGTTCTTCGAATTTTATTAATTTGTAGTTTGGATGAAGTAAATCGGAGAGAAAAAGATCGCGAAGTGCTGTGATTATTGTGCTGCATTGATTTTGCTTTGATGCTTTTACTTGACCGATGAGTGATGTTAAACGTGATAAATTATGTTTTGGACTGTCTTGTATTAAAACAATGCTGGCTGCAACTTTATCCGAACTTGTTCCTTGTGATAGAGCAGTTTTAAGCCATCCATATTCTGAATTTTTCGATTTTGATTGTTTCAATTGATAGGCAGTTGTTTCTGCTTCGAGAAATCTTTTAGCCTCGGCTTTTAAATCCATTACAATGATTTCTGTCTTTGAGTGAGTACATGATTTTTGTGTTTTTGGATATTCCTCGTACCATTTTTTATTTGTCGATGGAGCCAAATAATCGGCAACAGTCTTCATCTAATTGCAAAAATTAATAGAAATTTTCATATTTAAAGGGTTTGAAATTATTCTTAAATTTAATTTACAATACTAATAAATAAATTACAATCATTTACTTAGAGGCTATTTAAATCATTTTAATATTAATTTAAGGCTATTTCCTTAATTTAATAACATACAATATTTATAGGTTAAAAAAAATAACCTCCAAAATTGGAGTAAAACGATTTTTTTAAGTTGTAATTCACGTATATAATTAAAAGTAAACGACATTAGAAAGTAGAATTATTTGTTATTTTAATTAATGTTAAGTATCTTAATAAAAACTTACATTTTGCCAAGATAAATAATATTTCACGTGGTGTATACTTTTTACGCTTTACCACCCGTATCTTTCTGTGTATAAAGGTACCGACTAAGGTTTGATGACGGTTGTTGTAATGTCTCGCTTGACCGGTAGGGCGGCGCTGTGATTCGTCTGCCTGACAATAATATGGCTATATATTGTTTTTGGCGGTAAATTGCAGTAAACTGTCAATAAAGATCGCCGAAAAAAATTTTGTTAGCAGAGTTAATTTAAAATTAGCTTTTTAAAATTTTATTATTGAGTACTATAAAGCCAAAGTGATTATATTATGGCATTATCGGCAGGATATAAAGGACACAGATGTGTTGTTCCGAACTGTAATTCTGGATACGATTCCTGCAAAGAAAAAGTTCATCTTTTTTCAGTTCCAAAGGAGGAAGAACTTCGAAAAAAATGGGAGAATGCTATCCCTCGGGCAAATTTTATTTTAAAAAGTGGATTAGTGGTGTGCCACAAACATTTTTTACCCGAGGAAATAATCACGAAACGTGAGGTTAAGGACCCCCAGGGAAATGTTATGGCATCGGTTTGTTTACCTTTTATATTTTTAATCTTTTGTCACTTTTGTTTCGCAATTTTGTGTTGTTTGAAATAATTTTTAATTATTAAAGTTTAAAATTAAAAGTCAAAATTACTGCAAGGTAATTTATTTTTTTATTTTTAAAAATTGCGACTTTTCCTCAAAATATTACAATAAAATACTACCCATTTCTTGATATAAAAAATATATTTCGATTTTTATAGTGTGAAAACTAACTATAGACAAATATTCCAAAAATTATTTTTAAATAATATATTTTTTAAATAATTAAATTATAATATGATTAAAAATTTTTTGAATATAGTTGAAATTTTGTAAAATTTAATTTAAATTAATTGAATTGTCGAACATTTCAATAAAATATGTTTAAGTATAAATTTAAAAATGAAAATTATCGTTCAAGAATTATATTAAAATTACATATTCCCAAAAATTCAAATACATACAAGAAGTAATAACATTAAATTTGTTTAGAATATTTTTAACAACTTGGAGTAAACAATCATATTCAAAATTTTTAATTAAAAATTATTCAAAAAATTAATTTTTTTTAAAATCATAGAATAATTCTTTTAAAAAATTCAATTATTTTTAAAAAATTACATTACAATATGTTTAAGAAACTAATTTTTAAAATTTACTTTTTTATGTCGTTAAAATTTCAGAAAAATAATTTTTAATATTATTAATTAAATTTTTTTATATTTTAAAGTTGTCTGTAGTTATATTCTTTTTTTATTAAAAATTGTTTTATTTTTTACAGGAGACTTTAAAAAAGCCTTATCCAGTTAAAGGAAGCGTACCAAGCCAATTCCCCAATTGTCCGGCATATTTATCTAAACCAATGAGGAAAAGAAAAAAACCTAAAGACAGGTCTGCTTTAGACGGAAACTTTAAGAAGAAACGAAAGAATAACAAGGAGGACCATGTCAGCGATTTAATTAACGAAAATTGTGATAATGCCGTTGAGATAAATTATTTAAATAGCCAACCTTCGGAAAAAACATCTGAGAACACTGATATAATTCATGATACAGGATTACCGGAAAATGTCGAAACTTTTCAAAATGATACCAACCATAGTGCAGAGGATTTGAACTCACCTTTGAATGATGATTCATCAGAATTTAATTTAACATTAATAGAGCGACAGAGGGTCTTTGATGAAATATTTAACAATAAAAACAGTATTGACATTACAGGCGGGTGGAATCGTCGACAAGTTGAGGAAAACTTTAAGTGCATCGAAATTACAAAATGCATTTCTCGAAAAGTGCAAAATACAATTAAATTTGTTAGTTCGAAAAAAATAATATTACTCCCTGACTTGGAAATTCAAATTGAAATTTCCGGAATACCTGTTTCTATAGATAAAGTTGGTCTAGAAAATAACATTTCTAGTGTAAAAGATATTGAAAATGTAATGATAACATTAGACAATATCAAAACTTGTACGGGTTGTGCAGAATCAAATGCAACTAGAAATGTGGAGACGTCTGTTGCAATGCGAGATTGTAATGGAGTTTTACGCCATTTTAAGTGCCCTGTGGTCATCACTGAGAGCAATAAAATATCACGTTGTAAATTCTGTGCAAGCACTAGAAAAGTTCTCTCGAATAAATATATGAGATTGAAAAAACATAAACAAATGAAGCAATTAAACCTGAAATTGTCAAATCCTGCAGAACAGAAAAAACTTATGACAATGAGAACATTGTATTACAAAGCTCAACGAAAAAAAAAATTTTATCAGGACAAATATCGTGATTGTGTTTCAGAATTAAGTAAATGTCAAAAAGAAATGTCGTCATACACAGATGAAAAAATAGAAGAAAAATTATTAAATCATAATATAAGTATTAATGAAAGACTCGTCATAAAGGAAATTTTAAAAAGTTCAAAACATGATAACAAAAAGGGTAATCGATATTCACAAGAGTGGATTTTGCAGTGTCTATTATTCCACATGCGATCCCCGGCTGCGTATAGGATGTTGAGAGACGCTAAACTATTACCTCTTCCTTGTACGAGTACTATTAGGAAGTAAGTACTGTATTCTCTAATTTTATATTATTAATATTTATTGTATTTTAAATAATATTTCATAAAATAATTTTGTTTTTAAAATAGATATTTATCTTTGGTTGATACACCGTGTGGATTTGATTCCAACTATTTGGAATTATTTTCGGAGCACTTGGCAAAACTACCTGAATTACTACGACATGGCATCTTACTTTTGGATGAAATATCGACAAGGAAGAATGTTCGATTAAATACCAAGACGATGGAATTTTCAGGGTTGACTGACTTTGGTGACAATAATTCAACGACCACTGTAAACGAGCAGGCCGACCATGGCCTTGTTTTGATGTACCACCCCTTAATGGAGTCGTTTGCCCAGCCAATTGCAGTATGCACTTCAAAAGGCCCAGTATCTGGAGAGAATTTATCAAAATTAATTATCCAAGCCATTGTTGTTTTGGAAAAAGCAGGAGCTCAGATACACGGAGTTGTCACCGATAGTGCTACTACAAATCGCAAATTTTGGACAATGGTGGGTGTTAGTGGAGAGCTTGACGGGGTTCAGAGCTGGTTTCCTCATCCGACTGTTGAGAGCCGCAAAGTTTTCGTCTTTGCAGATACACCACACCTTTTCAAAAATATACGAAATTGCTTATATAATAGGAAAAAATTACAGGTAATTATAAATTGTGTCAATTATTTAGATAATGGAATTATACGCATTTCCGTAAAAATTGACATCATCTTAACATTTTAGGTTTCATCTAAGGATAAACCAATTCTTTGGAAACACATAGAACTTTTATACGAGTGTGATAGCAAAAATATGAATGCAAGACTATGTCCCAAATTAACACAGCAACACATAAAACCGGATTTTATGTTAAAGATGCGTGTAAATTTGGCTGTACAGGTAAATTTTTCTTTTTTAAATTTAATTTTTAAGAATAAAGTTTAAATAAATAATTTATATTTCATCAATATTCTTACTATATTATTAAAAAAATTTTTTTTTTATTTTGTTTGACGAAGAATTTTTACGATTTAAAATATTTTATCACAATAGGTGCTAAGCAGATCAGTAGGAACAGCTCTTCTGAAAATGAAAAATTATTTTCCTGATTTATTTGATGGTTGTGAAGCTACAGCCGAATTTTGTTTGAGGATGAACAATTTATTTGATAATTTAAATGAAATTACACCTGAAAAAGGACTTCGACCAGGATCTGCAAATTACAATGTAAACATTTTTCATATTTAACTTATTGATTAATGATAACAAATTTTCTAATTTACCTTTTCATAAAGACAACATATACGTACAATAAAAAGTTATATTCTTTTAGGAACTTCGTAAATTTTTAGAGTGGCTTGACAGTTGGGAACGAAGAGTTTTAAGCTCAGAAATTCTAGAAAGTGACTTTTTACCAAAACCTACAGCCACTGGATTGAGAGTTACTATTAATTCGACAATCGAATTGTCAGAAATATTACTTGACAAATGTAAATTTAATTATGTATTGACTGGATACATTAATCAAGACCCTTTAGAGGTAATGTAACTTTTTATTTTCCAAGTATATATCTAATTTAAATATATATAAAATTTCTATCCGAAAAATAGTATAAATAATAAAATTATTGTTGTCAGTGTTCCTGTCCACTCTCACATTAACAACGATAACAACTTTTCTTCGATAAGCAGATCCTACTCATCAATTTTAGAGACAAGGCCTATTCAACGTGTCATTGCGAAAGCAGAAAAAATCAACATAAAATATTCTTTTCCTCTATAGGTGCAAATGGATGAATTCTATGCAGTTTTTTTAAAAAGGAGCAGAAATTTATTACATGTTAATACTGTGTGTGTCCTGCATGCAAATAATTGTGTTTACTGTCGAGAAATATTAGTTAATTATTTTTTTATGTTTTGAATCTACATAAAAATATAAAATTTGTCATTTATATTTTTTTATATTTATCAAACTGTAATCAATACGAAATTCAAGGTTGCCACAAATCATAGAATTCAGGGGAAAATGAAGGAAAGTAAAATTGGTTAAAGAGATCAGGGTAAAGTCAGGAAATATTATCAAAAGTACTTAAAAAATGGTAAATTTTTAAAATTTATAAAAAAATTCTTGATTTTTGTGCCCAAAAATTTTTGAATATATTTTATATTTTTTGAAAAATCTCAATTACTAAAAAAAAATAATTATAGTAATTAAGTATTAATTAGTAATTAATGAATTACTTTTTTCTCATTGAAAAAAAAGTTAGGGGAAAGCAAAATTAAATTTTTGTGGTAACCCTGATATTTTTTGGCAATTTTTAGTATTTTATTAACAAACTCACGTTAATTTAATTTATTAATAATATTTATAAGTTGTATTTTTATACAAAAAATAAAAATTACTTAGTATCTTTTAATGATCATTAGGAGTTGCAATTATTTAAATACATTTTGAGAATTATATTTTTCAGATTTATTTCTAACACATTTTCTTACTCTTTATTTAGCGTTTCTTTGGAACAATTCGTTTGGCTGGTGGTACGAATGATCATCCCTGTACTCCCACCTTCTTACAATTGTACAAAATTTTGACTTTGTACAATGTCCTAAAGCCTCCTAAACTCGGAAATTGTTCAAATTTGAATGACGAATGTATGCAACCTCTAATTACAATATCCAGATTGAAAGAAATTTATCATCATAAAGAAAAAAACGGATTTTTAGAAATTAAGCAAAAATTAAATATTATTGTAGTCAACGAAGACACAGACTTTTGTGATTTCATTAATGCTGTGGAACACGACTACGCTATTCCCGAAATAATAGATTGCCTTTTATATTATACAACTGAGTTTGTCTGTAATTATATTCGAAAACGGGTAAAATGTTTAAATTGTTTAAGTAGTTTTCTTTCAACGTCAAACGTTGAAACAGACACTACTTTCTTTAAATCGGATGATTTACCTCGCAGCTTCGGTAGATTTATAAATCCACAAAAGGAATTAATCCATCCAAATCGTACAATGTACGATTTAATGATGGTCCTCGAAGGATTATTTCGCAAGCACGGTCATTTTCGAAATGCATTCGAGTTAATTACAAATGAATTATCATCTTTTCAAATAAAATTATCATTTAAATGTAAAGAACACCCTGAAATTGTAGGCGAAATAATCAGTTATATAGTTCAATACTTTTTCCAAATTAGATCGAGAGAATTTCTGAAAAGTGAATTGGTTAACGTAAAAAATAAAAAGAGTGCCATGAAGAAAAAAATGGCTAAACTCTGTGACACATAAAGAAATTAATCTTTATAATTTTATAATTGAATAAAATGATACCTTTTAATCAACGTATATTATTTGTTTCTTATTTCATATTACCTATTGTAATTTTAATTTTCGTAAACAATAAAACAATCTATTAATTTTTTATGTAAATCTAATCCCACTGATATTATTTATATATATTTCGAATTTTACTTTTTTTCTATATTATTTCTAAAAATATTTTTTAGTTTAAAAAATTTTTAATAATCAATTAATTAATTATAGTAATATTATAAAAATTATTGTTTTAAATAAATAATATAATAATAAATTATTATTATAATTATAATAATTAATTAATTATATTCATTAATAATATATAATAAATAACTTTATTTAAAATACTTATTTAAACTGAAAAAAAAGTTTTAAAAACGAAAATTTTTATAGTTATTTAATTATATTTAATATAGTACATATGCATGACTTTTTTAAATTCGCAAAAAATACAATTGTTTAAATTAATTAATTAATAATTTTACATATATAAATATATAATATATTATATTGGTAATAAATTAATAATTAATTATAATTCAATGTTATCCTATGCATAATGCATATTTGCCGGGCAGATGTTCACAAGCGCCGCCCTACGGCCACTTTGCTTACTAACTTCACTGTCATCATACTGTAGTCAGTGCTGCCCATAGCAAATAGTCTAAGACATATATGGGTGGCTTTACGAAAACATTACTATCGAGTGAAGTTAGCCTTGAACTGATCAATCGTATTGTTTTGATGGTGAGCAAGTTCACTCCGATCATCAGTAAACTAAAAATTGCGGGAACGCGAAAGTAGGCAATTGAAAAATCTATTTTATTTCACTTTTTTCTCGTATTAATTGAATTCGTACCGTTAATTTCTAGTAGCGATACGTTTTATGAAGCTGATTTTTACATAAATGACAGTTTTCAAAGTAGTCCGGTTGATAATTTTTCATCAAAATATCGTATTCTCGGTTTCGTAGTGCAAACATAACCTCAAATCAGAAAAAGTCGAAAAGTGCTATTTTCGTTCATCGAGACAAAAGTACTTTAAAATATGTTTTTCGGGTGAAAATTCTAGTGTTTTAGCAAAAAAAAAAAACAATTATTTATTGTCGCAATCTTTACATTAACAAATTGGAATCAAAATTCCGCTATTGCCGCGATAATCAAGTGCATCACGTGACTTAAACATCGAATTCATGTATTCAAAATTTAGTCTCTTTTCAGTGTATTATCTAAAGGAAGAGGGAATTTTTACTAAAAACAAACAGAATAATTAATTAACTACTATTTCAACTTGTAATTCTATTTATTTAATATTTATGACGACAATCGTAGAATTTAGGTTCAATTCCCGCCAATAATCGATAAGTTCGATATCGAGAGTCGATAAGCGGCAAAGTTCACTCCACTCGCATCAGTAGCTGGAAATTGCGGGAACGCGTAACTCATCACTTGAAAAACGTATTTTGTTTCACTTTTTTCTCGTATAATATTAATTCCTCTGGTTAATTTTTATTAACGTATTCAAAAAAGTTGTTGTTTTTATATAAACAGTAGTTTCTAATTTGTTCCTGTTGATAAATTGGGTGCAAAAAAGTGTTTATTTCCTGCGGTACTGTAGTGCGAACGTAACCTCAAATTTAAAAAACTCGAACTGTGCGTTTTGTGTCGCAGTTTTGCGAGATTGTTGTGGGTTTAAAAAGTGTTTCGAAGTGAAAAATTCAGTGTTCTGATGGAAAAAAGTGCTGATTATTTATTACTGGATGGATTTATCAATTGGAGGATGCAAGGAATCGAAGATCGAAATTTTCGTCAGAGAATGTAAGTCAGAAAGTAAGAAATATGAAAATTTTATTACATTGAAAGTAAATTTCTGTAGATTATACAAAAATTGCGATTATTAAAAACATTTTTGAGAGTTAAGTGTTAAACTATTTTTAAGAATTGGAAAATTCCGTGAAATTTGTAAGACAAAATAGAATTTCATGATGAATTGTAATAACAATGAACTATGATACATTATTTATAACTTTTACTTCAAACATTCATATTTATGCCATTCGCCATATTGAAATTAAATAAATATTTACAAATACTTTGCACAAAGAACACAAATTTAAAGAGTAAATTAGAAAAAAAAAATTAGAAACTAAACGCCTCATAAACATTCGCTCCCAAAGTTTTAAGTTTATCGTTTAATGTTAATCGTTGTAACCAATCAGAAGGAACATCTCTCGATGTTGGAACATCCGGAACTTGTCCATTGATTATAGGAATTATTTTAGCCATTGGCATTGCAATTTTATTTAAATCGACAAATTCATCTGCTGCTTTCTGGGTCCATATTGTTTCCATTCCATTCGATGTTCCTGGAAGTGGCAGAGCCTTTTTCGTTACTCCATTACTTCTAGTATTCGAATCGCCAAAATACTCTGAAATATGATCAATTATAAGGACAAATCCACTTCTGATACTCGTTTGTATCAAATTTTCAACTTCTTCACTTTCTAATAGATCCAGAGTCTCGTTAATCATTTTCGTTAAAATCAAATTCTTCTCATCTTTCTCGCAACTCGGTGGAATCATGTAATTCGTTAAATTTTTAACTGGATCAGTTTTCGAATCGGCCGAAACAAGTGACATTATCGACCAATAAATTTGTTCCAAATCACGTAGTGTTAATTTATCGCGTAACGATGTTGACGCTGTTATTTCTTCAACTTTCTCCTTAATAAGTGCACAAAGTTTATCAATTCCCTCATCCATGAAATAACCACAAAGTGACATGTATTTTTGTTGCGTTATTTCATCGGCTTTCTCGGTGATATTCGTATTTTGTGAAGCTTTAAACATATAACCACCGACGAGATTCAATTGAATTCGAAGAGTTGCCACTAACATGGCGTGTGCATAAATTATAACTGCCGATCTTGAAATTGCGAGAATTTTCAAATGATTCCATGTCGCGACCTTATCGGTACATCCATTGCGAAGTTTATTGACAATTGTCTCGGTGTCCAATACTTTTGTCACTGAATTACGAACACTTGTGCCTAATGTTAATATTGTTTGATCACACGTTCTCTCTGTACTTTCAAAATGTTGAGATCGTCGTGTTCGCTCGAGAAGTTCTCGTACTTCTTTCTCTTGCCACTCGCGAAGTTTACGTTGAGTATATCTTGTGATTAGAATAAAACCACCCAGCACCACTCCGCTGACAATAAACTTTCGTTTATGTCGATTTAAAAATCCTCGAAATCGTGAAAACATTTTTGTATCTTGGGGAAAAATTAATTTGATTTAATTTGTTTTAAAATTAAGTTTAGCAATGGGGCTATTTCCATTTTTTGCTCTTCAATTGCAAAAATTTATTCTGATTTTTTCAAGAAAGTTAAGGAATGCTTTTTTCTGGAATTTTTCTCTTGAATAACCTAAAACACAATTTTTATATTAATAGAAAAATAATAATAGAAAAATAATAATAATAATAATAGTAATAATAATATTAACAATAGAAATTAAAATAAATAGTTATAATAAATTATGTAAACATACATTAGTTTAAATAATTAAAAATAAAAAAGTATAAAATAATTTCTAATCTCAAGAGTGCTTGCAAACATAACCAAACTTATCATTAATAATTGTCACGGTTGTCACTAAATGATAAGAAAAATTACAGTAGATAATTCAACAATAAATAATTTTACCTTATAATTGTTCCATTTACGTCCTCTTTACAATAAAATATATATTTTTTCCAAAGTATCAAAGTAACTCCAAAAATTTTAATTTAATCTGAAAATATAAAAATTAAAGTTTAGATTGATTACACTGTTAATTAACAGAGATAAAGAAAAATTGCGAGAATAAGAATTTATCAATATATTATATTATATATTAAACAAAAACACACTGTTTGATGAGTAAACTAACCTGAATATTCTATGAAATCAAATATCATTCTGAAAATGTTGTAAGAAAGGCAAAGATTCACACCTTTTGAACTTTGGTTTAAAAAATAAATATTTAAATCACATGGACATTTTTATTTGAAAAAAAGTTGTCTGATTTTGACCTTTAATCTTATAAAGTAAAGAGTTGTTGATTAGATTTTTTTTAATAAAAAATGTCGCATTGGTGACAGACACGATGTCGATAATGTCGGAGAGAAAATTTAGATAAAGAAAAATTCGTTCTTATCATGACGATCGATAAAAGTGATTTAAATTTAAAATTTGATTTTAGAAATAAACAAAACAGAAAATTTCTGTTGACAATTATTTCGCTTTTAAAATAAGAAAATAAACGAAAAATTTAAAATTAAATAAAAATTAATAATTTAATTTCCAAATTGACAATTTCTTTTATTATATTTATTTTGAAGAATTCTATTGATTAATTAATTATTCTAGGTATTAATAATAAATTAATATTAATATTACTTATCATTACTTTTTTATATTTGCCTTTTTAAATTTTTTAATACTCAAAGAATTTTTTAATTTTAAATATAATTTTGTAAATTTAATTTTAAGTTTTCAATCTTTTATTTTTAATTGTAATTATTTTCTAAAATTAATTAATACCTATTAACAGTAAATTAATATTAATTTTAATACTATTTATAATTATTAGGTATAGAAATAATTAAATTATTTCTATAAATTTTATTAAAAATTTTAACAAATAATTGAATTCTTCCGAAGAATGTTATTATTTCTAAAAATAATTGAATTCTTGCAAAGAATTTTATCATTTACAATTAAATAATTAAATTGTTTCGAAGAATTTATTAAAATTTTAGAGAGAAATTGAATTGACTATAATATAATTGTGTTGAAATTAATTGAATTCCTGCAAATAATTGAATTAGATATTGCGAAGAATTTTACTAATTATAAAAATAATTGAATTTATTAAAATTATAGAAAATATTTAAATTCTATCCAAAAATGTTATTACAAATTTTTTTTAAATAATTGAATTCTTTCGTAAAATTTTAAAATTGTCTTGAAAATAATTGGATGGCAGCAAAGAATTTTAATATTTATAAAAAATAATTGAATCTTTTTGTGAAATTTTATTAAAATTGTGTTGAAAATAATTGAATTTTTGCAAAAAATTTTACTATTTATTTAAATAATTGAATTCTTCCGAAGAATATTATTATTTTGGAAAATAATTGAATTCTTGCGAAGAATTAATAAAAATAATTAAATTTTTGCAAAAAATTTTATTAAAAATTTGAGAAAATAATTGAATCCTTTCGTTATATTTTATTAAAATTGTATTGAAAATATTTTAATTACTGATTTACTGGAAAGAATTTGACTACCTAATTATTATGATTTTTTATTTATTTATTATTAATTTTATTAATTTTTTTTTGTATTTGCGTTTTTTAATTGTTAGATATTCGAATGTAATTGTTTTAAAATTTCAAATTCGTAATTCTAAATTTATGTTAAATCTTAAATTTGATTTCTAATAAATTTAATTTCTATATAATTTGAAAATTAATTTCAAAAAAATTTAAGATTTAATTTATAAATTCATTTTATTAATTTTTAATTTAATTTGTAATTTAAAAAATATTTTAAATAAAATTTTAATTTTTAAATTAAACTATTTAATTTTTAATTTAACGATTAACATTAAATTCTTTAAGTCAGTAGTTTTTACTAAGTCAGTAGTAATTTTTTAAAATAAATTGTTTATTAACTTTTTTTTAGTAATACTTTTGTTCCAAAGAGATTTATTTTTAAATTTAGAAATTAACGAGAGTGTCGAGAGCAATAGCATTATAAATGATTATTTATTTAACTTTGTTAATGACATATATTTGTGGAAAATCGAAGGAATAATGAATGTATTCGATGCGTTTGGAAACGTTGCCATTAATATTCAACGCGTATATATAATGCCACGTGAAAACGGTGAAAACTCAGGGGAAACTTTAAAATTATACAAAATATATGTGCGTCGATTCGCGTCTATGTTTAAAATTCCAACAAATTTGCAAAAATTTGACGATTTTAATTGTTAATGAAATTTATTTTCTATTATGAGCTTCACGAAAATTAAAGTTAAACATTTTTTAAATAAACAATGTAGACTTTTTTTTTTATTGTATAATTTTTTTTGTCAATATTTTTTTACTTGAATATTTTTATTATTAATTTCTCAGTTTTGTAAATAAAAATCAACAAGTAAATTCTACTTTGTATTTTTCGCTTTTAAACGTTTATTTTATATCTATCAATATTAGATTTTTAAATTTTATTAATTATTTTATTTTATTATTTATTAAAAAATAAATAAATTTATAGATTCATTAAATTATTTTTTAATTATTCAAGAAGAAGATTTAAAATTTTTTAATGAAATCCTAGAAAGGATAATTCAATTTTATTGACTTAATATCCATAAACTATTCGATTCGATACTTTTCTAAAAGATTTCGAGAAAAAGTTAATTTAAAAAAATCTTAGAGAGAAGCTTCTCAGTTGAAAAACTGCGGTCACCGGGTCAAGTGTTTTATTCGATTGCAAGTCTCAAAGAATTCTTTTGAATGAAATAATTTTATGACTGATTTAATTTTTTTTTTACTTTTTTGTATTTAATCAGAAAATAAATTGATGTCTGTAAATTTAGACTGCTTTTTTGTAATTTTTATTTGGGGATTAATTTAATAGCAACATTTGTTTTTATCAATTTCAAATCTTATTTAGAGAATGAAATTTAATATTCTCTTAAAAAATATTTTTTTCCTATTTCAATTTTTATTTGAAAATTAATTTATATCCGCAAAAATATTTCTTTTCAAGTTCAATTTCAAAATTAATTTTATAATCGACAGAAAATTAATTTTTAAATTTTTATTTGGGGATTAATTTAATAGCAACATTTTTTTTTAATTTCAATTTCAATTTTTACTTTGGAGAATAATTTAATATTATTAAGAAATATCTTTTCCCCATTTCAGTTTTTATCTATAGGGATTAATTTAATATTTGCAAAAATATTTCTTTTCAATATTCCAATTTGAAAATTAATTTAATAATCGCAAAAAAATTCTTTTTTCAATTTCAATTTTTATTCAGAGATTAATTTATAATATTCATAAAAATATTTTTCTTTAATTTCAATTTGGAAACTAATTCGCAAAAATATTTGTTTTAATTTCAATTCGAAAATTAATTTAATAATCGCAAAAACATTCTTTTTTCAATTTCAATTTTTATTTGTAAATTAATTTGAATAATATTCGTAAGAATATTTTTTTTCAATTTCAATTTGGGAAATTAATTGAATATTCGCAAAAATATTTTTCAATTTTAATTTGGAATTTAATTGAATATTCGCAAAAATATTTTTTTCAAATTCAATTTAGAAATTAATTTAATAATCGTGTAGTAATATAATAATAATAATAATAATAATAATAAAAATAGTAATAAATAATAATATGTAATTCAGAATGGAGAGAGAATTTTAAAACTTTCTTCATATATAGTTGCAAAAAAGTTTTGGGGGAGTCTTAAAGGAAGTATTTTGACTTTTAAGCTCCGATTAACTTTTTTTTTCTCGGTACCATTCTCGTTATTTTTGTGACAACAAGCTCGAAGATAAGGGAATTAAGACTTTAGATTCAGACTTGAACTTCATCCAGATAATCTTAACCCTCTTAATCCTGCCAACAGCTCCCATAGTCATACAGATCAGTATATAGCGTGTGTGCATGAAAGAAGGCACAGTATTTTTTCTTTCTTCTTTTTTTTTGCTTCTTCTTTTCCAAGTTTTATATAATCCCTTGAGCTTAAGGTTTTATTTTACGAAAACTAAGAACGTGTGTCTGATTCAAAAAAAAAAGAATTACGTATTTATGAAAAACGATATTTACTATAAAAATAATTTTTTCTTAACGTTGTGATTTTTGCCGCTTTTTAATAAATAATTTAATGAATAATTCTTTAATTTTTAACAAATAATTTATTAAATCATTTCCTATAATTTTGAATAATATTAATTTATTAATTACTTGAATAATATTTTTAATTTTAAATGATAAATTTATTAATTATTAACATTCTTCTTTTTTAAAAAAATTTATTATATATATTTTTGATATCAAAGTAGCATGAAAAGGAATTTAAATAGTGGCAATATACATTTTTAGCTTTTATTTTTTGGCTGTATACGGTGCAAAAGAATTTTCCTCTTCCGTTTTAATATTTTAAAAATACGATTTCCTGTAAAGTCGTACTGAGACTATTCAGAGAAAGAATATGAAAATCTATGAAAGAGTCGACCCCGCTCTCTTTCTCTTTCTTTACACTATTTATCCCACATAACAGGTCCGTGCGGGTATATGTATATACATCTTCCAAACATTTATCAGATAACTCTCTGAGCTTTAACAATAATAAATATAAGGCATAAAAAATTTTATTTATCATTTTCTTTAAATTGTTTTTTTAAAAGAAATTTTTTTTCAATTTTTTTATGCAAAATAAATAGTTTTGTAAATGAGATAAATTTTATTTATTTAACTATTTATTGTTATATTAATATTCTTTTCATTAGAGTGCATCCATACTTTACACTATTTTTCTACTACTTTTGACTCCCCTTCTCTTTATTTATTATTTTATTATTGTTATATTATTATTGTTATTATTATATTATTATTAGGTATATTAAATAATAAAATTTTTCAGAGCAATTTAATTATTTTCATTAATAATTAAATTCTTAAGAAAAATGAATTATCTTTATACGTTTCAATAAAAATTTTTCGATTGAATTCTATTATTTTCAAAATTTTTGATAAAATTCTTTGCAAGAATTCAATTATTTTCATAAATTGTAAAATTATTCGCGAGAATTCAATTATTTTTTTTTATAAATTGTAATAAAAGTTTTCTAAAAAGTTCAATAATTCTCAAAAAAAATTCTCAAAAGTCTTTGATAAACATCTTTGTAAATTTCAATTATTTTAAAAATTTCCAATTAAAATTATTAAACTAAAACTACATTATTTTCACGAAATTTAAAAAAATTGTTCAAAAACATGTAAGTATTTATGAAAATTAATAAAATTGTTGTTTAAAAGAATTTAATCAATAATTTTAATAAAAATTTAATAATAAAAT